AATTTGCAGCACCAGTCAGGAATGCCAATTATAAAATATATCAATGGATAAAACAAATACATCTGGAACTCTACATACTCTATGTCGTTGCCCTCTATAAGAAAAGCCACATCGTTACCTGATAATACGGGCTCCTGTTTTTTATGGCCAGAAGATCGGTCTGTCAAGCCGTCTGTACTTCACTGTAACACGATTAAATCTAAGAAATACATAATCTTTGTACAAGTCCTTGAAGAATTGATCTGGATCTGGGCCTGGGGCTTCACTTCAATGTTTGTCCGGTCGACGGGCACATTTACAACTTAAAGAGCGGGGCCTGCTATCCCATGAACCGTAGAAGCCTGAGGTTCCAATTGGGTACTTTGCAACTCTAACCTCGATAAAAACACAAAAACGATATAATCCAGCCCTGTTCACTAATAACAAAGAAGCGGGAAAGTTTATCAACCGATCCCAATAAGAGCTCCTAATATAGTACTCACGAAGCTGGTGTTGCTGTGAATTTAAGAAAGGTCACTTTATTTCAAGTGGGACCCAATCGGGTCCTTAACTCGGTTGCTACGGTTGATGGGATAGGGTCCTTATACCTCCCGTAGAGGTTCTTACTCGCCAAAAATATTCGTCCAAATAGAATTATTCCATACTAAATTTGGCTTCTTTATTCTTAGGCCGACAGTCCGCTTTGTAATGCTGTCTTCCAAACTGGATTACTAGGTGTATACAGCCTGATTGGTAATTTCCACTAGACGCCTTCACGGGGGTATGGGGCGCACTGGGGTGTGGTGCAACAACTAATATCAAAAAAAAATGAGAACAGAATACACCAAATAAAGCATGTATGTAGATATATTTCTCTGTATCAAATAAGGAATCTGCTGTCTTGACTTTCTTGATTCCGTCGATTGCCTCTCGCAACTCAGGAAAGCGCCATACCTCAGTGCGCCCCATGGCCCATACCCCCGTGAAGGCGTCTAGATTTGAACTCTTTATTGACATATAGATAATCAGAGGGGGGAACGGGCCTGGTGGGCGTATACACTTGATCCTGTTAGAAGGACAGCATTTCAAACAGGCCTGGACTGCCACCCTATATACATGTAGTTATACATACTTTATTTGTTAAACATCACCATATCATGCATGGCCAGAAAATCGGGGTATTATCTAGCGCTAACTATAGGTCAGCTATCCTATCCTGGCTGTGTCGCTTTCTAGTCTTTCCTAGGCGAGGGTATAATATGTAATCACCACCACACATTGCGCGCCCTATAGCTAATTATATATAACCCTCGCCCTCAACTACTGCATCGCCATATTGTCATGCGTTACTTACCTCTTTGTTTATAGTTCCCTGCGTAAACAAACCACAGCCCCAACCACAATCACAACACTTTACACAATCTCGACTCTCGAGTTTTCAGCCCGTTTAGAGTATGCCTTACCATACTCTACAGCGAGCCCTAGCTGCCGGCTCTGGCTGAGAGGTTCCTACTTTTGACTGGACCCATATGCATGGAATAGCGATATATGATATAATCATATTAAAGACTGTGGTGGAGCGAGGAGATCTGGACCATTGATCTAATTTAATTTTTAAGCCTGGAAGTACTTTTAGGTGATATGGCACTTCCGTTGCATTTGGCAGAATAATATCCTGCAATATCGATCATTGACATCCGGTTCGAGCCCATTCTGCGAGCTTGCTCCGAAGTTTTGTGCTCGGGCTCTTTGAACCTCAGTTTTCAAAGGGTCAGATCGTTTGATTGACCACACCATATCCCCACGATGATGCGCGTAACTGCATAGTCAGTATTTCGGATTGAATCACGAATATGTTTGAAGAGTTATCATATACATTCAGAGCAGACAAAACTGTGGGGGCTATGTGACTTATACGGCTATCAATAAAACACTCTAGACATGAGACTATTTGGTGCTACAGCGAAAGTTTGCTGTAACGGTTGCTATAACTATAGGGCAATCTCTCTATAAGGGTACTATAGCTCTATATACCTTTCAGTCATTTTTCTTTGGCCTTCAGTAGAAGTACTTTCTCTACAAGGGTAACCTCCATATACCTATATCGATTTAATTTAATTTCTGGTCCCTAGAGTAGCCTTGTAGCAAGCTTGTTCTGTACTCAGAATTTCTGCGGTAGATATGTCATCATCCCGACGACGTACCCCACCGAGATCATGCCATTAACCCCTCAAGAGATAATCACTACTTATGTACATATAGTACTTTATTCACTAGCCAAAGTTACAACAGAAGTAGTAACAATAAAATCTCAGCGCTCTAAAAAGTAGCCAAATCGTCAGTGCTTACTTACTGAAGTGGTGGATTTGGTTTGATACCCAGTGGAACGCAAAAAGTTATTTCCATAAACCAGATCCTCATGTCCATAAGTCCATCTCATCACAAGATGGCAAGGTTCCGTATATTAATGAAATATTTCCTAGGGTTAGTTATGAAATGCTTTAAGCACAATTAAGGGACAATATCGGTATCGGTAGCGCGAGCTACAATTGCAAGTCTTGATTCTGCAGCGATATAGTAGTAGATCTAGAGCACTGCCACAGCGCGCGCACGTGCTGTACAGCGAAAGGTAATAAGTGATGGAACGCCCTGAGATATAGTTATCCCTTAAGCTGTCGATGCTGACCCCCCTATAGCAGAAGAATTAGATTTGTATGAGAGATCTATTATTTGATAAGAGAGATAACGGGATCTTTTAGTAAAGCCACACCGAATTTGCTTTTTTGGGGGATCAGCATTTTCGCGACAGCTTAAGGGATACTAGTACTGTGTTCACTGGCTCCACACCATCGTTCTTATCTGAAGGGGCGTTTGTCCTCTTTTGATACTCTAGTAATCGAAAGTGAAATCGGATGTTATTAGATAAATGCCAGTCGAATTGTATCTGAGCTCTGTCATCACTCCAAATAAGTAATCACTACAGTGGAAGTTAACTTGTTTATATAAGACATGCCTTGCCCGACTATACGACATTATGTAGAAATTGTTGGAAGAAGACACTCCTATATTAGGTATTAGGGCCGGGATTTAGTCCGTTTCATTATCGTATGCATAAATAATGCCGTTATGGAGATGTACTCGGCACCTTCCCAAGCTACATATACTGTTATGCTGTGATAGCTATATAGGGTATCTGAGATGATCTTCGGAATTGAACAAGAGCATCTAAACACAACTGCATAAAGGGTTTGATCCAAACTAAATACGAGCCTAGTATCAATTAGTCCCAGGATACCTTAGTCATATTCGCCGTTTATAGCGATATAGCCATAGCCAATAACTTCATAAGTGTTGATCCGCTTCTCCCGAGCTCGAGTTTATAGAACTTGATAAAGTTGACGCGTAATCAATGGGGAGACCAGCGGACTAGTATTCCGCAAACTAAAATCATCAATTCGGCCGTACTGAGCCCAGGAGGATTATATGGAGGGCAATTAACTGAACTGAGATAATACCATCGTGCGTATACTAGAGTATGTTGTATCTGTCAGTAATGATTTTCATAGTTGAATGTACAAGTGGCTAACTGACCTTTATCAAGTAATGCTGTATCCACATAAATCTCGTGTACGTCTAGGTTGTTCTTATATTGAACTCTAAAATCCGTACCTAAATCCTGGAATATAATCAGACTTGAACCCCTAGGCTGTATTTCATTTCCATGGTGGATTTCATATCCTGATTTTCAGGCGGTTCTCAAGCTTGGTGTAACCCATGATTGCAATCGAGCCCAGTCTGTCTATATTCAATGCAAACAATCGGTCACAATCGCAGGGATTTCAATCACATCGCCGCAGCCACACGTCTGTATATTCATGAGGAAAGAGCCTATTGTGCTAGATGGTTTAAGTATTCGATATTGTAATCGTATTATTTCTATGGTCATATCATGCATGTTAAGGGTAAAATGAATATATCAGAAACACTATGACTATATGACGCCGTTATACCTTGACAATAGATCTTTGTATAGGGAAAATGCAGGTACAACCCCAGGACCCTCATGTAATCGCTCGGTTCATTATCCGGAGATTAAAACAAAGATCACCGACAAATCAAGAGGGAAACCTTGAGATGTCGATAGTACACCTAGCTTTCTGTTGGTTCTAGAATGCTTCCTGTTAGATGACGCAGAGTGCATCCTAGCCTGGACCATGCCATCCATTTGAAAGTTGGGATCCTATCAGCATATTGTATCATTTAGAATGCACGTGTGGTCTTATGGGTGTACAAGAGCCAGTCGACGGTGGTCAGCACAGACTTCTTGGAGTACAACGAGACGTAAGGAACTACATGTAGGATCGCATGTGTAGTACTCCATATACATGTAGTACATGTAGGCAGTACTATTGGGTTCATATTTTCCTCTATTCACTAACATACGTATAGAAAAGTACACTAAAGCTTCATCTAAGATACGGAGTAGATATTCATCTAGATATCAAAATTTCTCATATTTCCTAACCTACCAGCCCAATATACAAATAGTATCATAAGGTATCACTCGTATTAACATCCGTTCTAAGTTTCAAACATGCATTTGCCGGAACCGGAATAATCATGCATAGAAAACATACATGCATATACGCTTTAGAGCCACTTTACTACAGCTGTAATTAAACGTATATTTGGAGGATTTATAATTTATCTTTGGTCATGATGGATCTACAAGTGCCTCTCTTTCAAAACAAATGAGAGAGCCCTGACCCTTAAAAAGAAAGCCTCATCTAGATCTTGATGATAGGAGTGGGCAGTAGCTGATGTCAAGTTTATAGAATTCCGAGAAGTACACCAAATCTACTATCCGTTGGACGCTTGGTTTAGAAGGAATAAGGTTTTGGCCATCCTAAAGCGGAAATCTTAGTCATCCAATAGCTCGAGGTCCGAGCGCCAAAGGTACAACACCTTGGACCCTTTCAACCCTTTCGAGGCTTCTTCATCAACCACTTTGAACAGGAACAATGCCTCCTTCTAACTTCGTCACCACAGGCCAATACCGTAATTTAAGAGCCTGTATGGTTTGTTCGATTGTTCAAACTCAGCAGGTACGCCACGCTACTTCCCATAATCAGGCCACGTTTTCCTACCGAGGTGCTGACAGCAGCTGCGCTTGTCCAGAGATTTGTCAAAGAAGGATGTCCAAACTGCGAAGACATGCTCCATTATCGTGGGCAGGCTGATCTGATTGAGGACTGCACCTCCCCTGTGTTCGAAGGACTGATCTCTATGCGAGAGCCGACAAAGTCATGGGTAGCAAAGTGGCAGAGAGTCGACACGTTTGTCAAGGGCATGTACGCGGTGAAAGTCAGCGGAAATGTGAGTGGGAAAATAGGATTTTCGTTAATCATGGTGACTTTGGGGGCTTGTTGGTAGACTCAGGACTAAAGTACAGATTTGGCTAACGGCGATACCGAATACAGCTCCCAGAAGAAGTCATCCAAATGCTCGCCGATAATGACATCGAGTACCGACCGCGTGACGGCAGTGACAGTGCCAGGGAATAATTTTCACTTTTCACTTTCTCCCTTATTATGTAGTTATGCCTAATTCACCCTTTTTTTTAAAAAAAAGAATCTTTTGAGTGTGCCATACACCAATAAAAATTATCCTGAGATTGCTTGAGAGCTAAGCTTCAATAACACTTGTCCTATTGCATTTTACCCGCAATCCCCGGGTTAAAAATGGCGAATTCGATGTGATCTCACTAGTTTAGTTCTCGGTTATGTGCAACGTTCTAGAGGCAGAATTTTAGCAACTCGGATCATTGCCGCTAACGACCCGGGAGTGATTGTTTTGTACCGGCATCGTATGTATGTGGGGTCAGCTTGTTGGAGTGCAGGCACAGATACCCTCTACTCTAGGCACATGCATCGTAATTCCAAAACCTGGTAAAAAAAAAAAAAAAGGAATCTGTAGGAAAAAAAACAAATTTCATCAGTGATTGTAACGCCACAATAAAACCTCCAAAGTTTTGGCATACATCGTCAAACTTGTGCCTGATTATATCAACTAGCTAAGAAGCTAATTACATATAAACATATACTCTAACCCCAATATACGCGATTTCAGCCTGTAGCACTCGGTTTAAGGCCACCTCCTGAGTGATACGCGAATGCTGTGTACCTACAGTTACAAGTGGATCGGTCATCGAGGCCCAACCAAAAAGAATTCTGGACTGTGATGCATGGAAGATCACGTCTTGTGTTCCCTTATGCCTGACATGATACTTCCTATCTTGTATTGGGAAAGCCAAGCTTTCAGTCATATGTGCGAATGTATTTCTCCGATCAATGGTGTTCAATTAGAGCTCGAGCTCCAGCCACGACTGCGGCCTGGAATCAAAATATTGCCACTTCTTGAGTCCCCTGCAGCTGGTACCTTTATTTTACCCCTTATGCCATGCGGAGGTTCTTCCGTACCACGAATCAAGATACGTACCACAATAAAGTACAGTACCTACAGCACCAATATGCTCTTGAGAATGGGAAACGTAATTCTTTCTTTTTTTGATCATTGATCACCTACACAGTGCTATTGCACTTTAAACGCAAAGATTGAATTGATATTGCAGCTCTATACTCTATACAATAATTAGAATAACTCTTGACAGAGATCCGATCTTAAAAGACCGAAATGTCTATAATGTGAGGGAAATGATGGGCACAAGATTTTCCAGCATAGTCCATACTGTCCCATGTGATTTCTCAAGCCTGGTGCGGAATCTTACATCAATTATATATACTGCTGTCAAACTTGCTTAGAACGGCTGTTGGTATTTCCGAAGCTAGGCAATCAACTTTCGCAGGAAGCCGAAATAATCTAAAGAAGTTATGGCCATTATTTCAGGTTGGCCGTGGCTTGATCATGAAGGACGCAAAGTAATTGACCGACAAGAAAAACCTTTTATGTACTCGAGCTCGTGATCGAGACATTATGAAACCTGAATGATGAGTCTATGAAGTAGATGGCCCACATAGTACCTTGCACAATATACAGGCATCTTAGTTTCCGTTGGGGAGTTTACAAGCTCTCGCCAACTAACTAGTATACATGAGAAACAATACTCTCAGCCTTGCACTTTCCATTTAAGGGAAAATTTGGGTTCGTATCTTTAAAAAATTCTAGTAGTCTCTATCGTATCTACCAAATCAAGATCATCACGAGGACCTTGGGGGACTCGAGGCCCGCGCCACTCTCACCCAATAAAATACAAGCTGCAGTTAATATAAATTTTTTTATCCAGTCTCTCTTACTATCCACCCTTGCAGAAAGCTCCACTTTGAATCATGTAGGCTTCTGTCCCCTTCAAGCTTCTCCTCCTCCTGTCGCAGTTCTTCTCCCGGACTGGAATGGCTGAGGATTTTATGCATACCTCAACGTGAACATCCTTAATCCAATCTGTCATACTTCCCCGCTTTTCGGTTCGGAGTGTGAGGAATAAGATAGAAATTTGTTTTACGTGAACTAGTGGAAAAGAGTTTTTTTCCTCACCGTGAAACTCCTCTTTTATCATGATCTCGGCGGCACGGCCAATGATACTTTAGTGTATCCAGCAGAGCCAAAATGCATCTCACCCACACGCACCACACACAGGGGAAGGACCATTCAGGCATCTTTGGCCGCAGATACCTGCATCAGGCGTTATTCCGGACATAGCTGTTGATGTTCTTCGTCCACTAAGTTTCTTATGCACCTTAGCAGCTAGCAGTCGACTGTCCTTGTTTTCCTTTTTTCGGTTACCGACATGCACTCCAGATTCTCGGAGATGTGTTTTTGGGCGTATGAAGCAGGGCAATTCTGTGGGAGGGGGGTGCCAGGGGGACTCTTTCCCACTTCCCCCCATACCCTGTCTTTCCCTGCGGTCCCCTCGGATCTTCTGCCCATCAAATCGACTCTCTATTGGTGCGACGACGTTGCTTGCCAAGAAGCGCGGGGCCCCACTTTTTGACATTCCCGACAGCAGCAGCCACAGTGGGCTATCGTGTCTGTGAGCAGCGCTGACGGTGGTGACGCTTGGGAAAATTGCTAGAGACAAGGGTGCCCCTCGAGTAGAGAGAAGCGAGCACAACGCACAACCCGTATCGTTATCACGGACGTTCACCTCACCGCTCCCTTTTTCTGCTCCTAGTGGTGCTTTCTACTCCCTGATATTGCTCCTTCTGTAGAGACATATAACAGCGTTGAGCATAGCTGCGATCGCCGGCCCTCATTGAGCAACGTTCCCAATTACCGCATTACCCTCCGTACCACGTTGACTGCGCCCATCACAGCTTTAGTTGATATCCTCATCAGACTGGGTTGCTGAAAAGAGCCCACAAGTGTTCTGTATCTGTCCGAAATAACTCTTTACACTCTCACACCTTGCTACTCCCACCCCCTTATAATTTTTTCAAATTGTCACCATCTTCTTTGCCCTATTAAAACTACCCTCTCTCCGTCCAGCGGCTCTCAAAACTACTTTCCCCGTCCCTTTCTTTCCGGTCCCCGACATCCATATCCTCAGCCTCGTCACTTCTTCTCCGTTCATATCAAATTACATCCCCACACCCCTCCGAGCACCATCAGCACCAGGCCCTTCTCCGAATCTTTGAACATCCTCTCCACATCACGCTCTCATAGCATCTGGAGGTCAGCAGTCATGAAGATCGCGTGCCTACAGGTAAGCAAATACAAGATGGACTCCCGTTCATCCCTATCGTCATGCTATCCGCATAGCCGTTGTGATTGTTGTTTTACCATGGCAGAAACGCTTACATTGTAATTGCCCGCAGTTCAACCCCCAGTTGGGCAATATAGCTCACAACCTCAAAAGAGCGGAAACAATAATCTCTCGAGCTGACCCGGTCGACATTGATCTACTTATTCTTCCTGAAATGGCATTCTCAGGTGCGTTTTTTTGCCCATTACCGCAATGATCACATATTCCACCTCCCGATTTTGCCTGCATTTCACATACCTCATCTCATTTTTACCTCGATTTAAACTGGATATAATATGGTTTCACTACCATGTCCCGTCCCTTTTGTGTCGTATGATATCATTTCCCTTATCGCTGGCCCAAAACGCAATAATTCTTGTTGGCCAAGAATCTGTCCAGCTGACAACCATGTTTTCTTGAAAAACATCAGGCTACAATTTTAAATCCGCCGAAGAAATTGAGTTCCATCTGGAACCTACAGCTGCAGGTCCATCTACAGTATGGGCACGATCGATCGCCAGACGTCTTGGGTGTTACGTGGCACTGGGATATCCCGAATACTGCGCACATTCTCCATCGTCCCCTCAAGGTTCCATGTCTCGTTATAATTCAGCCGTCCTGGTATCACCACAAGGAAACGTGCTCGTAAATTACAGAAAACACTTTCTGTACACCACGGATGAAACCTGGGCAGAAGAAGGGAAGGAAGGCTTTTTTTCTGGGGAGATGCCCGATGGATTGGGGAAGCTTGCGATGGGAATATGTATGCTCCCTCAGCTATTCATACTTCTCGGGATATATAATTTCGTGGAGACGAGTAGGAAAAGAACATTATGCTGATATGCAATTTCTCGCAGGCATGGACCTCAACCCCCGGCGATTTGAAACGCCATTCGAGAATTACGAATTCGCGCACCATGTACTTGATAGTAAAGCAGATTTGGTACTTATGCCTATGGCTTGGCTCACCTCGCAACCGCAATCATCTTTAGTAGATCAAGCCCAGGTTCCTGATGCCGACACCCTTGCATATTGGATTCAGCGCTTGCAACCGGTCCTCGACAAAGGCCCTCAGGGACGATCGGAGGAAACTATATTTGTTACCTGTAACCGGATAGGGGTTGAGCGCGGGGCATCATTCGCTGGGACTTCCGTAGTGGTGGGAGTCAGCAAGGGAAACATCAAGGTCTATGGTTGTCTGGGTCGAGGAACGGAAGACCTGCTTGTCTGCGAGGTTCCGGGGCCCGGAAAGAACTCACGGCGAAGATAGACAGGATATTGAGTACGGATGTCGGCAGCACGCCGTTAGATTTGTGGTACGAAGGAGACATGCCGCATGCATTCGGACAAATGGGAGAGGGGAGAGAGGGATGAATCATGAACTGATGCAAGAACCCGCTATTCAAAAATTGGAAATGGCGTGCGGCGGCATGGCAATGCATAAATTTGGGCATTTACGGGTAGCTGGCGGGTGGCTTGACGGCAAGCCAGCCGGGTTCAATATGGAGTACTTGGGGGTGTCATTTGTTTCCTACGGCGGCTCTTCATTTCTTTTCTTTCGGCGGCAGCCTCCAGCATAGTTTTGTTCGGTTTCAGTCATTTGTTACAGGCATCGGAATCTTCATCTTGTTCACCTATTTTTATTCTGTATTCATCATTGTCTTCTTGTAAGATATAGCATCTGTTAGGGGACACGCGCGCGGGAGGTCTGGTCTTATTAGGAAAACGGAGAATAACTAAAGGATCTTCCCTGGTGGAAGTAATCTAATTAAATACTCAATTCTTACTTATACCTACACATAACTACATGCACACATGTACTCATGCGTTAATTAAGTTCTGAGAATTCTTGGTAGCAACGACCTCTCAAAATTTCTCACGACTTAATTAACGCGCGAGTATTATTGCCATAACTGTAAGGTTGCATGCAATTAATGAATTAAACAAAAAAAAAAAAAAAAAAAACGCGCGAGTATTCACAGTACGAAAAAAGAAAAAGGGAAAAGAAAATAGAAAATAGTGAAGAAAAAAAATGAGAAAAAAAATAAGAAAAGATCAATGTATGTACATTTTTTTGTTTGTTTAATTCATACTCGCATGCAACCTTTCAGTTATGGCGGAGCACTCAATCTACAGTACAAGTACAGGGCTTCACCCTTTATGCCTACTAGTCGCTCAATGTATGTACATTAATATATGGCATGTACATGTATGTACCTCCTTAATTTTCAGGGCTTTGTATCTTGATGTATATCTATCTCCCTTTGGCTTTATATCTTGCGTCCTTCTCTTTTCGGCCCGTCTTTGTTCCACTTGTTCCCCGCACTGTCCCCCACTCACACATTCCCACGATTCCACCCGTTTAAGTGCACTGCACGCACAAGCACGTCATACACTAGAGTATGTACTCTAGTCAGGTCTGACGGAGGTGGCTTTTCGGAATTTAACATCAGCAATTGAGATCGCGATCAAGTGGCTGATGCTTGGACATAGAGCTCAGGGGGGAAGTACTGCCACTTCCCGCCCCGTCTCGTCTTGGTGTACGTATATACTGTTGTATGATATGTACAGATCCAAAAGACCATATCAGGTAATAGCTTAAGATATGGTATTTGCAGAAAAACGGGCCTGAGAGAAGAACGGAAAGGGAAAAGCGGAAGCACGAACACATAAACTAAGAACATAAAAAGAAAACAAGACAAATCAGGAGAGAAAATGAGATACCCACATAAGTACGTACAGTTACAGGTTGCCAACATCCGGGAAGTGAGAAGGGGTGTGTGCAAAGAACAAACATAAAAAAGCGGACCATGTAGAGATAAACGATAGGATAGGCGTAGCTCGTTTGGCGAGGAAATCCGAGAGTAAGTAAATACCTTTATGTACCACGAATTGGGATCTGTAATACAGATCCGGTGAAATAAAGCAGCCAAAGAAAGAGGGTTTGTGCGAACCCAAGCAAGATAAACCTAAAGGCAAACGGAACCCATCCCGGTGAGAGAAATACGTACTTCGGTATGGGTGAATAAGAAAATAAACTCGAATCCACGAGAAATACCACCCCAGAGGGAATGCCAAACTCCCATAAGAAAGAAAAGAAAAAGTACCCAGAACCTCTGGCATGTATCAACAAAATGACTGGCTCATTAATCGTCCCAGCGGACGCGCAGATACCTGATGTTGTGTAATCGTGATCAAGAAAACACCCACCTGTCCTTCATCCCTACCCCATATAAAGGAAACGAACATGAGATGACTGAGAAAGCTTCCATGACCCAAAAAACAAAAGTAGAAAGACGGAGGGAAATCATGACGTGAACTCTTGACATAAAAAGAATAATCCGGCCCGGTATTATCAATTCCAACCACGGTGGTCTCTCCTAACTACCCTTACCGGAAATAAATGCTCCGATAGAATAAAGCAAAAATGAAAAATGAAAATGAAAAACAATAACAGTAAAGAAAATAACCCCACAATTTGACTCCATAAGAAATGACGTGGGGAGTGGAAAGAACAGGATAGTGGCACCAATCGTTTGTGCGGTCGTGAGTTCATGTCTTTTCGTCGCTCAGAGTTTCATGGGTATCATGCATCTGGTCATCCCTGAACCATCACAGTTCACGTCCAACGATATGATTTTCCGAGATCCTTGCTCTCTAGACAACCCAGCGAGTCTAAATAACCGGATGTCATGACGAACCACCGGCCTGAGCACTGCCATCCCTTGTTACTCCAGCCTGTAAACAACTCTTTTTCCATGTCTCCGCTTCTCGCCATGCCCGCTCACATTCCTTCTGTAACTTCTCGTTGTTTGCACTGAGCTCCGAAATGGCCTGTTCAGTAAGGATCTTTTCTAGTGTCCATTTCTCAATGTTGGCAGCCTCGTTTTCTTTCAGCTGTTGAATGTATTGAACAGCGCGTTGTAAGATCGAGCCTTTGTTCTTTTCACAGCCTGGCACAATCTTGGCAAGCTCGTTGATGCCCTCGTTGATAGTCTCTCGACGACGGCGCTCGACTGCGATGTCAAAGAGGACTTATTAGCAACTTACTTATCAACCTAAATGAAGTTTTCGTAGACATACCCTCTTTGTGGTTATCCCGTCGAACCCTATGCCATTCTTCTGTCCCAACCTGGGGTTTTGGGTTTGGATTACCCGAGGACCCAACTGGAGGTGATCCATGATGACTGTGGTTTCCTGGAGCGTTATGGTTCCCGCCTACACCCTCGGTGTGCCCCTCCACAGGCGGCGGAGATAAGGCACCGAAACTGTTTTCTATCTGGTTGTGTTCTCCAGTCTTCCCACTTCCATCCACTGGAGCAAATCCCATGGATGTTGGCTGCGGGACAGTCATCTGAGGCAGCATCCCGCTCATCGCACCAGCAGCAACCAATGCAGCATTCGCTGCATCCGCGCCGGTTGAACCATTCATTGTTGTGATGGGAGCTTGAGAATTACTTAGTGCTTGGAAACCGTAGGGACTTCCGGCGGGGCTTGCTTTCGAGTTTGTGTTTACTGGCATAAAAGAGCCTGTGTTGGTGAGGTTGGGGGAAGATTGTTTGAAGGATGCTCTGCGACCACTGCTCCCTTCACGCAACGACCTCCCATCGTCTCGCCCCTCCGAATCGTCGATCGAGTCCCGTTTCCTTTTGTGCGATGCGGACGCGTTGGAGTGTTGAGGCGAAGTAGAAGTTGACACACCGGTGGCTGGATCCTGGAGATGAGACACCGGGGGGGACTGCTGTGGTTGCCGGGCGTCGGCCTGGTCTTCGTGGTAGAGATCGTGTTGCTGGTCGCCCATCGACATTCGTTACGTTTCGTTGTTGGCGCGCTTTTTTTTTCCCTCTTGGTGACAGACACGAAAACAAAACTCAAAACGGCTGCAAATTCTTAATGTATTGACTTCAAATATATGTGGCTATTTTTGATTTTAAATTTGTAGAAATTCGATATTTAGGGGAGCAAGCCCTTTTTAACGATGTTGGTGATTGATTGATTTCCGGGGGTGGGGGGGAGTGGCTGCTAAAAAAACCGAAGGAGGAATGGGCGCAGCGGTTTTATTCAGAAAGGCAAGAAGAGAGAGCTTTAGACGAGATAAATGTCAACACGTGATAGGGCTAGATGTGGTATGTAGTAAGAGAGGGCGAAAGAGTGAGAGGTGAGAGTGAGAGAGAGTCACGGGAACGTCTGGGCAGAAGAGTGTCTGCCCCGCGACCTTGCAGTGGGGTTATGGGTGTAATGAATGGTTTATGGTTTGTCCGAGACGGAGGGGGTGAAATGGGAAGGGTGGAAGATTGTGGATGGCTGGTGGAGGTGTGGGGGAATAAAAGGAAAAGAAAAAAAAAGACGAACCGGGGGGGGGGGGGGGGGGGGTTTGTTGTCTGACGGGAACAAACGTTGCTCCTTTGGGGGCGGGTGAATGTATGGAAATGGGCGCGCGGGAAGGAGGCAGGGGAGGATATGAATGATGCTGGCGGCGGCGACGGTCGAGTGCGAAAGTGGGAATATGGAAATTTATGAGAACGACGACCAAGCTTGAGAGGGCAGATACATGAAAGGTCCTTGTCTGGACAAGGCCCACAAGAGACAGAACTGATACAACTGACAGACAGTGAAATTGAATATGGAAGGAGATATCATTAACGTATTTGGAGCACTTTATCTACTAACCTTTTCAATCGGTCAATTGCTCCAGCTTCTCCAGCCCTGGTCCACAGTGACGGTCAGAGTCTATCACTCTCTTCCTCCTCTCACGCTCACTCGCGTTTCCTTGTTCAGATCACGAACTCTCTCCCCTCTCCCTGTCGCCCACTCAACTCACCTCCTCGTGCAATTAATTAACGACAATCAACCACACTTCCTTATTTCGACTTCTCCAGTTCTTTTTGTGATTCACCCCCGTGTGCTGACTCTCCCTCTCTGTTCACGATATCCCACAGACTCTCTCACTCACTGTCTGACTTCCTCACGCTCAACCTCTCACTCGCTCGCGTTCGGGCAATATCTCTGGTAACCGAAGTATGTCAAAATGACAAAACGTGATGGTGGTGGGCCGTGCGATTAACGAATGATTTAAAGATCTAAAAAATAAAAAATAAAAAATAAAAATAAAAATAAAAATAAAATAAAAAAGAAATGATAGAGGCAGGGCTAGGTAAAGCAAGGTGGGATGACGACCTTTCGGAGTTTCCTTCCTTTGTCTCGATCGGGGTCGAGTCGGGTTACGTCCGGACTCCGGTGTGTGGTCCAGCCTGGCTCAGAGTACCCTACGATCTATCTATTCAGAAAGCGAGCGAGTCGATAGCAATGTCGATAAAATAAGCTGAGGGCAAAAAAAAATGAAGATCGACCGGGGATGCTGGGTGGGTAGGGCGGAGGTTAAATTTCCAACGACTGGGGGGAAACAATGGTGGTCTATCAACTCCATGTATAGGCGGCCATACCATATAACAACACAACAATAAACTCTTTGAGGTTAATTCTTTCTAGTCTCTCTCATAACTCCTAACCTCTCCCTCTCCCTCCCTCCCTCTCCCTCTCCCTCTCCCTCTCCCTCTCCCTCACTCTCTCTCTCCATTATTTCCATTCTCACTCATGTCCTACTCTCTGCCTTTTCTTGTGTAGTCTACTAGATCAACGTGGTTGGTGGGTGGCTAGACCTGTTCAGCTATGTAACCCTCTCAGGGGGTAGGGTCAGGTGAGCACTTGTCGCCGGTCACCAGTCTCAGTATGTACTCAGAAGTACCCAGCGTTTGCATTCCCGCAGCACAACGCCATCGCGATCCCCCAGATAGATCTTCCAGATTCAGACAATTCCAAAAAAAGAACCTAGAAAAAGATTCAAAAAAAGCAAAAAAGCCTTGTTTCTGGCAACGAACAAATACCGCTGATTCAACTCAAGTACCTAGTGTGGATGTATTTACAGCAATTAGAGTACACATTTTTCATGTACCGGGTGTACATCTTCTCGTTGCCATAAGCGCCTGCAAGAAGTTGCCAAACTTGCCGAAAGTCTGTCCACCCGCTCTCCTTCCCATGCCCCGATCATCCATGTACGTTATTCTTGATCTTCGCCATTTCTCGGATCATCCTCCGCCAGGGTTAGCTGCCAAAACGTGCATATTCAAAAGTACTCAAAAGTGCTTATCCTAAGCCCGCACGCCTTCAAACTCTCCCTTTAGCTTTCACTTTTTTGAGTCAATAGCTAATCAATATGAGCCCTGGTAACACTTGAGGCGGACTAAAGCACTAGGCGAATTATTCTCGGGGTTTTCTTTTTTATAGGTACGGGTTGTGTGTCAAATAAATGGTTCAGAAGCATGTGTACGTACGTACGTGCATCCAATGTAGGATGTAGCTAGCTGTAGAGAAGAAACACTACATGTAGTGGAAGGGGTGCTATGTACCGCTATTGAGAGCTGATATATCAGTTTTAAATCACTTTCTTGTTTATTTTACATTTATTTATTTTATTTTTTATTTTTTATTTTTTATTTCTTATTTTATTTTTTTCCCTTTCACACCCCTCCCATCTGCCGTCGACTCAATGCAGCCCATGTGCCCCTCGCATCTGGTTAGCCTAATGGCCTAGACCGAGACAAAACTATTTTCGATGGCGCCTGTATCTTGAGAGCGGGGGGGGCAAGTCATTTTGACAATAAGACCAGCAGGATAAGCAAAGAAGCCGAGTCTGATCGTGCAGAATAGTCAGATAAGTGAGGTATCGTGAGAGATATTTCATATTCTCTTCCAGCCTCTCATCAGGGCTTTTTTCCCGATGGAGGGATGGTCGATCTACACGGAAATCGGGTTTCTACAGGTGTCATCTTCGAGTTACCCACCAATCATGAGCTATCACTCGCAATAATACCTTCGTCGAGTAACCGAGTAGCCAGGGTCAGAAAATGCAGTAAAAAGCCTTCTATCGGTATTAATGTATGAGCATAGACCTATAGATTCTAGATTCATGTGAGGACTGGACGTAAAGACCTATGTTGCCTAGTCTATCATGGAATCTCCTGGATGAAACCTTACTTCTTGGCCACGTGCGACAGAACAAACCTGTCGAATCGACCAAGTTACGGTTAGACCTCCTAGACACTGAATCACTGAAGTTCAAGCGAGCTCGAGCCATCAACAACCTAGCTCTACTCTAGACACGGACGTCAGGCGATCTCGGGGAAAGAGCGCTTCCCCGCACCTTCCAGCGTCTCACTCCCGCGGCGGCTGAGATACATGATCGACCGACCCTTCCTGAAGATCAATCAAGCGCGAACTGATGGCAAAGAGGATAAATCAAACTTCATCAAGTTAGCTGAGAGAAGTCGCCACATTACCTGTTCTAATCCTCACGATGTCAAGCTAGATAAGAACAACGGCCCCCGCGTGACTAGTTCCTAGCTAGCTGGAAGGCTGAGCACTCAAATACTTATCGTCACGGCGTTTACATTTGACTTCGCTATCTAGCCAGCTATCTTGCGGAATCAGCTCCGGAACTTTCCACATCTTGGAGCTGCATTTCCTGAGTTTTGATAGTTGAGACACACACCATCACCACCACCACCACCACCACCACCATCACCATCACCACCTTCTCTTCCTCCTCCTCCTCCTCCTTTGGGTTTAAGTTGTTTTATTTCCAAACTCATAATATCTTGTTTCATCCCTTGGCTGACGAGAGGAAAGGCAAACACCCTAGGGCGTTACTTCGCCATTGTTCAATCGAGGTCTAGCTTCCATTAGCTCGGAGGTCAATATTCACATATCTGTTTCGATAGATGGATATTGAATCTCGAGCCCGATATCCGGTTGTCGATCAGGGTGCCTCCATGCCTCAGATATATTTATGACCCCACACCATGCATAAAGGAATGAGCACAAAAAGCCTATGGATCCGTTATATTTCCTGCGCAACAGGCAACGCTTCAACGGTTACTATTCCGCTACTTGAGGGCGAGATATTAGTGCTCAACGTCTGCAAGGATCATCGACGTCTACATCTTTCAAAACGTAACTCGATCTCGTGTGCTCACCGATACGGCTTGGTCCGATCACTGACCCTGTTTGAGCGATATCTACCATTTTTATGGCTCTTCGACCTCGCCAATAAGGCCGCAACTTCTTTTGACCGAAGATCATATCCGAGGGTAATGATCAAAAGCAAGAAATACATTTCTGCTAGTTAATGGAGCTTGACCCTGAAAACGACGGCAAAAGGCGGCCCGCAATACTTACCCCTAGAAGTGCATATTGCTCCCAGATATGCAGCTTTTCGTTGAGGATAATGTGTAATTCACCCCACCTTTAGCGGTTACTGCTGAATCACCTATTGTTGTACAGTATTGGAAGCTAATTATATGGTAGTTTAGCAACAGTTATTATTCGTTCAGCGCTTAAAACGCCCTCTCTAGGCAGTTATCGCGGATCGATGATCCAGATACAGGTCTAGAGGCCGGGGGTCGGTCTAGAGCCAATAGACGAGCACGTGCATCGGAATCACGAAACAAAATTGCAGACATCTATTAATTCACAACTATCGACAGGCATAGAGGATGCGGTCAAGAACATGGTGCGCACTGTTGATTTCAGATGCTGCACGTGGATTTATACCCCTTAGATGCCCAATTATAGGCAGGGTTACTATCGACTGGGCGGGAAACCTCTCGATGAGAGCACGCGCAGGGCCTAAGGGATACTGACGAATAGTTGTCTGGACTGGATGTCTCCTAACTGTACAATGTTGAGTGCGTTGTGAATGCTAAAAACGCCTTCCCTCCTGCAGAATCTAAAAGTAACACCCCCTTCCACATTTTCATTTCCCCCCACGGATCCAAGACAAGGCCCACGGGAAAGCACCCACGCTTTAAAGTTAGGCGAGATCGGTACCACAACAGCCGTTGAATGTTTCATCTTCCTCACTAGAGTTAACGCACTCAGGAACCTCGGTACGGCGGCACTGATCACCGTGTGACGAATCGCATCAGTGCGAGCGCCGAGCTAAACAGGTAGATGTCGCGAAGTTGCATAAGAGTGTTTACTTTACGAGTCCTGAGCGCGCGCGAACCTGGGTTACGGGCGGCCTTTTCAACTCATCTATCCTAGCTTTGGGGAGCTTGGGGTCAAAAGAACCGGGAAAGATACTTAAAAATATGTAGTAGTACCATGAGTTCGTGGGCCTGGAATGATTGGTGTTACCGATAGCCTCACTACACACCGTACGGCGTAGTCGAGACTGGCCGGGATAAACAAGCCACACAAACAATTGTTTGTTGTATTAATACACTACAAGATAATTGTAATTGAAGTAGAAAATTCCTCAGACTTTACCGGATTCCTGTACAATATATATGAATAATTAGAAGCCAGAATATCCAGTTTTATCCTGTTAGTTTTGACCATTCATTCGCGCTCTAACAATTTCTCTGCTGGTCGGATCTTTCCTTTCTTTTTGTACCTTGACGGTTACTTTCCATTCTTTTATATTACTTTTTACGTTCAAGAGGCGGTCTAGACGACTATAATCTCACCTGATATAATCAATATCATTTTGTAGGCCTATCATCTTGTTTTCTTGGACAGATGCGAGGACAAGCGATTCTTACGGCGGCATTATCCGGACTTTTCTTTTCCCGGTCTGTGCTGGCTACTAATTTCATCCAAGGAGGTAAGAACACCTAGATTCTGACGTATGTATCTATCAATCTGGACTGATATATCACAGTCAATATTGGGGCCTGGCTTGTGTTGGAAAAGTGGATGAATTCTGAACCTTTTACGAATACCAACGCTGAGGACGAATACTCATTATGCAAAACATTGGGGCCTGATAAGTGTAAAACGGTACTAGAAGCCCATTGGGGGGGGATCCTGGTTCAACCAAGCCACTGTCACAGAACTGGCCAACTCTGGCGTCAATGCGTAAGTGCTTCTGAACTCTAAAAAAATGTTTCATATATCAACGCTGATTCTAGCCGTCTTGACGCAGGCTTCGTATTCCAATTGGATACTGGGCTTTTGACAATAAAGATACACCATATGTCCAAGGTTCAGCTGCATGGATGGATAAAGCCATAGAATGGGCACGTACTGCCAAGATGAAGGTCTGGGTTGATCTTCACGGTGCTCCAGGTAGCCAGAATGGATTTGATAACTCCGGGCAATCGGGAGAGGTCTCATGGCAAAAAGGGGATAACATCGAGCGTACAAAAGAAGTCCTAAAAATAATGGGGAAGAAATACGGAAGCAAGAAATATGTGGACGTTGTTGTTGGAATCCAACTCATCAACGAACCAATATCATGGGGAAATAACAATTTTGATACAACTTATCAATTCGCAGTCGACGCCTACTGGGCTGTAAGACAAGCGGCCGAAAACAAGAAGTTGATGGTCATCATGCATGATGCATTCAAAGGGGTATCCAGTTGGGAAGGCCTTCCTGAAAGAACTTCTGCTGGTGGTCCTGAAAGTGGTCTCCTGGGTATCGATACCCATATGTATCAGGTTAGTGATTTTTCCTAGATTCCCCCATAAGTGTTGGATTGTTCCTCATCACATCTCGTTAATACGATACTAGTGTTTTGTTAAAGAAGACAAGTCTCTTACCCAGGAAAAACACGTAGAAAAAGCTTGTGGCTGGGCCACTGAACTTAAGAAATCCAAAGGGTTCCTGTCTACATACGTCGGCGAATGGTCTGCTGCCACAGACATCTGCACGTATCCTGACGGTACTAACACAGCTGGGGCCACATGTAACGTTGACGGCTGTCAATGCCAAAGTAACGTAGATAGCAAACAGTGGAAACAACCCATGAAGGATGCCGTTAGACGTTATATGGAAGCCCAGCTGGATGCGTTCGAGCACGGTGCCAACGGATACTTCTTCTGGGCATTCAAAGGGCCGGGGGCGTGGAGCTGGCTGAATGGTGTCCAGCAAGGATGGATTCCTCAGCCTTTGGATGATAGAAAATTCCCTAACCAATGTAAATTTTAGCCATGTATTTAGATATCAACATATAAAATAGATAGACCAACAAGAGATAATTCCTGTTAAAGTTTTTGAGGAAGTATCGTGATATAGTTTCACCAAGATTGTCGACAGGTAAGGTGTCTTCAAACTACTATAGATGATTTGGATATTTGGTAAAGAGCAGCCCTATGACACTGTCAACTGGGCGCTTAAGCAAGTTTAGCTTGTATTAAATGGAATCACTGTTGTCACAAAAGTGTTGTAGTTTTCAGGGTTGGGGGTCTGGATATCATTGTCAGGTTACATCATGGTAACACCTGTTGTGTGACAGCCATGCGGGGATCGGTAAGCCAAAGCGCATACATCCCCCGTCTCTTGGCATTCAGGCATCGCGAGCGTTGCGGACGAACACCACTGCTAAACAACCTCGACAGAATTCCGTCATATCCAAACATAACAGTCGTTCTCTACTGTCAATGAAGATGAATGAAATTGGTGTTGACGAGAATAAGATCGAAGCATTAGTCCAGTTGGGCCTCCCACGAGATGCCGCCGTACAAAGTTTGAAGGTTCCGGCCCCGCAGCTATTGTCGATTTACATAGACCTCCCCTCAATCTGGCTTCTCTAATCCTCATAATATCATTTTCTAGTCTTGCAACGGCCAACTTGAGAGGGCAGCAGAGTATTATTATGGCGGAGACTACCAGAAGGTGAGCTATATCTGGATAGGTTTCTGTGGAGGAGCATAAAAAACTTATGATGTCACTTTAGGCCCAGGATAGTGTAAAATGGAGCGAAGAGGTTTGGGCCGCACCTAGGGAGGGCCCGACTGGTCCAGCCCTACCACCAGGTATTGACATAACTCACCTCGTATGCTTCATCAGCGGATGGAGCTTTTTTTTTAAGCAATGGAAACGACAGTTTTAACGGATTCATGCCTGTTTAGAGTTTCGCATACAATCATTGGATGTGCTACCCCCCAGTGTCTTTGAACCCGACTCTCGGCCGCCTTCTAGAATCTCAAACCGGAAACCAATCGATTTAACGGACGGAGACGAAAACGGTAGATTTTCATGCTTTAGGTTGGACGGACCGGTTACTGATATCTATGAAACGCCAGATCCCGAACTTGCTCGAGCTCTGGCAGCTTCATTACAAGAATCTTCTGGAGACCACTCTGGTGGCTACTTCAGTCAACAGGAAAGCGGAATTACGCATACTTCACCAACGAACCCCAATTTTGGGCGAGCACCGCCAGAACGAGAGTATGAACCCAATCAGTGGGCTTTGACCACAACACAGACCCATGAGATATTTCTTGACCCTTTCCCTGCAGATAGGAAGCGTATACAAGGAGATCCATCGTTTCTCAGACCTGATAAGTCAGGGGGCAATCTTGCTGCTCTCATCACAATACTTCACGCTATTCCAGGTGCCAGAGAGGCCCTCTTGTTCAGAACACTTGTTAGTCCGGATTACGGTCATGATGACCAATGGTGGAACGGGCAGACGATCAGAAAATTGAGGATTGTTAATGTCGATGAACATCTAGAGGCATTCGCACCCGAGGAGATAGTAGAGGCCCAGCGTCTGATGGCCTTCTTAGACCAAACAACAAGAGCTTATGGAAGTGTTGAAGGGCTATCTTCTTTACAATCCATACAGAATGATCCGCATAGTGGTAATTCTCTTCAGTCTAGCACTATCACCGAGAAAATCTCGGTCTACTCATCGTCTGACAGATTACTTGTAGCAGGGATCATAGCGGCTTTCTTTGACGCCTGGAGAATTGCCACTGATAAGGTTGTTTATGATCTGGGCGAGAATGTACATTTTGTAAACCCGTTTGTATCAACGGCTACCCAGCGCCCTCGAGAGGCCTCGATTTCCGAAGTTGAACCCCAAATTAGTCATCAGAAATTCGGAGATCTTACCCTCATATCGTATGCAGAAGATGCCACACTTTACGATGCGATTGACAGAGTGGTTTGGATACTGGATGATAATGATGTTTTCGTGGAATTTTCGGATGTTCTCTGCATATCAATTAAACCTGATATCAACGATATTCCGCGTATAGGTTGCAGGCTGGATATCCCGATGACTTTCTATCCAGACCGATATACTGAAGATTGGATTGAGCCTGTCCGAGAAATCAGAAAGCAAATAGAGGAAAAACGGGCTTTGATTGTCGATATTGAAATAAAAGAGGAGAAATTGAGGAATTTCAGGTCTAAGAAGATCGGCGGACGAAATCCTACATACGATCCGAAAATACTTTTAGAATCTGTGATTGAGCACCTATCGACTCCACAACCACCAACACCCTCTCCCGCTGATGATGGGCACGAGGATGTGCCCACCGAGAGCCAGAAGGATAAGCCAGAGTTGCAACAAGACGCTGATATACAGTCCCAAATGGGTGACAGTCTGTATTCCCAGGATCGAGATCAAGACACGGTTCATATGTTGAAAAGCATTCTTTCACAGCTAGAAAAGAAATTGGACGGTATGATATAACCCTTAAACGAATTAGCGATCGGCGGTCTGATCTTTAAATAGACCTCTCAGTGAAAAAGGAAGAGGCCCATAAAGAATTTAAGAAGCTCAAGGATTTATTAACATCACCCGAAACTTCCGATCCGAACTTACCTGCTCTAACAAAATATTCACTGCGTGGCTTCTCTACTGAACCAACTGTAGTTTACGTGCTTATTCCGGATGACACTATCGGGGTCTCTATCGATGGCGCTTCTTCAAGTTCCGCCAATACATCCGGAGAGCAATGGTGGTGTATTCACTGGGGAACAACCTCTAACTCAGGATGGGATGATACCCCTACAGCGAGTTATGAGGTCAAGAAGGTGGCCCTAGAAGAAGTTCAATCGACGATGAAAAACACAGGCGACGGTTCATTATTACTAGTTTACGCCAATGACAATGCCCTCATACCTCCAGATGGTGTACACATGTTTTTACCAACAGCCCTCCAAGTATGTGTTCTGGGTGGAATCAAGCTCCGGGAATTAACATGACTAATTTGATACTTTTAGACATTTGTCGAGAGGGATAACGCCGCGTTTAAGGCAGAGCTACAGCCTACTTCTCCAGGGAAAAAGCGACACAGCGACTGGCTAGAAGACGAAGATGAAGCGGTGGATATGAACAGTTTCTTGTCCAAAAAGGCATCTTCCTCGAGAAGCAGTGTGACGCTTGAGAACGAAGCCCCAGCCACGCGTCGAAACAGCTTGGAAGGCGCCGAAATGGAGATGACAGAAGGAGTAGATCCGACAGCAACATTAGGGGAGACAATGATAACCCATCTTCCAGATGGTAATTTTATAAACACTTCAGAACTGGCACCTCCTCCTCGTCAAGAGGAGATGACGGAGAGGGGGCATATCTCACCTGTTGCAAAAGCTTTCCATTTGGACAAGAATAGGGAAAGGGATATTGAAATGATGGATGTGGAACATGTGGAAAATGCAGGCACCGAATTAGAGGATTTGGCAAAGACCTGAATTAAAAGTAATTGGGACGGGGGGGGGGGGGAGATGGAATAGTAGTACTTTACTCTGTACGATTTTTAGGGGTTTGCATTCTTTTTTTTCTCTTTCATAGTTCAGGCTGATTACAGCATAGGGATCTGCTACATTCACATACACTGGTAGTGATTTATTATGTTTTACTAGTATGTACTTGGCTGTTTGATATTTCGATATACAAGGGAGAAGAAATGATAGAAAACGCTCCCGAGCTCCAAAAACGGACCAAGTATATATTCAAGAGGCGGGACATTGATTATGTTAAGATTCATATTAGAAAGACAGACTAAACACCAATTTGAAGCCCCATGCCCAATCCAACCGCCAATCAACCAAACCAGCCTTCTGGCAACCCAACCCAACCAAACCCCATGCGTTCCATACAAGGACAATCAAGAAAAGAAAGAAAAAGGAGAAAAAAAGAAAAAGAAAGAAAACTGATAAACCATCACGACACATGTAATATTACAGATATTCCGCAAAAATTTGTTGTCGACAGACGGAGGGTTTTCTACGGTCTATAAATGAAAATGGTATGGGGGAAAGTAGTAGTAAAAAAAAAAAAAAAAAAAAAACTCCATGGGGACCAATAAGATAAGATAAGAAGCTATCCAAAAGGAGAAAGAAATAGGACAGCCTGCATAAGTGGGACGTGGCAGACCGAAGCTGCAACCCCCACTACTAACCACCAACAACCACTCAGGGAAAGAAGAAAGAAAAAGGCCACATTTTATAGTTGAAGAAAGTTCAATTATAACAGAACAGTGACCCTCTGAGAAGTAGTAGAAGTGTTTCCTAACGGCCGTCTATTTGGCGATAGGGTCCGAGGCGCCGAAGGGATCAGATCCTGCTACCGACGAGGACTTGCTGGCGCCACCGAAGAGACCTCCCGACTTCGCGAGTCCTCTCGACTTTCCAAACGACTTTGAGAGAAGTTTTGGTTTACCCCTACAGAAAAATCATCAGTCTATATACTTAAATGGTTGGTTGTTGAAGTTATTGGTTACTACTGACTTTGCGAAAGATTTGCTCTTAACGTTCTGGAGCTTCTTGCTACAGGGTGTCATCATGTCATCGGTAGGAGAAGTGAACGGAGCATTTTTCTGCTCAGCAAGCTTCTGCTGGAGAAGCTGGCGCTGCATCTCAAGGGTTGTAGGGGCCGGGGCGTTCTGCGCCTGGTGCAATGCTTGGATGGCCGGAGAAGGTTCAGCAGAGCTAGCTTGGCTAGCAAGCTTGGAGACAGGTGTACCGGGTGCAGACATTGTACTTTCTTTGATGGCTGTAGAAATTGTTTGTGAGAAATAATTGAGGGTTTTGGGTTTGGTTTGGGTGAAGAGGTAAGATGTTGGTGGCAGAGAAAAGAAAGAACAGGATGGCTTAATTTGTAGTCGCCAGTCAACAAGAGAGTACCTTGTAGGTGGTTGCCAGAGCAACACCGCGGAGCCGCACCGAACAGTGGGCATAAACAAGACTGGGTCGGATTCCTGTGCAGTCCAACACGCGCTCCCCTGAGAGGAAGAAAAAGAAACTATACAAAAAGAAAATATCTTACTCCGTCCTCATCCCGTTTTCGGTTTTCTTGGAGTCTTGGAGTCGGTCTAGGTTTCCTTGAGCAGCAGGTGAATCATGTGATATTTCCAACTGGATCAGCAACGCCCGATATCGATGCAAGCTCTTCATTCTTGGTGCTAGTAATTCATATATAGGATCCTTAATATGTAGATCATTGTTATAACTATAAATTGGGCATTATGGTAAACAACAGCAAGATAGAGAAAATGCTTGGTATGTACGTCCCTGGATTATGGAACAACTATGAGAGTATATTACTGCGGACGCCTTCGAATCCATGAAAACCTCTATAGGGCAACAGGATTTTCGTTCTAGAATGATCTATTGAGGAGTAGAGACAAAATTTGGCTTATTTATTTTGGCTTCAAAACTTCATTGGTGTATTATGAATTCATGATTAATTTGGCTTCTTCGGCGACACAGACTAGTTTAAAGCTAAATTCAGGGACATCATTCAGCAGGTGCTATCAAAACTTCAGATATGTGCATGCCCTATATCCAGGTTTCAGCAGAAATTTAAGGGCCATATTCATTATCACAGTTGCCGAGCACGAGGAAAGAGCTTAGTGGAAGACAAGCTCTTATGAGAATATGGTGCATGTTGGGGAGTTCTCGGTACAGGCACATGTAGTTTTTCGCTACGAGAGTTGATCCATTCCACTACATGTAGATAACTCAACTGATCGAGTGATTTCTAATGATTCCCCATACCACATTAGAGCCATAATATGTATTTTACATTTCCCTGCACACACCCACAGGCTCACTCATACCTCACCACGCCGAGCTGAGCGGGGGAAGGCAGATAATTTCAACGCGCCCACGTATATTGAGTCACTACACCCCTGTCGCTCGGTGTTAATATGCATTTGAAATCATTTCCACTCAAGGATAGTACCTACGCGCCCACACGTATATCGGATCACTGACTCACAGAGTTTTCAAGTTGAAACCTGCTACTCCACTGGTTCTTATCAAAACTGTTGGAACTGCTTTGAAATCAGTTAAGCCAGCTGCAGTGACTCACAGGCGAGAGAGGAGTAATAGGTGTCTAATAACAACAGTAAATTTTGTATAAGTGACTTTTAAGGCTGACTCGAGAGACAATGCTTGTAATCACGTGATACCCCGCCGCGCCGCGCCCTCCCCCCAACTCTAGAGCATTCGCGTTCCTGAGGGTCACAACTCTGGGTTTGATATAAGAACTTAAGGTGAGCTATATAACGAGCCTCTCCACCTACCTTCACACGCTCTTTCATCTTTCATCAATACCGTCGCTACATACCTTCGATTCACCCAAAATCTACTCTCACATATTCCCAACGCAAAATGACCCAGGATATACAGGAGCTTAGGAAAGCCGTCGAACTTTTCGGCGGTGCCGTTGTATGCGCAGTCCCAATGGGCTTTCAGGACGCCTCGTATGTGCGCCTCATACCCTCTGCAGTTGTAGTCATGTACTGATTCTTTGTGCGGAAAAACTAGAAACTTCCGTGAAGTCCCAGACAACCAGGAGGTCTACGTCTCCATGACCGATGGCAACGACATCACCGTAATTTTCGATATTACGCAACGGGTCGAGGCGCCTAGTGGACCCTCTGACATGGACGCCGTGGACTACCATTTCGAGGACGTCGCAGTGGACCAAGATCGCACTGCGAAAATTTGGAACAAAAGATCTATCTCTGTCCCCCATCAGTATGTAGTTTCCTCAGCCTAGTTGTTTGAACTAGAGTATAAAAGCTAATATTTCTTGGTGGCAGTTCTGATAAGCCGGCTTATCAGGTCATTGGTACGGTGTCGGCGCGGCCGACTGAGCAGCCTACAGACCCACCGACCTTTATCGCCATCATAATGACGATATTGAGATTGAAGGAGCAGACGGCCGATATCGTGATCACCGTCAATATACCCTTCGATAATCCTGAAATGGTGAGGAGCGAGAAGTGTATTGCAAGCCCGACATATACTGGCGGCGACATCGATCCGTCAAGTGGAGTCAAGAGTGTGCTGTTGGAGTATGGGATGAAGGTATCGCAAGATTTAGTAAATGCGTTCCAGATTCTGGACTTCGGCTTGTTTTGCGAGGATCCAGTGGAGTAGGAGCATTCATTGCAAGTATTGGATAGATAGATATATACGGGAAAGAGATCAATTCGAATAGGAAACGTAGGAGATCACTTGGCCGGGACATGATGAGACGAGTGATATTCGATGCAGCGACACGTTGTTTAATTCATTAATTGCATGCAACCTTACATGCAGCGACACGTGCACCACGGATACTTCTAATTTGTTAACTAAAGGCTTTATTTATTACCGCTGGGACGTGCCATAATTAAGTCGGCGTTATAAATCTGGTGGCAAACATCCGATACAGAATAAGTACGAACATGTAGAGATATATGTGGAGTAGCTCAGACCATACATGGCACATATCCTATACAGTCGCCCTCCGATGTAACGAATGCCACTATACCGAATATTTTCTGTACCGAACCACTTGGGCCAGCTTCTTTTTTGTTTCAGCAAAGAATTTAGTCCGCTATACCGAATAATACCGAATAATCTGCTGTACCGAACGAAAAATGGCCCAATATGCACGTTCGTTATAGCGGAGGGCGACTGTATATCCCCACCTATCATCCCCGGCTCCCCCACACATTTAGCAGTGCAGGGGATATGTTTAGTCTTCCCGACCCCTTCCCTTCCCCAGTCTTGGCAAGACACAGATGTGGCCTAACACACCTGAGCCGAGCTACCGAGGCTCAACCAACCCTCTTCCTGTGACGACCCTGAACTACATAACCCGCGTGTCTTCTCGCTCTCAGCTCTAACTTGGATAGCCCATACCTCAATTACGTACCGTAACTCTCCCTCAAAACAAACAATTACAAACAATATGGTCTACGAAGTTCCTGCCATTGTGGCGGACAAGGTGTCGCCGAGAGCTAAGCAACTGTTGCAGAAGGTAGCTTCTTCTACCACTAAATTTTATAATTAGTAATACTCATAAAAGATAATTCTCAGGTCTCAGACTTTGTTGAAAACGAATGTATCCCCGCCGATTCCATCGTCGACGCCCAACTCCCTACCGACCCTTCAAAACGCTTTCTTAACACCTACCCTTCTATAATCGACGAGCTCAAGGCGAAAGCCAAAGCACAGGGCCTCTGGAATTTGTTCTTGTCACAGATCCACTACAAAGAGGGTGTGGCATTGACAAACCTCGAGTATGGACTCATGGCTGAGCTCTTGGGGAAGAGCTTCGTAGCGTCAGAGGCTATGAATTGCTCGGCACCTGACACGGGGAATATGGAGGTTCTGGCGAAGTACGGGAATGAGGCGCAGAAGAAGGAGTGGCTGGTACCGCTTTTGAATGGCGAGATTAGGAGCGCTTTTGTTATGACGGAGAGAATGAAGGCGAGTGCGGACGCGAAGAACATCGATCTGGATATTAGACAGGAAGGAAACGAGTATGTGCTCAATGGATCGGTATGTTATTATATCCTACTCATCTCTACAAAATAGAGCTGACTCGGCCAGAAATGGTGGAGCTCTGGTGCTGGAGACCCACGGTGTAAGCTTTACCTTGTCATGGGTAAGACGGACTCCAACAATCCCAACCCCTACAAGCAGCAGTCAGTGGTTATCGTACCCGCAGGGACCCCCGGAGTAACAGTTCTCCGCTCTCTGTCAGTATACGGCTATGATGGTGAGCATTCCTTCTATTAAAAACTGATTATGAATATTAACCCCGTTGCAGACGCTCCTCACGGCCACTGCGAACTCATCTTCAAGAACTGCCGTATCCCTATTACAAACATGGTCCTCGGCCCCGGGCGTGGTTTCGAGATCATCCAAGGGCGTCTTGGTCCAGGCCGCATCCACCACTGCATGCGCTCCATCGGCGCCGCCGAGATGGGTCTTGCCTACATGATTGCTCGCGTCAACGACCCTGCGCGCAAAACCTTTGGAAAGCTTCTCTCCGAGCACGGCACTATCCTTGAATGGATTGCCAAGTCTCGTATTGAAATCGATGCTGGAAGGCTGCTAGTGCTACAGGCCGCAGAGAAGATTGACCGTTCCGATGCAAAGGGCGCCATGAACATGATCTCAGAGGCGAAGATCTATGTCCCCTCTATGGCATGTACAGTACTTGATAGAGCAGTCCAGGCACACGGAGCTGGTGGTGTAAGCCAGGATTTCCCAATTGCAAAGATGTGGGCACACCAGAGAACACTAAGAATCGCGGATGGACCTGATGAGGTGCACCTGAACCAGTTAGGCAGGACAGAAAATAAGAGAGCCGAAGAGATTACGGCAACGTTGAAGATGCAGAAAGCGAAGGTTGAAGAACTGATGAGGCAGTACAAGATCCAGGACAAGTCGAAGTTGTAGGATTTGGGGGATTAATGAATTATGAAAGACAATACCAGTGTGGTGCAATGACAGTCTGTACTTTATAAAATTTATTTTTATTTTCCCCTTGACCCTGAGATAGATTCCCGTATAGTTATCGGGTGATTGTTCCAAAGTTGTGGTAGAGAAAGTTTGATCTTAGCACAAGTTGTCGATGATCATATCCAAGATTCATCTAAAGTTAGTACACGGCTCCTTTGGGTGAGAGTAATTTAAGATTGTAGATATTCGATATTCTTTTAGGCATCTGAAGAGTAAAAGAGGTTATGGCATTTCTGATATTCATGTACTCGCGCGCTCATTAAATTGCCGGAACTTTTGTAGGGGTTTTACTGCAATGATATCCAGACCATTTAATGAATGCACGAGTAAAAGCCCACACTTATTCCACTGTCTGAGAACATGGGTGAGATAATAGAATACTCGAGTGATAATCTGTGATTTAGCGTTCCTGATGCCGTGCCTCTTTTCTCGAGTCCTTTCTTTGTGGGGAGGGCTTTTAGCTCTCCTGTCTATTCAATTCTGTAGTCAGCCGTCTTTATTAAGAGAGAGAGAGGGGAAGAAGTGCTGAAAGGTGAGTAGACGGGATGCATATGGAGGACAAGGAGTGGACAGGAAGGAGGATAGTCGACGAGTAATGTGGGGATGGGGGGAAAAGAGTGTAGAGAATTTAGAGGGTATATATCTGGTGTCTGCTTCCTCGGATGAGTTTTATTTTCCGTCTCTCTCCTCCCCACTTGAGGGAGTAAAGCAAGTCGTTGTTGCTCGAGCTTTCTATGTACTCTACTGGCGCGTCTGTTTAATTGGCGCCTTGGCGTTTAAATATTATTTCTAGTCAAGAACACACATAGGCGAGTGATGTAACGGTTCTTTGCACGACTCGCCTGCTGGACACCGAGAGGTTGTGCCTGGTCTTCGATTACAGAAGGTCCACGGTTCAATCCAGGGGTGGGAGTAGTAGATTTCGATCTGCAGTACTTTTTGTTCTTTTTGGGTATAAACGAAGAATGGAAACAGCTACATGCATGATGCCTTGGCTACGGGGAAAAAACGAATGTTCTATTTCTAGAGAAGGCTTTCTACTTCATGGCCGGTGATTAGTTTTTCCGAGTGGTTGTATTTGGTGAGGGCAGGTGTCCGCTGTGCTTGTGGGGTTGTGGTCCTGTTTTTAGGAACGTTACTATAGAGGAGTGGACTGCTGCGGCACCTGTGGAGATGTTGTAGCTTTAGGGGAGAAAGAATAGAGGTATGGCTGTAGGTTGATGATGGGTTTAAGTCTGTTTAGGTCCTGTAGATTGTACCCGATATGCGATCTAGAGTTTATCCTGAATCTATCTATTTACGTAGCATTGGTGTATTTGTGTATGGGGGGTTCATGTACATATACTCTAGTTGACCATGATGCGTGCTTGCAGTGGACAGGACCTCTAGCTCTGCTAGTAAGATCGGAGCAGGGATCTTTCATCTACTTTATCTCATCCTCGCGAGGAAATTTAAACCATTGACAGAGGGAATTGACAGAATCTACAGTATCCACAGTAGTTTAAAATGCAGGTTCATGTATGGTTTTTAGGACTCTATCAATGATTCTACTAATATCAATGATCAGCTTGACTAGCACTGTGCTAAATGAGTGACACCCCATGTCGCACTGCATCGGAAGCGCTGTGGCGCATCACACCAACTGTGGCTCGTGCTCACTAACAGCACAAGGCTGATTGGCCCATCCTCGTTGGCGGGGATTCCCTTCCTCCCTCATTCCCGAGGTAACGACTTTCTCCGTCTCTGAACTTCCCGGGCCCGCCCCATCACAAGCAACCGCAACCCGCAACAACCACCATTTTACAAAAAACCACATCTACACCCTTTCCTTCGCCCCATCATCCATCACAAACCTAATTAATTTTTCAATGGCTTCCGCATTCAGAACCTCCGCCCTGCGCACAGCAGCTTCCGCCTTCAAGACATGCGCTCGCCCGGCCCTCGCCGCACCAAAGATCGCCTTCTTGAAGCCGCAGCCTAGAATCGCCGCTTTCCACACATCAAAGTCCCTCAGCATTCTTCCACCTGGCCGCCGTGAGTCCCGACCGAGTCTTGCAGTGTGAGGAGGAGAGGGACATGTGCTGACTTAATTGCTTCACTATAGAGGTCATCGAGGGAACCAGTATGATATCCCGCCCGATCTAATCGGCTTGTTGCGTTGTCACAGTACTGATTACACCCTAACTATATAGTTAACGACGCCGCGCCCGTTCCCGAGTCAAATCCCTCCCACGGGTCTTACCACTGGACTTTCGAGCGTGTACGTTCCCCCGCCCCTCCTCTCTCCCCCCATCACGCACCATACTAACCTAGTCCTCACCAACACAGCTCGTCTCTGTCGGCCTCATCCCGCTCACCATCGCCCCCTTCGCCCTTGGCTCTGTCAGCCCCGTCACCGACGCAGTCCTCGGCGCTGCTGTCGTAATCCACTCGTACATCGGCTTCGAGTAACCCCCCCCCCCTCCTCTCTCTTTCTGAGAACATAAGCTAACATAAAGGGCGCGGAAAAGATCTTCGATCATTGACTATATCCCAGGGCGGAAGCACCCCACGGCGAAGAAGGTGTTCATGTGGATCCTCAAGGGCTCCACAGTCTTGGTCCTGGTCGGGCTGTATGAGTTTGAGACGAATGATGTGGGCATTACGGAGGCTGTGAAGAGGGTCTGGAAGGCTTAGAGGGGGCTGTTTGTTACTGGGCGTGAGAGGATGGACTGGGTAAAAAGTGGAGCCTTTTTTTTTTGTTCAACTTTTTTTTTTTTTTTTTTTGACGGTACCGCTGGGCCCTTGCGTTGCGTTGCGGTGTAGATAACTATATTAAAGTTTATTTTACCGGCGGGCCTGCTTATGAGGATTTGGATTCGGGGGGGGGGGGGGGGGGATGGCGGTATTGACTCTGCGGGGAAGAAATTGGCGTGAGGATGGATCCGGCTGGCGTCATATATCTATATAATAATTAACCGGCCAGCCGGCCAGCCAGTCAGCCAGACAATGGAAACCGCCCATAAACCAACCACACCATCAATTGCGACTTCTGGAGGTTTACATGTCTATCCAGTAGAGTACCGTTACGTCAAGTAGCTGAGCTGTGGAAATCAGTCCAATCCTGGCTAGTATCCGAGTGATAATTCATGAACACACGTCAAAAAAAACGTAAACCGACTCTACTGGTTGGCGGGTGTGTGAATATATAAAATGGAAAAAATCTAAAATAACACAGTTTTCGGCAAGTATACGTGCTCTGAAATAACACATGATGCAAAATGACACAGTTTGCTATGGTCGGTTGATTGGTTGGTGGCCCACCAGTTTGCTATGACCCGAATAGAAGCTCTGTTCGACCTCACATTCGGACAAAGCCAGTAAATGTAGGGATCGATTCCCAGCCCCACTACTCACCCTTCCTCCTCTAGAGAAACCAAAAATCAAAAATAGCCTCCTAATCTATTTAGCTACAAAAAAAGAAGAAAAAAAAAAGAGAAAAAAGAAAAAAAAGTACTGCAACCGGCGACGAAATCCAGTTACTACTCCCACCCCTGGCTCGAACCCAGGACCTTCCATCGTCCCGATCGCAAACACTCGGTGTCTAGCCTGACGAGCAGCCTAACCAACTAGACCACTCACCCATGGTGGATGCTGCGCTGGAAGTGTTATCTGAGCTAGCTTGGTAGTGTACCAAACCAAGAAGAAGTAGAACCCCTACTGGAGCCCTTCGGTGTCAATGCTCAGACGTCCATAATACAAGTACTACTACTTAAGTATTCATTTTAGACTATAGCATACTACAAGTATTTGCGTCGTGTGCTATTATAGAGCACCTCTGCTAAAGGCTGTGTCATTTTAGCTACATTTTCCGTATATAAAAACCTACAATTATCCTTCGGCCGCAGGATTGTAGGTAAAAGAGCCATCCTATCTGCCCTACTTGTAGCCATGCTATATATCGTGCGTACATATAGCAGGTTACAACGAACACTTCACATCCTAGCACCCAAAAGAAACTCTTCTGTCCCAAAGGCATCACGTACTTACATTACCGTCGGAATGGGTAAATTAATAAGGTTTGCTGTAGGCTTATCGTCGAAATATGGCATATTTGAGCGTTTTTTGACGAAAGGTTCTGTCTGTAGCCTTTTCTACATATAAGGTCCAAAATAGGGTAAGCATGAGCCGAAAAAAAGGATTGTATACACCTTTATCAGCCCATAAGGATTAGTTTAGGGTAAACATTATCCGAAAATCTAAGCCTTTATACCAGATATATCTTTTTTTATAAATAAGACTTTTTTCGGCAAATAAGGTTTATATAAGATTTGTAATTTCCGATTTTACTAGCATTTCATCGGCTAGCCTACTTATATATTACCTACAGCAGGGAAATTTCAGTTCTCCCATGGTTCAGTGGGTAGTATGAGGTATATGCTACCTACAGTGCTCTAGGTTCAAATCCCTTCTTTTCCTTTTTTTTAACCACCAAGGACATAATCTTATCCAGAAATAAGTCTTCAATAAGTCTTACAATATGGAAAAAGTCATATTTCGAAATAAGATTTTCCATCTAAAGTTTATTGCTGTAGGCTTGTCTACAGAAAAGCGATATATCAAATAAAAGCTTTATTTTAGGCTTATATAAGCTTCTCCTGAACCTTCCGCAAGCTTTATTTTTTTACCCGTTCCGACGGTAAAGTAGCTACATGTAGACTTTCCCCACCACCGGACCAAAGGAAGCATTCGACGATGTCTACAGAACCAGCACAGTTCAGTTGGAGAAACAGTTTAGTTGCCTATGTATATATATAAGTGTCTATCTTAGATTCCTAAAGTCCCGTGGTCTAAGGCCGATGGTGGTCTAGTAAAATTTAAAAGCCGCCTGGCAGAAAACCGAGTGACAATCCATGACGCCAATTACAAACTAAGCCCAAAGAGGGCAAGCGGGGGAGGAGGACCGGGCAATGATCATAACGTCAAAAGAAAAAAGGAACTTTTTTAATTTGGGGTCTGTCTATGTACTTGTAGATCTACTTGGAGTAACGAGATCCACGCACTGTATAGAACCACTAGAAGGAGAAGAAGAGAAGAAAAGGAAGGGAAAAAAAAAGAAGCACTTTTACCCAGCCATCCATTCACAAGCAAAAAAAAAAAAGCACACAAAAGAAAAAAAAGAGAATACGGCAATCTATAAACACCCACAAAAAAATGAGACTCTCTACCTCTCTACCTAACCCTCGAAGACCTCTTCGCCGGCTTCTCAGTAATCCGCGCCTTGCCCAGCCCCTTGCGGATCTCGTCGAGCTGCTCAAGCCCCGTGAGCGTCTTCCCCTTGCGCACGCGCGGGTTGTTGCGGCCGACGACGTTGTACCCTTCTAGGAACTCGTCCATGATGCTGTTGAAGTCCTGGCGCGTCTCGGGCACGGGGGCGGCGGGCGCGTCGTCTTCCTCTTCGGAGTCGTCGGCGTATTCTTCCTCGATCTATGTGACATATGTTGTTAGCAAAACAGGCTGTTACAATAAACACACAGATGGGGGGAAGGAGGGGGGGGGGGGGTTAGTACCTTATCGAATCGGGCGTCCAGCGTAGTAAGCCCCTCAGTACGGAAGAGGGAGGAGCTGGTCATGGAGTACCCTGAGCTCTCGGTACCCGCCTTTCTATGCCGCCGCCTGGTCCGCCCCGACATGGACATTGTGCCGCCGAAGGACGAGGTACCGCCGAACGACATTGTGTCGGCCATGGAGGAGGCGTCGTCGGCGCCCGCCATCTTCTTGTTGCGCTTCTCGGCCTTTTTGAATTTCGAGAACTCGCTCATCCAGGCGTTGTTATCGGCGGCGGGAGCAGCAGTAGCAGCGGGCGCATCCCCTTCTTCCTCCTCCTTCTTCCTGTCTGTCTCTTTCACCTCTGCTTTCTTCTCCCCGGCGGCGCTTTCCTCAATAGCTTTCGCCTTCTGGTGCTCCCCCGGCTTCTCCGTCGCATCCGACTCCCACCCACCATCCTCCTCCTCCTCCTCATCCCAGAAGTCCCCCTCATCATAAAACTCATCCGGTGTCGCCTCCCCGCCCTCCGCCAGCTCGCCAAAAATATCCTCATCATCATCCACATACGCCTCGTCCTCGAGCGCCTCCAGCACCTCCCTCAACCTCGGATCCATGTCCGGCCTGAACCCGCGAATCTCATCCTGCACATCCTGCTGGTCCCTCCACGTCCTTTGCAGCTGCACCTCACTCGCCATGAGCTCCTTCGGGATCAGCCTCTTTGGCTCTTTCTCCTCTGGGGCCGCTGCAGCTAGCGCGGCGGCAAGGTCGGTCTTGCCCTTGGCCTTGGGCGCCTTTGCGTCGATGATGACGGCCTCGGCGGCGCCGGGCTCGCGCAGGTGCTGCATGTAGTCGTAGGCGCTGTCGTCGTAGTAGATGCCGTACATTGCGGCCTCGCCCTCGTTCTTGCGGGGCGGGGCGGCGCCGGAGGCGGCGAGCTCGGTGGAGAGTTGGGTTGCATTCTTGATCTTGGTGTTGGTGTTGGGGGCGGCGACGGGGGTGAAGACGAAGTCGGGGGCGGTGGAGTCGTGGATGAGCGGGTCGGCTTGCGAGCGGTAGCGCAGTTGGTAGGTCTCGGAGGACTTTTTGTTGCTGCGGGGGTTGTTAGTGGGGGAGGGGTTTTGGGGGGAGAGGGAGGGGGAGGGGAGACTTGCATCCAGCGTTTGGTGTTGGGGGCCATGGTTTGTGATTACTGAGGAGGGGAGGGAGTGCGGTGTGTGTGTATCTGCTGTGTGTGGGGAAGGGCTCGGAGATAGTGGAGAGAGAGGGAGGGAGAGAGGGAGAGAGAGAGAGAGAGGGAGAGAGAGAGAGAGAGAGATCTAGAGATGTGTGGAAGAGTGCAGATGTCTGATTTCCAATCCTCAATTGCGCTGAAATAAATATTTATATGCAGCAGTCGAGCAGAACTTCTCTCGCCTGCGCCTGTCATGCATCAGTCATTCCTCAGCCAATCGCCCCACCGCAACGCTTCAACCCCACCACAAAAACGACAAAACCGCTGCCTGAGACAACGTCAACCCCGCTACATAAAAAAAAACTGCCCCCAGAGAAGAAAAAAATAAAAAATATCAACCAACCACAACCACAACCACAACCACAACCACAACCACCCACAAAAAAACAGATACAGAAATAATATCACCGCAAACACACACACCATGGGCCTACCAGAGAGCAAGAACCGAGTCGGCCTCGGCAGGGCACTCATGAACTCAAACAACAAGACCCGCAGACTCGCTGGTCGGGGGCGCGGCGCTGGCCGTGGCGGGTCATCGGGGCCTGGTGAAGTCGTACGTAGGAGAATCGCACTGTATGAAAACACCGTAGACAGAGGGCTAACAAACTGCGCTGCCTGTAGATGCTCACGGAGAAGCACGAGGTGGACTGGTACAAGATGCGGTCCATCACGCAGCAGAACGATCTTGACGGTGCGCATGCATTTGCAGTCCCCCTGTTTATAGATAATGGACAAGAAAGCTGATTGAGATATCATTGCGACTGCAGAGTTCTTGACGACGGCCGAGCTGGCAGATACAGACTTCACAGCCGGTATGGCTTCCCACGCCCAATTCACTCAAACCAAATACTAACCACCCCCCCCCCCCCACAGAGAAAATGGACATGAAAATCATCCACAGCAGCCAAACCAACCCCTACCTCCTCAACCCCGACCAAGAGCGCACCACCCTCGCCAAGCACACCGAATCCAAGCGCGAACTCACCGTGCCCCGCCGCCCCGCCTGGGACTCCACCACCACGCCCGCCGAGCTCGACCGCGCCGAGAAGGACTCGTTCCTGCAGTGGCGCCGCGGGCTCGCCCAGCTCGAGGAGTCAAAGGACCTGCTCATGACGCCGTTCGAGCGCAACCTCGAGGTGTGGCGCCAGCTGTGGCGCGTCATTGAGCGCTCCGACCTCGTCGTGCAGATTGTCGATGCGCGCAACCCGCTGCTCTTCCGCTCCGAGGACCTCGAGCGCTATGTCCTCGAGGTGGGCGCCGACAAGCGCAATCTGCTGCTGGTGAACAAGGCCGATATGATGACGCTGGAGCAGAGGATGGTGTGGGCGGAGCACTTTGAGAGGGAGGGCATCAGGTATCGGTTCTTCTCGGCGGCGCTGGCGAAGCAGAGTAATGAGGAGATGGAGTTCAGTGACGAGGAGGAAAGTGGAGATGAGGAGGTTGAGGTCGTGGATGAGAATGAGGAGGAGATTGTCAAGAGCACCAAGGACTTGAAGATCTCGAAGGAGACTGCTGCTGCTGCTGCTGGTGAAGAGGACTGGGAGGACGATGCATCTGACGCAGAGCCCGAAGAGTCCATTCGGACGAGAATCCTCACCATCGACGAACTGGAGGACCTCTTTCTCGAGCACGCCCCCGCACCTGAAGGCAAGCCCCCCCCTTCAAACCCTCTATATCATAAACCTCTATAAAAAAAATCCTCTGTATATAAAACAAAAGACTAACACCCCCCGCAGAAAACGCCGACCCCTCCGCCCCCCCGCGCAAAACCCAAATCGGCCTCGTCGGCTACCCCAACGTCGGCAAATCCTCCACCATCAACGCCCTCATCGGCGCCAAAAAGGTCTCCGTCTCCAGCACCCCCGGAAAGACAAAGCACTTCCAGACCCTGCACCTCAGCGACCGCATCATCCTGTGCGACTGCCCCGGCCTCGTCTTCCCCAACTTTGCCACCACAAAGGCGGAGCTCGTCTGCAACGGCGTGCTGCCCATCGACCAGCTGAGGGAATTCACCGGCCCCGCGGCGCTCGTGGCGAAGCGCATCCCGAAGCCGTTTCTTGAGAAGGTGTACGGGATTAAGGTTGTCACGCGCCCGCTTGAAGAGGGCGGAACGGGGATCCCCACGGGTGAGGAGCTGCTGTATGCGTATGCCAAGGCACGCGGGTTCACAAAGACGGGTGCGGGCAACCCCGACGAGAGCCGGGCTGCGCGGTACATCTTGAAGGACTACGTCAACGGCAAGCTGCTGTTCTGCCACCCGCCCAACACGGACCCACCCATTGACGCGCTGCACTTCAACCGCGAGCTCTACTCGGACGAGCATCTGCCGTCGCACCGGCGGACGGGGGGCGAGGACCACCACCACGACGATGATGAGGAGGGGGCGGAGGATATGGTGGTGCTGGGACACCAGGAGACGGGCAGGAAGAGTAGTAATCTTGATAAGCAGTTTTTTGGCGCGGCGGGGGGGTCGGCGGGGCATTTGAGGAACCCGTTTCATCAGGCGGCGGGGCAGGCGGGGGCGCTGCAGGGGGGCAAGGGGCTGTCGGGGAGGAAGGCGAGGACGATGATTGCGTTGGATAATGGGTTGAGTCCGGAGGATGTCAGGGCCGTGATGGGGAGTAAGAAGCATTTTAAGAAGGGGAAGAAGAGGGAGAAGGTTTCGACGCATGCGGACTTGTAGCGGCGGGAATATAAAAGTTTCGTTTTTTTAGGATAGTATTTTTTTTTTTTTGTTCTTCCTGCTTGTTGTGTTTGTGCTGTGTGTTCTTGTTGCTTGTTTTTCGTAGTGTAAATATTGGAATTTGGAGGACTAACAGTATACCGGGAGGGGCGGTGTTTTTTACTTTCTTTTTCTGTTCTGGCTTGTTGGCGCGGTTTTATTTACGATAACTACTTCTCTGTGGGGGTTTTTACTATACGTATGTACTACAATGGCAATGGGGCGGTCGAATACAACGCGGTTTTCTTTCTTTTTCTTTTCTTTTTTTACAGCTCTAGATCTGAAGGTGTGAATCATGTGTCTCGCTCGAGTGGGTTGAAAATGTGCTTTGGGTGCTGGTGCCAGTAAGGGAGTGAAATTATCTAGATCTATGGTATCTGATTGGTTCCGGTTTTGTGAGTTTTAATTCTAGCATCTAAAGACTCGTCGAGGTGTTTGTTGTGTTGTCTCGATGTGTTTATACTGGCCGTTGCCAGGAATAGGTATCGGTAATGATCACAAACACATGTTTTCCAAGCTACCTACCGCCCCCCGTCCGTCACTGGAAATCTGCAAATATCGAACTACTAAGACCACTCGATTAACCACCACCTCAATCCAGCCAAGCCCAGACAATTAACCTACAACACTCACGCCGAGACCGAGTGGTCTCGGCGCAACACAAACCAGCCCTTAAGCCCTACCATCGACCAAAACAGCAAAACAGTACTGGCAGGCAAACCGGCGTTTTCTTTATAAGCTCGACCAACGCCCCCTCTCTTTTTTTCGGACCAGGGGGGAACCTTCACCCCTCCTCTCCCCTCTCGTTACCCCCCTTTCCCACTTTTGTGGGGGAGGGGGAGACCTCTTCGCACCTCCTCCCTTCACCCTTCGGGGTGGAGGCAGGGGCCTCTTTCCGTTCGCCGGTCTTCCCCCGCATTGAGTGGGAAGGCAGGGCCCTCCTTCCAGCCGCCTCCCTTCCCTCCAATTCTGGGGGACTCAATGTGGAGGGAAACATTGAGTCTTCCCGCCTTGGGGGGAAGGGAGGGAAAATCTGCTACGCCCTGCCCCCCTCACTCCTTTTGCCCTGCTCTCTGCCCCCCCTTGCCCTCTGCCCACTCCTTTGTTTGCCCCTGCCCTCCTCTCCTCGTCACTCAGTCCCTGGCAGGGGGCTGGGTGGGGGGAGGGGCATAACTTGCGTTAGGTCGTTTTGATGCCCTCTCTCTCCCCTGTGTGGGAGGGAGGGGCTTTTTTGCGTTGGGCTGTTTTGTCCCTGTTGCGTCCTGGGTGATACCGAGGGCGCAAAAGGGGTAGAACGCTTGTTGTGTGGGCTTCTGGGGGTTATTGGGCAAGCACTGGAAGATCTATCGCTTCCGATATCGATATCGATATCGCTTTCGGTGGAGGGTGAAGTACGTCCCAGTGTTATGGGTATCTGCAATGAGGATAAAGCCCTAAAATTAGTGATGATGCGGGATGTAATCATCCTTCTTCTTCTTCTCCTCGCCCTCCAATTCACAGGTGAAATACTAAAAAAGGATCACTTACGGGGCTCGAGAGGGAGTGGAATCATAGGGAAACGGGACTGAAGTGAACCTGAATCACAGGCGATCACTCGATACGTACATCAGCTTTTAGGCACACGTACGCTAAACACGCAAGGATGTTAGTTGGCCTTCCAAAAGTGCATAAAGATGCATGAAAGGGCATTTATGGACTCTCGACTCTTTCTTCACTTTGTTTACTTCTGAGACTAGACATAGAGGATGGGTGCAAGGTTAGCTGTAGATGAAATAGTCCACCACTTGCAAAACGGCCTAGTCCTGATGTCTGTCAAGATCCTTGTAGAGTTCCCACGACTGAAAAGTATGAGATCAATTGGCTCAAAGGCTTTACATGATCAAATATAAAATTATCGTGATGGGCCCATAGAGCGAATAAGTATGTGAGGAACGGACACAGAGTTATGATAGAATACGTACACTAAGAGTATCGGATAATAAGATAAGCCTTAGATCGACAACTCAACAGCGCCTAGAGGGGCGGGTCAATGACCTGGTGGGGAGAGTATGGGGTTAAGATCGAGTAGTGAGAGGGAATCTTTTTTTGATACGCATCGTATGTGTTGCTAAAAACTGAAAGTGGTTGGCATCCAGCTGAGCTGCGCGCTGTTACTGCTGGAGGCGGCCGTTGTCAAGTGAAGCGTGATGTGATTTGATAGGTGTCAGATGACAAGGTATGGTAGCGAGTGATCAGGACCAACATAAAACAATCGAAGAAATGGTAACCTCTAGACCTGGGTTAGATGGAGACACGAATTTGTAGATTAGAATACCGTAGTATGTGTGCGCGTGTATCTATATCCTATAAAGTGTGAGGTCTGATAGTATTAATTTTTAGTTTATATAATCATAGCTATATAGTCCTTCCTCAAGGTTCTTAGATGTTCTTCCCATCACCCCCTCATCAGCCTTCATCTCACGCAACTGCAAGCCTGCAACTCTAATGGTTTTTAGGAGCTTTTTCGTCCTGTCTAATCATTGGTTCGCTGAGTGATATTGCATGAAGAAGACGCGCTCGGTGTCATCGCCAAGACCTTCAGGGACCGGGGCACAGACACCCTTGGCTGTCAGCGCGTTCCTCTTCTGGTCAATCCTTGTTTCTCAAATCTTGAAAGTCTCGGAGCCTCTCCACGAGCCCGCGCCTTCCGGCAGCAACCCGTACCGGAGGTCCCATTCAGCTCCCAAAAATACATTCCCTTAACCTTCCCTTCCCTGCTTTCTGTTCTCAACTCTTCAAACCCCGTTCACCAAAGCTATCAGTATAATCATCGTCTATTGAACCCTCGTCATGGAAAGGCAAGTCATCTAAATCGTTTCCCTGTGTCCACGTTTCCCAAAGCATCCAAGGGCTAATTCGTAAGCTTCGTACTCCTTAGATCCACTCGAGGGCTCCGGCGCAACGCCCTCCAAAAACTCGCCGCCCTTTCAGCAAAAGAACCATCTACAGGTTCCCCAAATGCCGATCTCGAACGTCTCTCGGAAGGTTGTGTATCCCACAGCACCCGTTACGTCAATGGCGGCATCAACGGGTTTTCCAACCGACCTACAAACACCAGCGACATCCCTATGGTACCCCTTAGATCCCGCCCGATCGTACTCGGTCTCTATTAACCAAAGATATAGTCCCTCCGCGAATTTGAAGTGCTCCTCGCACTTTGCAAAGCTGTCCCACAGCTCCAATCCCTTGACGAAGCAGAGAGACTTCGTCGTCAGCTTTCACCATACCTAATAGAATCGTACAACCAGCGTATCGCCGCTACCCCGTTTTTCCGCGAGATCAAACCGAGTCCGTGGGAATCCCTCACCTCCCACCTCACCTCAGCTCTCCTCTCATTGGGCTTCAAGTTTCCAAGCTTAAGACCCGAGGTTCTGGAGACTATTAATGTCTACCTTTCAAACGCAGTTGACCACTCCCTGTGCGAGCTCGATGAAGAGGAAATGCTCGTGTTTGCACCCCCAGTGCTTTCGTTTCTCGGGTTCCTAGATGGGACTGCGAAGAACATCAATTTCTGGTGGTCGGCAGACCCAGAGCACTCCTCAGCACCCTTCGTAAGTCAGGTTCGCAGGGTGCTGAATGACGACTACCTCAAGAACGTGGAGATCGTGTTTTCCAACATTCGCGCCTCACAGGAGGAGGAGGTTCGGATCTGGAAGACATGCGTAGAAAACTATGACTCGTCTAATCGCCCTGTCGGTGCGATGTTGCTTCAGCACGGATTTACAAAATTCCTTGCTGCCTCTACGGCCCTTTTGGTCGTTGATACACCCGTGCCTCAGCAGCTGGGGATCCTCGACGCTATGATGTCCGAGCGAGGAGTTCCTCAAGCTAACGCAGATAAATCGTGTGCTGTGGAGCCACTCTCCGAACTCGCGGTCGAGGTAGTCCAGCTGCTTGAGAACGGGGTGGATTATGGAATAGAGGCGTGGCAGCAAAGTTTGGGATACAGCGTGAAAGCTCAGGCATTGACTGCCTACGCTTGCTGTGCATTCTTGTCTGGAGAAATGGTGGATGATGATCTTCTTAACAGCTGGCTCTCCACAATCATTACAGATCCAGTGCAGATGGGTAACCATGATCTTGCCTCGGCAACCCTGAAGATTCTTGCTTTTGCCTCTAAGAACGATGCACGAGCTGCGCCAAACTTTATCAGCACACTTCACAAGCTTATCGTGGAGGGTACGCCAAATCCTGAGACTACAAAGGTGGCCGGGAAATGTCTGGCGTATGTATTGCGTTACCAGCCGCAAGACGCTACAATAACCACTCTAAATACACTTGGACATGTCTTGTCTTCAAACAACCCAGAAAAGGCATTGAAAGCTGGAGGATTACGGCCGTTTGATGCGACGGCGAGCTCATTGTCTTTGGTAACCAGTGGGGAAGAAGAGAAGGGTGTTTACGCGGTAATTATAGAGACGATCGTCGGCGTTGTTGAGAGCTGTCGGGACGAGAAGATGGTGTCACTCGGTCAAAGCATCATGATACAGAGACTGAACAAGGTCAACGCCCTGGTTAATGGCAGGATTCTCGGAGGATTGGCACAGCTAGCGGTTATTGGGGCTGTGGCGGATTTCAAGGGTGTATTGCAGACCATAAATAAGATGGGTATTGATGCAGTGATAGCGGATGACCACCAGGTCATGGCGGCTGTAAGTTTCCATTTTACTGTTTATGAATTTTGATCACTGACCGTGCCAAGGTCCTTAATGCACGCATGTCCATGGCCAAAAACATCCCTCGCGATTCGCAACTCTACGATGTTTATCTTAATGACCTTCTTGAATCCGCTAGCGCGATCGGAGGTGCCAATGCAGACCCACAATTGGCTCCCCGAGAGCTAAGTCAGTTGATCAGCCCTCTTGCCCGCCTTCTCTCCTCTAATGGGTTTGAAACCAACTTTGCTCTCCGCTATGATGTTGTTGCGGGGCTGTTACGTGATTTCTGGTTCAACTGCGCACAGTTAGGGGTCATCCAGGGCTCTGAAATCTTGAAAAGATATAACGTTGATTTCCAGATAATTGCTCAGTACTCACCTCCGCTGGTATCCGGTATCAACGAGGATGAGACTTTGGAGAATAAACTGGATCAGATGCCTATCTTGAAGAGAGGAGTAGTCCCGCAGAGTACGGTGGAGCACAAGAGGCGCCTTGTGGTTATGCTTCCCTCCAATGAAGTTGACATCAGGACCATCAGCCACCCCCGAACGATATTTTTGGAAGCGGCAAATACGCTCGAATGTCTCCGGGCTGAGGGCGGAAGCTACTCTAAGGTACTGGCGTACTTTGTTGAGTCTGGTTTCAAGGCTGGTGAAGGTAGCAACTGCATGATCACGATCGCATCAAAAGTTACGGATCTCTACATGCGGAGGGTTCTCTCCGGGAACTATCCGCAGTTCTCCGCAGGCCGTGCAGCGGAAGAGCTGGCAGAGGTTTTTATAGGATGTTGTCATCGACTTGAGAAGGTTCAGGCAATGGCAATAAATACGGCTGATCGTATGATCGCTGCTATTCCCTCTTCACTCTGTCAACGGGCGTCGTTGTTTGCGTTGCTGGAATTATTGACGCTTCTGTGGATTTCATGCTTGGACGAGGAGACAGACGAGTATACTACTCGATCCACGTTCACTTCTTCAAAGGGCAATGTCTCTATTGAGCTCCCTGATAACTACCCATTCAGACGCAAGACCTTGAACGCTTTCAAGAGTCGTGCGAAGGGGTGGGTCCAAAAGGTGCTAAATATCGCACCTTTGGATGTTAAGGGCCTGTTGCAGACATATCTCTCCGAATTTGAAGGGGAGGATGAGGGCTCCTTTGGGCATGTCTCCTTGGGCCGCTCCTTCGCACTCGAGATGGGATCAATGGTCCCAAGCGGTGACCAGAAGTTGGCAAGCATTGAACATCTAGGTGACTGTGAGGCGAACACTGCTAGTGATTTCGTAATGCAGTACACTACCAGACAAGCATACAGGTACATTGATTCGTCTGTGGATAATTCAAAAGACCTAGTGTTTAGACCACTAGGAGCAATGAACACAAATGCTGGACAACTACCAAGACCGGATTCAGCGCAGGCAGTGTTGGACCAGATGGAGAGTAAGGATTATGAGAAGGAGTTTGTACCGATTGAAGAGGTGAGGGATGTACTCAAAAAAGCGGCAGCGCTGGTTTGTAGAAGTGAGAAGGACCAGGGACCGCTCATTCGTGGGCTGGTCGGGATCCCGTTCTCAATGTTTACGAAGAAGAGCATCAACCTTGGAATCTCACTTTGGACAGGTATCATTCATGAGAAGCCAAAGTTGCAGACAAGAATGCTTGCGGAGATTGCTAGGAATTGGGAGATGACGGTGGAGAAGAGAATGGGGCTGTACTCACCCGAGTTGGTTGCTCCTGACGCTTTTGATATGAGGATGGAATACGCTCCCAGCGATAAGGAGCAGCAGCTCCAGGACCAGCACAATGCGTCGGAGCTTCTGACTCCCCATTTGAAACTACTACACCTATTGTCGAGTCATTATCACGCAAATCGACATGGTAACCCGCACATTCAGCAAATCTTCCTTAGGCTTGTTAGGATCTCGTTGGCGGGTCTGCATCATGCTACTGGCCATCCTCTCGCGAGAGAGATTAGATTCAGACTGGTTTTTTTTGGTCTTCAGGTGTTGCGTTATAGCACAGGCTTGAATGAGCGTCAGCAGATTGCATTTAAAGACCTCATATTGTCTGCTGCGTTGTCGTGGTTTACTTTTGCGCCGAGATGGAGCTTTGGTGGTAATAAGCTCCAGGTAAAGGCGGAGGCTCATGTGCTACAGGATGTCGCAAACTTCATCAATACCATGGCAAATATCGGTGGCACCAACAAGAACATGAGGTTGAAGCAAGATCTTCTACTATTATTGGTGGAGAATGAGCAGACTAGATTGGCAACCTGGCTGTATCCGCTTGACCATTCGAGGAAGCACCATTTGCTGCCCACATACACTGCGCGCCCAGCTACAGATAACAGTATTGCGATTCTGCTTCCAGCGGCGTGGCACGAGAACCCGGCGATTGCGGTGCAGCTGTCTAAGCGGTTCCAGAGCCCCCGACTGGAACAAGATATTAGGCGCCTTGTTACGACCTATCCTGAGAAGGTTGTGGACCAGCCGGATGCCGTGCAGATTATGATGGGAGATAAGATTGCTAGTGGGCTTGGATTCCAGTTGAAGTATCTCCTCTTCTGGGCGCCAGTTAATCCTATTACAGCCACAACTTATTTCTTGCCCTCGTATGCGAACAATGCGTTTGTGCTGCAGTATGCGATGAGGTCGTTGGAGAGTCATAGCATTGACGTGACATTCTTTTACGTTCCGCAGATTGTGCAGACGTTGAGATATGATACTTTGGGTTATGTTGAAAGGTTCATCCTGGAGACTGCCAAGTTCAGTCAGTTGTTCGCACATCAAATTATCTGGAACATGAAGGCGAATGCTTTCAAGGATGAGGACTCCACTATTGTAAGCACTACCCGTTGGCTTATTTTAAACACTTGCTAATCGTTTTATAGCCGGATCCGATCAAGCCTACGCTTGACAAAGTTATGGAGCATCTTGTCAACAGCTTCTCAGGCGTAGACAAAAATTTCTACGAGCGTGAATTCTCATTCTTCAACGAAGTGACCTCTATCTCTGGAAAGCTCCGCCCCTACATCAAGAAGACCAAGCCCGAGAAAAACGCAAAGATCGCCGAGGAGCTCGCAAAGATCCAGGTCGACGTCGGAGTTTACCTTCCGTCCAACCCCGACGGTGTCGTCGTCGATATTGACAGAACCAGTGGTAAATCATTGCAATCTCACGCAAAGGCGCCATTCATGGCGACCTTCAGAATCAAGAAGAAGCCCATCCTTTCGTCACATGAGGACACAACTGTGGGTGGCCACAAGAGACGCCAGGAGAGTCAGAGCACCATCACCAAGGAGGTCTGGCAGGGTGCTATCTTCAAGGTTGGAGACGACTGTAGGCAGGATATGTTGGCTCTGCAGCTCATCTCTGCGTTCAGGAGTATCTACAATAGCGTGGGATTGGATGTCTATGTGTTCCCGTACCGTGTTACTGCTACTGCACCGGGTTGCGGTGTCATTGATGTTTTGCCGAAGTCGATCTCTAGAGATATGCTTGGGAGAGACTACGAGATGGGGCTCTACGATTACTTCATTAGCAAGTATGGTAGTGAGGATAGCATCAAGTTCCAGGAGGCGAGGAACAACTTTGTCAAGAGTATGGCCGGCTACTCGGTCATCTCTTATCTGTTGAAGTTTAAGGATCGTCACAATGGTAACATCATGTTGGACGAGGCTGGGCATATTTTGCATATCGGTAAGTTTTTTCTTTTCTGTTCTTGGTTAGATATAGATGGTGGGATAGCGACTGACTGAAGTGGATAGATTTCGGTTTCTGCTTCGACATTGCTCCGGGTGGTATCACTTTTGAGAGAGCCCCGTTCAAGCTTACTGCAGAGATGGTCTCGGTCATGGGAGGCACGACGGATTCCCAGGCTTACTTGAGGTTTGAGGAGCTATGTATCAAGGCGTTTTTGGCGGTTAGACAGTATGTCGATAAGTTGGCGCATTGTGTCATTTTGATGTTGGACAGCGGGTAAGTTTATTCTTTTGATAATGGTTAGTTGTGATAGAGCCTAATATGTGCTGCTTTAGATTGCCTTGCTTTAAGCCTGAGACTATTCAGAACTTCAGAGATCGTTTTGTGTTGGAGAAGAGCGAGAGGGAGGCTGCGGATTACGTGAGGTATCTGGTCAAGAAGAGTTATAGCAGTTTGTCGACTGGACAGTATGACAGGTTCCAGCACTTGACGAACGGTATTCCCTATTAAGAGGAAGTCTTTGGGATGGAATGAGTATAGACAACGGGGCATGGCATTGGGATTCACTTGTATACCACAAAAGTATCTGTATTAACAGGCATTTCTTTTATTTTTCATTTACTGTTATTATTTGTTAGGCTCTTAGCGATATCTAGATAGAAATTTATTGTAATCATTTTTACCTCTAGCCACTATCTAGCTCTTCTCCAACCTCTCCCTCCTCTGATCCAACGCTATCCTCGTAGCCTTGACAATCTCTACATGCTCAACAGCATGTATCCTCTCCTCCACCCTCTCTAGCGTATCCCCCTCCACAAACGGCACCTCCCTCACCACGATCGGCGTCCCCCTATCCACCGCAGTGATAACATGATGTATCATGACACCAGTCTTATCGATCTCGCCCCTCTCCCACGCCTCTAAAGCTCTCTCAATTGCCCCGGCACCATCAAAGCACCCCGGCAGCGCCGGGTGCAAATTAATAATGTCGACACCCGCCCCCTGCAGCGGGCCCAGGCATGTCGGCGACAGGATGTGCATCCACCCCGCACACACCACCATGTCCGGCTTGTGCTTCAGTATGTGGGCGGCCAGATCGCGGTCATAGGCTTCGCGCGCGGCCTCCGTGGTCGGGTGCTTCTTCTTGTAAGGGACGAGGTTGTGGTATGTGGTTGGGATCCCGGCGTTTGCGGCGCGCGTGAGGCCGTAGGCGGCTTTTTTGTTGGAGATGACGTGGGTAATGGTGGCCGAGAGGAGGGGCGGTGTGGATTTGGTTGCGTCGATGAGGGCTTGCAGGTTGCTGCCGGAGCCGGAGATGAGGACGAGGAGGGTTGGTGGTGCCATTGTGGTGGGTGGTGGGTGAGTTTGAGCGGAGGTGAAGTTTTGGGGACTCGAGGTCGGTGGTGAGGTAGACTCGTATGGTATGGTACGGGTGCCCCACTATGTATGCAGCTGGGATGGGTTGGGCCCCGCGTTTGGAGAGTTTTTTTTAAACCCTGCCCTGCGTTCGGAGGGGCCCTAACCCTATGTGGGGTGGTGAGGATTGTAGAGCCGCAACCTTATTTTGACAGCGGCGAGTGAGAGTCTGTGCTTGGGTGTGGAGTGCCCCCGGGGAGAGAGTATATACATATCCAAGGAATTGGTTTCACGTTGAGTGCCTTGTACATGACGGGTTAAGTATGTAATTGTACTTATGGGTATGGTTAATGCCACCGGTTGTGGTTGGGCATCAGCAGGTTGTAGGTGCTTGTCAGTTGGGGCGTTTGGGCCGTCTTTCGATGTCCAAATATTGGGTATTTGGTGTTGACGAAATTTAGTGATACTAATCTGAATCCTGGTCTTGATCTAATACTTGATTAATTGAGTGATCCCAATCGATCAAAACACATCACTATCAGTGGGTCATGGTGGAGGAGGGAAGCACACTACTACCGACGTACTAGTGCTAATGGTATTGTAACGGCGTTAGAAAATCATCTACCATCTACCATTTCCGTGGTCTAATCAGCTGAAGTGTCGCCCAGAGGGGCCGAAGTCGATAGTTTGAACCTCCCAGACTTGGTGGGAAAATATACACCGTGTGACTGGGCAAAGGAGCAGAGCGGGTCGCCTCTCCTTTTTGCTGCTCCGTTCATTCCCTTGGGGCAGAGTATCCTTTTCTTTTACCCCATTTTTTTTTTCCTTTTTTCTTTTTTCCGGAAACTTTGAATGGTGCCTATGGATTTCTTGAAGGTGATTGATTGATAATTCATCAATTGTATACATAGTGGCTCCAGCCTTGAGGGTCGTACATGTAGATATTGCACCACCCACACCAGCAGGCCCCAGAAAGGGAAGAAAAATGACTAGAAAACGGTGCTATATCTTCCCCAAATTCATCTAGTACTAATGCAGAAAGTAGGGAATACTGACAGCGAGGATTACGCGGGTTGTGTTGAGTCATATAATATCACTCGCATTCAAGATCGCTGTTTGTTCCCGGAGTCTGCGTTCTGGTATAAACAGACCTGCCTATTTATCGTTGTCCACACCATACATGTATGTTAATAGCATTTTGGCTAGTTTGGGCTCATCATCTAACCGCAACAGCACGCGAACCCATCGCATCTCGGGCAATAACGTCTCAAGAGGGAGTCAACCTGTAGTCTTTACCCCGAAGCCGTCATCCCACAAACATATGGAAAAGGTCTAGAACGACACAGTTTTTCGGTATAAGTACATACTCTAAAATAACACATATATGATGCAAAGGACAGCTCGTCATGGAAATTCTACTCGACCTTACGCTAAGCGAAAAAAAAAAAAAGAAGAAAAGAAGACATTTTACAAAAGGTACTGCAGTGACTTATTGATGAATTGTGCACTACTACCCCCACCCCTGGTTTGAACCCAGGACCTTTGGCATCCTGAGCGCAAACACGCGGTGTCTAACCCGACGGGCAGTCTAACCAACTAGACCACCCGCCCATGGTGGCTACTGCGCTGGAAGTGGTACTTGAGCCTTGGCGGTGTGCCAAGATGAAGTAGAATACATGTACCTAGCCCTTTGATGCCAGTGCTCGTGTGGCCATCTCATGTGTTGTAGAGTACGTCTACTTGTACCGAAAACTGTGTCACTCCAGGCCTTTCCCGATAATAGCAAAAATGAACATGACCCGTGCATTAATCCATTTCATCTTTAGTCTACCGAGATACCACCATAGATTAAAACTACGGCTGAGAGTGAGAGAAGAGGGTGGGGGTGCGCACTTACCAAAAAACGAGATCAAACGCTGATCATGAAAAATCACTCGCATCTGCCCAGCAGAGAACCGGCGAAATAGTGCGGGTTTTTGATACTGGTTAGATGTAGGAAGAAGCCCAAAGAAAGAGCAAACGCGAGGGAGGGGATGAGGGGGGATGGAGACCGACCAAACCATCACCAGCGCAATGAACCCCCAATCCTCTCCTCCCACTACGCAAAAAAGAGCACGGAAAGAAATCACAGATCCCATAGGGCCTATCTATTCCTCCTTTTATTTTACTTCTCAGGCATACTCCGATAGACTAAAGGGGAGGAGCGTGAACTTACCAAGATAGAAAGAACAAAACCGCGATCAGCATTGTGTTCAATCATGGTCGATCACTCGTTATACTAAGTTATAGGCTAAGCTGGTTACAGGTCGCGCGATGAGCTATTGCTTGTGGGAGATAGCCCTCTTAACGTGTGTTCTCTGTATGGTGAGATTTAGATATATGATAGAATATATGCCCCTTTCTTAGGGAAACTGGGGAGAGCTGCGTGGAAACATCAGAAGAGAGTTACCGTGACTTTTCCATCATAGAAGCATTTGATATATTAACAGATTTAGCAATTATATTCGAGAATTTCTCTGTTCCTGGTCCATTTCCCAGTACTGCGTGATTTGTTCCAGCGTATTTAAATATAGCTATCTTTAAGATCTAGCGTTATTAGCTGATTCTTCTATACAAAAAGCAATCCCCAACCACAACAAAGCAAGTTGTGGCCGCGCACTATATTACCTTCTCCTCCCAATCCAAAAAGCAAAACTTTTAACTAACTAACCTACAAGTCTACTATACACACCCTACTCCACCACCCACTTCCCCGCCACCTTCTGCTGTACGACCTTCCTTGCCGGCAGCGGCCACCCAAGCTCACTCCTCCCCACCGCGCCCCCCATCCTGGGTATGACCCACACCTCCCTACTATTCCCCCCCGAGCCCTCCACCACTTTCGGCGCCACGCTCTCTAACGGCTTCGAATACGACAACAGCGGCGTGCCCTTCGCCAGCGCCGCCAGCTGCGTCCCTGTGACGGGCGTCAGCGGCCTCAACCTCACCTTCGCCACGCCCCTCTTCAGCTCGCTATACACCACATACTCCGGATAGCTCTCCTGCTGCGCCAGCGCCGAGCCAGGGTGAACGTACGCCGCAACCTCGGCCATGTTATCCGAGCCGTGCGCCGTCGACGACGCAAACAGCGTCATATATGGCACGTCGCTCACCCGCTTCAGCGACGCCTGGCCAAGCTTGTACGTCGAGTTCGGGAGCAGATCCGCGCGGATGGCGACCTGGTCGATGAAGCCCGCGGCAATGATCTGTTTGATCGCCTTCACCTGGAGCTGGGATGGCGGCGGGATCTGCGGCGAGAAGGGCGCGAGGATGCCCGGTGGGCAGTTTGTACGGACGATGTTTGTGAGCTGTTGCCGGAGTTTTCGGGTCTCCTGCATGGCCTTGAGACGCACAAAGTTGCGTTCGCAGAAGGCTGCGGGTGAGGGCTCATACTCGTAGGCGCAGACGACGGAGAGGAGCTTGAGGGCGTCGCTGGTGGGGTCGAGGGCGGAGAAGGCGCGGTGGGCGCGGTTGTAGGCCTTGCGGCGGGTGGCGCGCTGGTTGCGTTCGTGGGCGGTTTCGACTGCGGGGGGGGCGTCATCGTCGCTGGGGGGGTCGGCGATGTCGAGTTGATGTTCGGGGATGAAGACTTCGCCGACGGTGAGGGCGGCGACGATGGCGATGATGTAAGGGAGACAGCCGTGTTGTTGGCCGATGATGAGGATCTTCGAGAAGCGCGGGGAGAGAGGAAAAACGTTCATTGTGCGGCCAAGCTCTGTAAGCCCGCCTTTGGAGTCTAGAGCTCCAAGATATCCCAGCAGCTAGTAGAACGCGTCAGCAACGAACACACCGTGGGCCATGGAGTATAACAAACCCTCTCAGCCTTCTGCAGACTCGGTCTATCTGGAGGTGTCGGGAAGGGGAAATTTGTGATTGTGTCAATGTTCATACTCTTCATCTGCAGCACAATACCTGCACCTAAAGTCAGCAGATCTCCCAATCATAGGTCATCACTCGGTGCCACAAACATACCCTCAATCGGCATCCTCAATATCTCCGGCTCCGCAAACTCGTCAAAGTCTCTCTCATACACAGCACTAGAATACAGCTTATAGCAGTGTCCCGGCCCCGTTCGCCCAGATCTACCTGCCCTCTGCATAGCACTCGCCTTACTAATCCAGCCGATATCAAAGCTCTGCACCCCCGTCACCTTATCAAAGTTCCGCTCCTTGCTGCGCCCGCAATCAACCACATACCTGATCCCCGGGATCGTGAGCGACGTCTCGGCGACATTGGTCGCAAGAACACACATCCTTCTACCTTCGGGCGCAGGCTCAAACACCTTCATCTGGTCCTTCGTGGGCAGCAGCGAGTACAGCGGGAGCACATGGAGCGGCGCCTCCGTGTCTGTTTCTGCCATCTCCTCGCCGAGATCGTCGTCGTCCTCGTCGAGGATGGAATCGCCATCGTCATCATCATCGCTGCCAGCCTCTTGTGTTGGGCGAGCACCGAACTCGACGTCTTCGGCTTCGACGGCGGCGTCGCGCGCGGAGATGCGCACTTCGGGGGCGGCATTTTCTTTGCTTTTGGGTGCGCCTTCAGAGGCTTTGAAAGGGAAGGTGGTCTTGAGGCGCTTGAGGAGGGTGGTGATCTCGTTCTGGCCTGTCATGAAGACGAGGATGCCGCCGGGGGGGAGACGACGGTGGATCTTGCAGATCTTTTTGCAGGCTTCTTCGACATAGTCGTGGGGGGTGCGGCGGGAGAAGTGGTTGGTGACGGGATGCTGACGGGCTTCGGCTTTGAGGAGCGGTGGAGGGACGGAGAAGAGCTGCTTATTTTCTATAAAGTCGGAGACACGGAGGGTCGCGGACATAATTATGAGTTTTAAAGGCTGGCGGATGTCAGCACTATTTCTTTAGGACTTTGTGGGTTAATTGTACTGACTTTTGTGACTTTGTCTTTCTTGCTCATCTCTTCTCTCAGCTTCAAGACTCTGCTCATGACACCGATCAGGATATCGGTGTTAACGCTCCTCTCGTGGGCCTCATCGATCACCACCGCCGAGTATTTTCTCAGCAGAAAGTCGTCCGCAAGCTCTCTCAGCAGCACACCGTCGGTCATGAACTTGATGGCTGTATCTTTACCCACTGTGCCCTCAAAACGGATCTGGTACGCAACCTTATCCTTCCCCCCCGTGCCCAACTCCGTGCCTACACGGCTCGCCATCGACACCGCCGCAACCCTCCTTGGCTGCGTGACGCCAATCAGCCCCGGCGTCTCACTCCCGGGCGAGCCATACCCGGCCTCATAGAGGAACTGCGGCACCTGCGTTGTCTTTCCACTTCCCGTCTCACCGCAGATGACCACACACGAGTTATTGTGGATTGCCTCCATGATGCGCTGCTCCTCTGCCACCACGGGGAGCCCAAACCGCGTCTGCTGGATCTCAGGGCTGCGGTCAACGGCGATGTAGTAGGCCTTGCGCTCCACGGTTGGGCCCTGGAGCTCGGGCGGCGGTGTCATGTCCTGTTCGCGCGGCCGTGGGATATGTACGTGGACGGCGCTGGGAGGCATATTGAGGAGGTCGGGCATGCTAGTGTCGGCACCGGTGGGGTCGTTTTCTTGTGCGACGGCTTTGACTTGAGCCAGGGCCCAGGACTTGAAAGCGTTGGCTTTGTCGGACTGGCCACGCCTCATGCGGGGGACAGACTCGGCTTCGCCGGAGGAGTCGGACTCTTCTTCTCCAGAGCTTCCAGAACCTGAGCCTGACTCTGAGTCTGAGTCTGACTCTGAGCCCTCTTCGTCTTCTTCAGAGCTGGCATCGGAATCCACCTCTGCGTCGGGCTCGGTCTCTGCAGCGACACTTCCTTCACTGGGCGTGTCCTGGATTCCACCCCACTCTTCCTCAGACTCCTCTCCTTCAGAATCGTCTGCGCCGCTACCATCATTGTCAGAGTCCATTTCCTCGTCTGAATCCTCGCCTTCGTCCGAAGATGCGCCTTCTGCAGCAGCCCGTGCTTTCTGCTCCTCCTCGAGCTCTATAGCCTTGATCATGGCCATCAATCGCTCCTTCTTGGCCTCCTTCGACTTCCTAATCTTCTTTATTATCGGTAGCCCCGTCTCATCGATCTCCAACGGCCTCTTCAGCCCAGACCCCACCTTTATCACCACTGGCTCCGGAACCTCCTCTTTCTCCTCTACAGGGGCTTCCGGCACCTCCGCCAGCACCTCCGGCGCCTCAACCTCCAGCTCGTCCGCATCGCGTATGGTCCTTTCCTCGTAGAGGATCTTCTTATTCTCCTCCATATTGATGCCGAATTTCTCTTCCAGTAATGCCCGCCGCATCGTCTCCCGCTTGCTTTCGCGTGCAGTGCCCATCGTCTTTGTGCTCCGCAGCAGGCTCGTGTCGACCTTGTGCGGCTGGTCCGCCAGCTTCTGGATCAGCTCCACACGCTCCTCCTTGCGCAGCTTGTTCTCAATGTATTTTGCGAGACGCTTAGCCTTCTTGCTGCTCATTTTTGGCTGCTGCTGCTGGGATTGCAGCTCCGCGCGCAGCTCGGCGCGGCGAAGCTCTTTGGCGCTTTTGGACTCGGGGATGAGGATGGAGGCATTGGGGTCTTGTACGGCAGCATCTGTGGCATCGGAAGGGGCGTTCGGCTTTGGCTTTCTGTGCCGTTGCTTGCGGTCGCGGGTCGGTTTGTATTTCGAAACCATGGTGGGGGAGATTGCTGCTGGTGTTGCTGCTGCTGGTGGAACCGTGATATTTTTTTTTGTGGTTTTTGGGTTTGGGGGCCAAGGTGCAGGGGTTGAGAAGAGCCGCAGTGGAGGGGCACGCTAGCCGTGTTGGGGCTGGCGGCTCCTATCGCGGGCTTATCACAAGGAGATTGATATCAAGGTATCAATCAAGGGAATATTACTCTAGAACATCGCCGTTAACTCCGCAGCAGTCAATTCAAAGCGCTCAAAGCAGCGATAGAGCTATGGGTGCAAATGCAAGCAGACGACTCGAGTACATACATACATGTACCTACAGTAAGCAAGCCGTGTGCATTAAGAATAGAGCACAGGTACAGTAAGGTAAGGCATGATGTTGTGCATGTGCCGGTACTTCAATGGCTGACACAAGGCCAAATTAACTACCACCACCAACAAAGATGGGAAGAGTGGAGACGGAGGCAGAGAAGCACCAGTTCAAGCTCCTCTGACGCCCGTGAGCGGCAGTGCTTAAGCATGAGATGACGAGAGAACGGGATGATTGATGCAGCAATGTCAGAGAGACAAAAAGAGGCTCTAACTCGACGGTGGGAATACAGGGCACAGGTCTAGAACACAGGACACGCATCCCATACGATGGCACCATAATAGAGGCTTTTAGTCGGTTGCAACTTTTATTATTTGCATATATAAAAATGCGCCAAGATGCACCCACATATGATAAATTTGTATGTGCAAATAATGAAAGTTGCAACCGACTAAAAGCCTCTAATGAAGCCCTATGCCTGCCTCTACTCCCCGAATTAGAAGGATTTCATAACTAATATACATGTAAATAATATACCTCCATGCAGACCTATGTAGAGATATAGGCACTCTCACTCTCGCCTACGGCAGGTCTGTCACGCACGGTCCCAAACAAACATCCACACACGACATCGCATACTTTAAATTTTTACTTCATCGATAACCAAGCTCCCGATCCCTCCACATTGCTAAAAATTACATACCCACAAGCACAGCTCGCGTTTATCCATATCCTGCATCAATAAATCGATCTGTGTCTGTCTACCAAGTACTACATACATGACACTAATATGTAGCTAGCTCTATCGTAAGTGTAGTGCGCCCTTTTTGTGTTTTTTTGTGTCTCATTCTTTTTCACCTGTATATCTTCTTCAGCACCCCCTTCTTCCCCGCCCTCTGCCTCTGCCCCTGCCTCTGCCTCTGCCTCTCCGCCTTCACCCTGGTCATGAAAGAAACGGAGCACAGGAGAAAAAAAAAGTATAAAAGGCTAATGATCCTTTAGAGAGAAAAAAAGAAAAAGAAAAAAGATGAAGTATCGTACAATATAAGCAGGGATGATAATTGGTGCTTGATAGGATGGGATGGGGGAAATGACAATATTGAGTATAAGACTTTAAAGTAAGTACTTAGGTAGGCCATATAGGTAAAGGTAGGTAAAGTTAGGTGGTAGATGGGTAGATGAGGAGTACACAGAGTAAAATAAAGAGTAAAGACTGGGAAAGATAGAAACCACAACAGTAATAATACTCCCCTCCGTCCCAAACATGTAGAAAAAGGGAATAAAAAGAGAGATCAAGAAAGCGGGCATATTTTTTCCCTTCCCATCATCAAAATCATCATCACCTACTGAGACCATCGATCCTGCTGTAACTGCCGCTACCACTATCCCTTCCCATTGACCTGGACCTCCGGCGCGTCCGGAAGTACATCAATCTCAGTCCTCTGCTGCATGTGGACACCATTCGCCTCTTCGGCGCCGCCGCCAGCATATCCGTTCGCCTTGACCTCCTCCTCGGCGCCGCTCTTCGCCGGCGGAGGCGTGGACTCTGGCAATCTCGATTTATTAACCCTTAGGATGATCCTGAGGCTCTTCTTTGGCGCGCCCTCCTCTTCCTCCTCTTGTAGCGGCCACTCATCCTCCTCGTCCGAGTAATCCTCCGACGCCGACTCGTGATCCCAATCCTGCGTGGCATCGCCGCCATAGCTACGCTCACTGCCGGCGTACGGTGTTGCATCGCCCGTCGCCGTGCCGTTAGACCCGTTGATCTTGAGCTCGCCGTATACTCCCATCGCCGGCTTCCGGATCTGTCTTCCGCTTGCTGTGAAGCGGGGTTGGTGGTCTTCAGTCTCGGAACCAGGCTTGGTGTTGTTGGCGCTGGCAGGCGTATCTTCGTCGTCGCTAGAGAAGGTGTACTTAATACGCTTACCACGCGTGCGCCCTTCGTAGAGGGAGGTGCCGTTGGGCTGCTTGAAGAAGGCCTTTCGCGACTGGCGGTACTCGCGCTTTTTCCGTCTCTGTGTGATCGCTTGTTAGCCTTGCTAGTTAGATGTAGAGGGTAAGACGGATGTGGAGAGGCATACAATCTCGCCCTCTTCAAAGCGCGGAATGGCGCTGAGGATCTTCTCCTTCAGCGCGAGTGCGTGCTTAGTGCCGTCCTCATCCTCGAGCTCTTGCGCGACTGCGCGGACTTCGTCGATGGTACCCGCGACGTTAATCCACGAGACAGTCTTGAGCGCAGGATTGCTTTCCCGGTACAACCTGAATGGAGTATCCTCTGTAGCCGCCGTATTGTTAGAGAAATGTTCTGTGTGAGAGAAGGTGTAATAGAGAAAGATAGGAGGAGAGAGGAGATAAAAACCTCGCCCTTCAATTAGCCAATACCGCCTTTTATCGCCGTCCCGACCCCACGGCTGGACCGATATAGGGATGTTAAGATCGTCCTCATGACGGCTTGATTTGTAAGATTCCGCGACGAGTGCGCGAATGGTTTCCGAAGAGGTTAAGGCCCAGTTTATCAATGCCTTCAAAACCGACAACTACAAGTTCACCCTCGTTAGTAAGCCTGTTGCGGGGCGAGTGCGTAAAAAAATCTCGAATCGACCAAACTCACTCTTTGTGGGGCATCTAAGGCGCTGAAATGGCGACCTCCCGCAAACGGGCTTTTTCCATCCCATGATCTTGGCCATTGGGTGACATGAGCGTGTACAGCCTCTTCGAGTGGACGTTGATAATGGCCGCGCCTACACCACACAAAGTCAGTACCTAACCCTCGACCGCTCCCCAAAAACAAGGGCTGAAAGAAAGAAAGAAAGAAAGAGGGCATCAAAAGAAAGGGAGGACAATAATAATAAATAATAATAAGAAAACTTACTCAACAGGCTTCTTCCTATTCAGCACCAGGCCCAGCAGACGACAGAGCAGTACCTCCACCTGTTCGCTCGGTGTAGAGTCCACAACACCCCTCTCAATGTCCTGGCACCCCAAGTTCGGCACGCCCTTGAACGCGTCCGCGAACCGCGAGCGGAACATGACGATGAACGCCAGCTCGGGGGCGTCCGACAGCGTCGCTACATGAGGCTGTTCCTTGCGTCGCGGTTTTCGGGGAGGCGGTGGTGTGGAACTCTTCCGAGCCTGCTGCTGCTGCTGCTGTTTCTTCTGCTGTTGCTGCTGCTTCTTCTTGGAAATCTTCTTGACGGGGATTTCGGGAGAGGATTGGTCCTCTCCCTCGTCGCCGCTGGATGGCACTGACGAGAGTGGGCTGTCGGAGTCGGAGAGACTCATCAGGGCCTACTTTTTTCTTCTTCTTGGGAGAGAGAGCCGATGTCCTTTCTGTTTTTTTTTTTAGTTTTTGCAAGCGATTGGGCAGATGGACGTGAATGGGCTAGGTAATGTGATGTGACTCGGGAGATATATCGACGCGCAGGTATTTGTTTCTGTGCTTTTCCCACTTTATTTTTTCTTTCGTCAGTGGGAGGCCAAAGGAGTGCAATCTGCTTGTGAAGAAATCTGGCCCGTGGAGAGGTTTGGTTGCGTAAAGTGGTAGTGTAGTAGACAAGTGATGTTCACGCGGAAGAGCAGGGACTTGAGAGAAAGAGGGCGAGAGTTAGAGCGAGCGAGTGAGTGTGCGATGACAACACTGCCTACCAAGAGGGGAAAAGTTGCAGGTTACGGCCGATCAGAACCACAAGGGGAATCACAATTTGTATATATTGGATGCTTTCCTGCCAGCAAAGAAAGTACCGCCCCTTTATTATCTTCATCTTCATCATCTTCTTCTTCTAGGTATGAACAAAACACTCAAGGCCACAACTCTCCTCTAATGAGGTTCTAACTTTGTTCCGTAAAGTTGCCCTTCTGTTCTTTCTCTTCCAAGACACTTAAGGCCAAGGTTCCAAAACCCTACCGGAGCTCCCAGAAACCAACACCCCAAATCTACTGATAAACACTCCCAGAAGGGCAGGCTGCGGCGAGCAAGTGGTGCGCAATCGTCACTGATGGAATGTTTGCATTTGTAGAACTCGTAGCTATTGAGTTGAGCTGCCTGAGTACCCTACTCCAAATGGCGTGCCAACGCAGAACGTGAACCGAACTGAACAGATTCCAAGAAGTGTGATTCTGTCGCACAACGCAAACCTCAATTGGAAGTTCTGAAACTAGGTTGACCGAATCACCGTTGCAACATGAACACTTCCATATCGCCGCCTTGCTATGAAACCTCCTTGCCTTCCCAAAACTTCGGACCTAAAAAAGTCATTAGAAACAAATAACATCATAGGCATGGCTCGAAATGGACGAACGAAAAAAAAGGAAAGAAAGGAAAAGAAAGTGTGACCCTCTCACCAAAAATATTCACAGTCTCGACAAATCTGGAATGATAGCAAAGCACAGAGCTGTTCTGTTCCCAGAGATGGAACTTATAACGCCAAATTTTTGGTAATTCACTGAATGAATCCCGAATTTTAGGGATATTTGGAGCGGCTGAGGGTCCGAGCGGCCGGTAGCTATCGAGCTCACAAGCCACTGAAAAACCACACCTTCACTGAGAAAATGCACATCACCAGAACATAGCCAAAAGGAATCATTTCTCATCCAGGCAAGGGGGAGAAAAGTCGCCATGTTCTCGCTGTCCAATTCGAAAGAATGGTGGTGAGGCTGAGCCAACAGAAGACCTATCGCGAGCGGAAACGACGTAATTCCGTCAACGAAGCTTCTAGCTGTCAAATTTAACATTATAATCCGGGCAGACAGTTAACCCCACTATTTGAACCCCAGTTTCAGGTCCGACGATCTTATCCGGGGATGGAGGTCCAAATCGCCAACATTCAAAGCCAACTGACACAAATTTGACTGTAGCGCATAGTTAATTGACTGCAACTGAACGTTAAAATTGAAAGCGTTGAGAGCTGATGGTGTTGAGTCCAACGGAGGGCCGGTGGAAGGCGCGTCTGCGAAATCCGAGTAGTGAGATGGACGAAGGAGGTTGGAGAAGACGAGCTTGGCAAATTACCATCGTGTGGTGTGGTGTGTGGCTGAGTATGTTTCACAAGCCACCGGCTCCATGCTTGACAGCTCCATATGACGTCATAGCCGTTACTTACGACTGCCCAGACTCCAACTTTGACGATAATAACTCTTGCTTCTGGTTTCTATGTCAGATAAGGAACTGTTAGATATAAATTACGATGGCTTCTCTTCCTCTTAATCTTCAAAATCCTTACACCCAAAACCCACCAAAGAATTTAGAACGTGAACTAACAAACGCCACCTTCGTCACAGTATTATCGCATCATGGTTCATCACCATAACCCTAATCATCCTCAGGGCGTAGAAGAGTAGGTTTGTTTCCAGCTTATTTGTTACCCCGATTCTAAAATTCTACAAGGCCTCAATCCTACGACTGGGCCCAAATATCAGATAAAGGCATCATGGCTCGATTAGTCTTACCATTTTTCTCCACAAAATATAAGACAGATGTGACAATACACTGCCTCCTGAAGGCGCTTTCAACCTCTGTTTATACAGAAGACGAACACCAGCTTCACAGCGAGGAATCCCACTCCTTAATCCGTCACCAACCACAAAAAGGTGACGGTTGGTCATCACCAGAGGTCAAGAGACAGTTCAGGCTTGATAGTTTTTTCTCGTTATGTATGCCTCTAATTGGACGATATTTGCATCTTTGATAGCTAAATACTTCTCCTTCCAGATCATGCGCATTTCCAGAGAGCAGCACCATTGCTATTTCAGAATCTACGTGAAAATGTGTTCAAACTATCAGAGGAGCACTACCAAAAACAATTCACCAAGAAGCTCCGACCAGTTGACGGCCTCGGTTTTAGTGGCTCGCTGTTCTTCTATACGGATGACCGAAGCTTTATAGTAAAGTCAATTGGCCGAAGATTCGAATATATGTTCCTATACGAGACTTTACTTGAACCACTTGGAAAATATTACCGTGAAACACCCAGCACTTTGTTATCCCAGGTGACGGACGTTCTTTACAGTTTCGAACACCGCCTTGGTAGCTACTTTGGTGTATCTCCTTCACACTATATCGTCATGACAAACGTGCTTGGGGGCCTCGACAAGGAGAAGGGGTGTAAAAAGTGGGACTTGAAACCACAGAGCTTCTTTGAACCGACACGAGACCTAGTCCCGGATGAATTGAAGACAGAAGCCGCAAAGAGCGGGCTAGCGGATGAGTTGGATGAGAAAATAGTATTGAGCCGGAGACAAAAGGACCAATTGATGTAAGACCCCTCCCTCCATCCCCACATTTCGAGAATCTGGTTCTGGTTTTCTAACTACCGCCGCCAATAGGTATCTCGTGGAACACGATACCGAATTTCTCTCTAAAATGGAAACGATCGACTATAGTCTACTCCTAGGGCGGTACCCAATCGAGATGTTCCACGACAAACCTGACCCGCACAAACACCCCGACCCATTGGTGATTCCCGGAAAAGACGATTTTGTTCGTGGGGTGAGGAGTCCGGATGGAAAGTGGGTGTATAAAATGTGTATACTTGATTTCTTCTGGAATGTGCAGCAATTGCATCCGAAGATTATCAAGGCTGCTGGTACGGCATTACCGGAACAGACGGTGACAACTGAGCCCGCTAGGTATCGCAAAGAGTTTTTGAAGTATGGCCCCAAGTTCAATCCTTATTTGGCAAAAACAATACTAATTGTATAAAGGATGTTGGATGAGTATATCGAGGTCTATGAAGAACAGGATTCTGAGTTGTCAAGCTCGGATTCGGAGTAGCTACGTAGAGCTGGCTGTAGCATTTATCTTTCTCCCTTTCATTTGTACCTACGGGTTTATCTAGAATATGCCGTATTTTGTATTTTTATTTGTAATGGAGCTGAAACCAATTCGACCTTTACCTCACCTCGCCTATGATTCTTTGAAGCTTCCTATTTCCTATCCGCTAGAGACCCACAAGCCTCTGGCTGAACATCTGGTGATTGCCAGCAACTACTCTCATATCTTCTGCTGTTTGTTTACAAGTGACAACAACGCTTTTCGCCCAGTCCCAGCAGTCCCATAGCCATGCGGATTAGGAACTTGACTGGTGTTGCATGCGGAGTGTTGCTCCGGCCCATCGATAGGGTTAGGGGAAGAACGTGTGATACCATCCCTGGAATCTAGATCTTTCCTCACCGCCAAAAAAGTCTGCAAGGCCGATGATCGTGAGTTCTCGTAGGCAATAATAAATAAATTCACATATTTATCCTTCTCTTCGCAAAAGGTTAGCATCACATGTCGATGCGAGATGAGGAATAGGCAGGATAAGAGAATGGTTTGTTGAAGTGGCGGACACGAGAATTCAATGATAAGAGATGGTGCTTGGATCTCTTGTTTGCTCGAAAAAAGAAAATGTGCAAGGAGGTTTTGAAGAACCGACAAAGGGAAATTCGGCTGTTGCGCCAGAAGTTGCGTTCGAGCCAGGTGATCCACTTTCACCCTCATCCTGGGAAACCTTCCACCTCCACCTCCAAAAGCCACTTAACCCCAAGGAATTCAAAATCATTTTGATATGTGTCCTTTGGTTTGCCGACTGGCCTCAAGGGTAATGAAAGGGTAATGAATGATAGAGATATCGCAGGATTTAGAGATGGTCGCCCTGATATTCCTCCGAAAGAGCTCTCGTGACTAACCAAATACACGTATGTATCTACATGCAGTTACCATGAATTTCGGTTTCCTGGCCCCTCTGATACGCTGTTCCCCTGATATTTAAACATGACCATGGAAAGAGAGTAAACAGCAGCAAAAAAAAGGGGGGAGGGGAGGAAGAAGAATGATTTTCGCTGCAAGTGCCTTGCTAGAAAAAATACCCGATTCCGAGGGTGTAATTTTTCCAGTTACCAGGTTAAACTCGTGATCACTCACTGGTGCATTAATTCGCCATCACGGAATTTTGACATGAAGTCTTGGAGATTAGGTTCTCTGCAGCCGAAGTCGCCTTGGATAGGGGAGGTATCATAAGCTCAGACAGGGTACCGTACCAACAAGAGAGTAAGACAACCACAACTACATTTAGGGAATCTAGATTGTATTTAAATCCACAAAAATAAAAAGTAAAAGTATAGAACTAGAGGTCCAAAAAGATTATCAAAACTTAAAGTATCTACATCTACACAAGTATCTGATCAGGATGAGCCTGAAGAGAATTGATATCAACGGCCCAGCCAAGGGGAGACGTCGCTGCATGAAGGAAAGCGATCTTGATTCTGGGGGAGGACCCGTGGTTGAGGCTCTGCGCTCCCCAGCAGCAGCCCTGGGCCGGAACGCAAAGCCCATACAACGTAACGTAGTGCAGTAGTGTGGGTGTGTGGCTATCTCGAAACTTTGGGCTTCGCGGCTGCGTTCCATCTCTGTGGAGTTCCCACCCCAAAATTCCCCCAGAGGGGGATCTCGTTAACCGTCCTGCAACCCGCCGTTGGGCCTGGTCTGTCTTGTTCGCTGGTTTTCTTCTTTCCCTTGCCTTTTGTCCGCACCCTCATTATCGCCATTCTTCATCATCGTTTCTCTTCATATTCATCTCAGAGAACTTCCCCCCACTAACCCACCATCGCCCTTTTCATACCCCATCGTACCGTCATATCTTGCGTATTTGGTGTATCAGCCAAAAAGAAATCGAGCTTCGGGGAGAAAAAAAAAAGAAAAAATCTCTCTCCGAGGGTACCCCCCCAAACCACCCCCTCCCCCAATCTTCACATCGAGAAGAAAAAGAGAAAAGAAGCAAAGAAAGAGGAAAAAAGGATTCAGTCTCTGGATCCCCCGCTCTTTCTTACGAACTCTAAACCGCTACTCTCTTCTCAATCTTTAGTAGCTATCGTTTATATTTTTCTTTCTGTTTGCCTTTTCGCTGCAGAATTCACGTAGCCGGTTTTTGTCCCTCCCACCGTAAGACGCGCCAGTTCCCTTCGCTACAAACAGCAGCAAACTTTGAGGGTGGTAGTGGTGCCAGTGTTATTTCTGTGTTGGCCTTCTATGGGGTTTTGTCGTTCATTGTAAAACCAGAATCATGTCGGGAAGTCAGCATCACTCCCCTTACAACTCCAATCCTTCCCCCAATTTGCCATACCGGCCCTCCTTTTCGCCAACGGAACAACAACACCAGATTCCGTACCAGAGTCCTGCCCTTCACGCCCCTCCACATCAACCCACAAACGGCCATTCCACCACTCCTTTACCACCCTTAAACTCCACGTACGGGACTGGGACTCGCTCTGGCTATTATGATCCGGTAGACCGCTCGGGGGATATGAACTCTAATAGCTGGGCCTACCAAAACAACGGATACGATAGGAGACCTTCGATCCAATCCCAACCTGTAAGTAAACGTTGGCGCCTTGTGTGTGGTGTCAAGCCTCCCATACTTTTGTTGACTTTTAAAGACGCGAGAACAACGTTATAGCTACGGTGGTGATTCTACGGTCGATCGCTCTCACGGAGGTCCGCAGTCGCCAGCTCATCTTGTCGATCAAAGCTCAAGGCTGAGCTATCCCCTACCCTCACCATCACCAGTTACAGGACGAATGGATACGGGGAGCATTCAATCTGATTTGAGGAGAACTTCTATGGCATCTAGCGTGCATCATTCCGACTACGCAGGAACCCAGCCTGAACCAAGTTCGCCCACAACGGTAGGTCGCCAACTTGCAATCCTCAAAGATGACTACTCACATAAATAACAGAAAGCTACCCCTGTGCGGCGCGGCGGCGCAATGTCTATATCTGCCCTCCTTTCCAACGCCGACGAACCTGCCAACGATAATCACAACACAAACGCTCGCGCACCTCAACCGTCTAAAACAAATTCTATAGATCGCGTCATCCGGCACAGTCCTGAATCAACCACAAAATTGATCGCACGACAAGGCCCAGCTGCTCGGACCACTTCAACTTCTTTCCATTCTATAGACAACGAGGCTGTGGATATGGAACCAGGGACCAAGGGTAGCGGCAAGAAAAATAGTTCGTTTAGGGACTTCAAGTACCATGACTCAATGAATCTAGTCGATAACGATCCGGATAAAACAGATACCGAGGTTGATGATGATGACACTTTCGCGGCCGAGAGAGTGGAATATCTAAAGAATTCGCGAAAGCGGCAGTTAGAGATTGAAGATCAAGAGTCGGAGAGGCGAAAGGTTGATACTGTTCCCCTTTGTTCCGGCAAGCTTTGCGCTAACTATTATAGCGACGTCGCGTTATTTACCAAAACAAGCTTCACTTCCAACTCGACAGCCACGCCAAATCATCACGTGACCGCGCACGCCAAGTATTCTACGAAGAGGCAATGGAGCAGGTAATGAAGAGGGAGGAGGAAGATGAAAAAGAACGAAAGAAAGAGCAGCAGAGGAAGCGTCGGAGGGAGAAGGCTGAGGTGGAGAAGCGGGCAAAGGCAGAAACAGCAGTAAAAGCAGCACAGGAAGCGGCGGAACGAGAGGCCAACGAGAAACAACATAGAGACGAAATTGCTAGACAGAGGTCTGCTGAGAGAGCCGCACAGATGGAATTGGATGGGGCACTTGGTCTCGACGCTCAAGATTCTGATGCTAGTAACGCCTTTATGATCATTGATGAAGATGGTGGGAAATTGAAACGTAGAAAGATCGCGAAGAAACGGCCATCGAAGGAAAACAAAGAGGAAATAAAAGAAATAAAAGAACCAAAACCGATTAAAGAGGTGGTTAAAGAAGAATACGTTCCGCATGCCTCTAAGGGTTATGTTCAAATTTACGAGCAAATTTGGAAGGATATTGCCAAAAAGGACATTCCTAAGGTACATAGGATCCAACAGACCTCACTTTCTACCAGGCAATCAAACCTTCGAAAAACAGCTCAACTTGCATCGAAAGAGGCTCAGCGGTGGAAACTTCGAACCAACAAGAATGTCAAGGACACCCAGGCTCGTGCAAAGAGGTGTATGCGCGAGATGATGTCTTTCTGGAAGCGTAATGAAAGGGAGGAACGAGATCTGCGTCGTCGCGCAGAGAAGGAAGCAATCGAACGTGCAAAGAAGGAAGAAGAGATGAGAGAGGCCAAACGACAAGCAAGGAAGCTCAATTTCTTGATCTCTCAAACCGAACTCTACTCTCATTTCATTGGGAGAAAAATTAAGACAGATGAAGTGGAGAGATCAACAGACACAGTTGGGGCGGAAGGTGGTGCCGAAACTGTCAAGCCGCCAGTCCGGACACCCGGAATGCCGCATGTGGCCGGTGATAATTCCGGGAAGGCCGCTGCAGTTACAAACTTTGAAGATCTGGATTTCGATGCGGAAAGCGACGAGGCACTCCACCAGGCAGCAATGAATAATGCACAACATGCCATCCAAACTGCTCAGGACAAGGCCCGTGCGTTCAACAACCCTGAAGGGACCGACGTTGCAAATCTCAACTTGGATGATGGCGAAATGAATTTCCAGAACCCTACGAGTCTCGGTGATATCGATATTGAACAACCAAAGATGCTTAATTGTCAGCTCAAGGAATATCAGTTGAAAGGTTTAAACTGGCTCTGCAATCTGTATGAGCAAGGTATCAACGGAATTCTCGCGGATGAGATGGGCCTTGGAAAAACTGTTCAATCTATCTCCGTGATGGCTTATCTTGCCGAAGTTCACAACATTTGGGGTCCGTTCTTAGTCATCGCACCCGCATCAACCCTTCACAATTGGCAGCAAGAAATTGCACGATTCGTACCCCAGCTTAAGGCCCTTCCATACTGGGGAAGTGCAAAGGATAGAAAGGTTTTGAGAAAGTTCTGGGATCGAAAACAACTCACTTATACTAAGGACTCCCCGTTCCATGTTCTCATTACATCATACCAGCTTGTTGTCCAAGATACGCAGTACTTCCAGCGAATGAGATGGCAATATATGATTCTGGACGAGGCGCAAGCTATCAAGAGTTCTTCTAGTTCTAGGTGGAAGGCCCTGTTGGGATTCCATTGCCGTAATAGATTGCTACTAACTGGTACCCCAATTCAGAACTCTATGCAGGGTATGTTCTCTTTTCACTTTGTATTCAATCGGATATTAACCACTTTTAGAACTATGGGCGCTGCTACATTTCATCATGCCAAGTCTTTTCGACTCCCACGATGAGTTTAGCGAATGGTTCTCCAAAGATATCGAAAGTCACGCCCAAAGTAATACACAGTTGAATGAGTCCCAACTACGCCGTCTGCACATGATTCTTAAGCCTTTCATGCTTCGTCGTGTCAAGAAGCATGTTCAGAAGGAACTAGGGGATAAGATTGAAGTTGACGTATTTTGCGACCTGACATATCGCCAGCGTGCAATCTACAAGGGTTTGCGTGACAAAATTAGTATAATGGACCTCATAGAGAAGGCCGCTTCCGGTGGAGACGAAAATACTGCAACTTTAATGAACCTTGTCATGCAATTCCGAAAGGTTTGCAATCACCCTGATCTTTTCGAAAGGGCAGATACAAGGTCACCATTTTCTTTGACGCAATGGGCCGAAACAGCCTCATTTTTGCGGGAGGGTCCCGTTATCGATGTTGCATATACATCAAGGAATATGATAACCTACTGTGTTCCTGCATTGGTTTATCGCGAGGGTGGGCGGCTAGATTTGCCAGGACCCGATTCAAATCATGGCAGCCGAAAGTTCCAGCTATCTAATATTTTGAATATCTGGAAGCCAGATCATATCCATAAATCAATTAGATCTGATAGGAACAGTGCCTTCTCATGGCTTCGATTTGCCGACACCAGTGCAAGCGAAGCATCAGCAGCGTTTCACAAGAGTCAATTCGACAACTCTTTAACTTTGCGGACAAGGCGAAATCTAAGCCAGTTTTCCACCGTTTACGACGAAGAGAAGCCATGGATTCCATCTCATGCGATGTTCCTCATCTCAGAACTAGCAGACAAGAGACCTGCAGCGGAGGTTACTGTAGAAGGTCATATGGCTGCGTTACTTAATGTGTCTACCAATGTATTCCGCGAATCCAGAATGCATTGCATGGAGCCGTTATCATACCCGGCCGCCACTGCGCCACCGATAGCCCTACTTTGCTTGAATCAAGGTGCTGTGATTGAACAGGAAACTCACCTCTTCAACCCGCGCGTTCGAAAGATCCTCTACGGCCCATCGATGCCTGAGGAAAAGCATCTCTTGGAGAACCATGTTGAGCCCGCTGACTATCCTCTTTCTAAGGCATTACCAGCTCCGTCTTCGGAGAAGGCAGGCTACGCTCGTATTCAGGTTCCGTCTATGAGGCGCTTTGTTAGTGACTCTGGGAAACTTGCAAAGCTAGATGCTCTCTTAACAGAGCTTAAGGCTGGCGGTCATCGTGTTCTTTTATACTTCCAGATGACTAGAATGATGGATCTTTGTGAGGAGTATCTTACCTATCGCCATCACAGATATCTTCGGTTGGATGGGTCCTCAAAGCTCGAGGATCGTCGTGACATGGTAGCGGCTTGGCAAACCTCTCCCGAGATATTCATCTTCATTTTGAGTACTCGTGCTGGTGGCTTGGGTATCAATCTTACCGCTGGTGCGTTTATCTCCCTTCTTTAGCTTTATATAATACTAACTTTTGATACAGCCGATACTGTCATCTTTTACGACAGCGATTGGAATCCTACAATCGATAGTCAAGCTATGGATCGTGCCCATAGATTGGGTCAGACTAAACAAGTCCGTGTATTCCGTCTCATCACCCGGGGAACAATTGAGGAGCGAATTCGAATGCGTGCTCAACAGAAAGAAGAGGTAGGATTGCTCTTACGTCTTTGATATGATTAATCACCCACACTAACATCGGTGTAGGTTCAACGTGTCGTCATTCAAGGTGGTGACCCAGGTGCCAAGAAAAATGTTGACTTCAAGGGCACTCGAGAAGTTGCCACTTGGCTCTTTGATGATGATGATGCCGAAAAACTAGAGAAGACCCTGGCGGAGAAAGAGCGGGAAGCAGAAGAGGCTAAAGCCAAGGGAGGTGCGAAGAGAGGCAAGAAAAAGAAGGCCGCCCCATCAGCTATGGAGGGTACCAAAGCGATAGATCTCGAGGATCTGTAAGTTCTTTAGACTTCCCACAACCCATTCACAGTTTATTAACGATTTATTAGATATCACGAAGGGGAAGGGAGATTTGACGATAGCGGAAAACCCAGTGAAGCTGGAACCCCAGCTGCTTCAGGTGCGCCAATCTCGTCGAAAAAAAGAGGGCCAAAGGGTGGCAACAAAAAGAAATCCACCCAAGAGAGACTTAATATGATCGATGGGGTTACGACCAACAATAGAAACGGAGATAATGCGTAATTCTAGGTGTTTTTTTTTTTGTAAAGTATTTTCTTTTCTGGAAGGCTGGTGGAAGTAAATTAGATCTTTCCTTTTTTCCCCCCCTCTACCCACTCTCGCCGTTACTTCTTTTACTCTGTTTTATTGGAAAAGGGTGGTTATTTTTTTAGTGATCGGGCTTCAACTATCTAGGCATTTGGTAGTCGTTTCCTCTTTGTGGTGCATGCAGGTCCCCTCCTCCCCGATGTTCTTATTTCTAATGTTTTCTTTCTGTTTCCCTTTGTATCATGGTTGGGATTCTCATCAAAAGGCTCTTGATAGGATGGAGCTAGTGTATTGTACAGGTAAAAGGCGCTGGCTTGGAAAAATATATATCCAGTGATGCTGGGATAACTGCAGAATGGAAATGATGTGCCCATAGTGTATAATGTTGGGTTTTCGGAACCGATGAACCGGGTTCGGCTTCTGCAGTTGAGGAGGGTTCCTTCATCTGGCATATTTATTACGAGAATAGATAACACCTATTGGGGGATCTGCTCTGTATGTGGTGGTGGGTGTGTCTGCCAAGCCTTGACTAGCGTTTATTGTAAGTGTCAATGATCAATTTACCGAAATCCTATTTGAGGCGAACCAATGAATTTTCAATCGGAGGCCTTCAACAGAGTCCATGGCAGTAAAGCAGAATTCGAGACGGGCTAAGATGACACGTATGGAAGTCACTGTCAATTACACATCGTTCAAGAGGAGGAAGAATAAGTCTTGTCCTAAACAGTACCATAATCCTACCCAGGGCCACAGGCATTACAGGCCCAGCTGAACGACTTGACAGAGCATGCAACGATTCTTGCATAGGAAACTCGAGATACCCGCTCAGGTATCTGAATTTAAACTTTCGGCCGGATTCCCTAACGAGGCTATGGGAATTACCTAGAGAGGTAATGGACTGAACATTCGCACTATGTATTGCGACGCTCACCCGAGCCTAATATTATGCAAATAGCTGTAAAGGTACTTGTTACGGTATGCGTATAGTCAACTGAGTTCATGTAGTCTTTTACGAAATTTACAGCGCCCTGGGCTCTGATCACAAGCGTTGAATGAGATATGAGCAGTATTCATTCTCTCACGGCGGCAACAGAGAATTTCAATCAACTCCCACCCGCTTTTCCCTTAACATAGTGGTCTAGGAGTTCCCTCGCGAGTGAGGTTGCATGATCGATGCTGCCAAGACTGCTTCCCCCACAAAATCAGAGACTGCTTCTAGGGCACAAACCCTAGTCACCCACGACCCGCCCACCTCGCATAGCAACATCATACGAAATTGAACACCCCAACATCACGACCGAAGACAACACTCTCGAAACCCAACGATCGAGCGACACACCCAATAGTCTAGCCATGCCTGTATGTTGCTCCCCTCTGAGATTCCATCAAAGCTATCTCCATCGTAAGGTCCGGGATTTGATTTGCTGATGGTCGGGGTTTTGCTTCAATAATAGAGTCACAAATCTTTCCGTACCAAGCAGAAGCTTGCCAAAGCGCAGAAGCAGAACCGTCCCATCCCCCAATGGATCCGTCTCCGAACCGGAAACACCATTAGGTCCGTCCGATAGGCACCCCACTCCTCTTTGCCCCCGCCCTACGGCCGCCGTTGGATTATACTTGGAATGGAATACTGACGAGGCTCTTCCGGTAAATAGGTACAACGCTAAGCGCAGGCATTGGCGTAAGACCCGCATCGGCATCTAAACGGATCGCCCTTGCTCTTTCTTTCCCATTGTCTCATTTTCTTTACCGGCGGAAACAAAAAAAATACAACAAACGGCTGGTTTTGTCTTTTCGCTCTTGGGGTTACGGGTTGGTCGGTCGGTCGGGCTTTCTTCTGCTTTTCTTTTCTCTCGCGGTCGGGCTTTGCAATAATGGGGGGAACGGCATGAACATAGGACGGGAGGAAGGGGGAAAAAGATCTGAGCTCGGGCGGAGGAGGAGATGGGGAGGCTTTGTTCGCTGTCTTCTCTGTCTGCCACTCGCGAAAATGTTAACCTCAAAAATTAGAGAAATTTCAAGTCTTCTGCCTGCAAGCTGTTTCCGGTGCTTCCTTTCTTGAAACCGTTCTGGGGTAGGCGTTATTTGAGGTTCCAATATGAGAGTCTTGTTTGGGTTGGGTTTGATTCTACGCCATCTTTTAGGGATATCTTACCATTCCACCATATCTGTGTAGAAAAAGAAAAAGAAAAATCCTAATTATGACTTAAAACATTCTCCAAGTGTTGACTTTTCTCTCAGATTACACTTTTGCTTTCTTATCCCATTTGCAGTATATTTCCAGTTCATTTCGCACTTTACTCGACTCCAAATAAAAACTCAGCCAAGGCTTCCAATTCATACAAACAGTTTCTTAAATGTCTCAAATTTATTTAATGGATACTTGAATGCTACAAAGTAGAATGTTCTTTACTATCTCAAGACCTTATCGCGACGTCATCAACGAATAAAACGACATTTACAGGAGCTAACATCAAAGTACAAGCACACCTACTATGAAAATTGTATGCTGCCATCCTCCAGTACCTGGCCTCTACCGTATATTCTAATTTCATTCACCATCTACATGTGCCTGTAGTTACTGTTTATTACGAGAACGCAGTATTGACGGTCGACTACTCTAGTCTAGGAGCAAGCTGATCGTGAGCAACTATTACATAATGGGCAAGGCGCAGCTACTTCACATGGCCAAGATACCAGGCTTGGCCGAGTGAGCGAACATGACCCGAGGGACCGTTTCATTGGAGTAAAGGTGCAAACTACAATCCAACTTCGACCCATGGCTGTATCCCAACACCAATAGTACAATATACTTATCCGTTAGCCCTGACCGTGGGTCTCCTGGCGGTCTGGCGGGCTCGCTGGCTCGCTAGATTGAGATGGCCGATGATGATGGAGCCCAGACTTAGGCAGTGGCTTCATGCTTTGGTAACTTTATCATAATAAAAGCTTTCTGATATGATGTATGTTCTCCTTGCTATTCCTCTACTATATTTGCCTTCAATCGCAATTGTTAAGTGAAAATGTATATAGACACATGTACTCTGGCTTCATTCCAGAAGGAATACATAACCCACCACCCTTTCCAATACCCAAACTACAGAAAGAAAGACAAAAAGAAGGAGGCAAAGGAAATCAAAATGAAATGACATCAATATATCAATTCATGGTTTTACAAAAAGTGAAGTAAGGAAAAGGAGGGAACCTAGACCCTAGACAGAATCTCCTTGACCAGACTACTACATTAATCGTGTTTTAAAAGGAAACATACGTACCGTATTTAGATCATGTACCGGTGGTCATAGATACTTTATTGGTTTTGAAGCAGCGCTACCATGTCAATATGTCCACCTAATACCGCTGTCTGGAGCGCTGTTCGGCCATAGTGATTCACCGCATTGACGTCGGCACCCCCTTCGAGAAGCAACTTGGCCATTTCAACATGCCCACCTTTTACTGTTGTATAGAGAATATCCCTGCTATAACTGTTCCTTTTGATATAATTAATCCGAGACAGAGTTTTTATAGTCCCTAAATCGCCGGCTACTAAGGCCGTATCAAAAAACTCATCAAATAGACTACGGTCAATGTCAAGTTCCTGTTTAAGTATTAATACGAACAGGCTATATCCCTCCTTAAGTGCACGTTGTAAAATATCGGCAATTTCGGTCTTTAGGAAACACTTATGCAAAAGGGCTTTGGAGCTCGACCCTCCTCCACGATTTATTAAGGTATTAATAGTCCGAAGACTGACTCCCATGCCGCAAGCAAACATCTGACTTCGTAGAATCTCGGGTTCGGTCTTTTGTTGGTCATATATCACTCCATTGGATGATTGAGGTAATTCGAGTAACCATTCGCTCTTCATGGCATTTGCCGCAGATGGTCGGGACCGAGGATCAGGAACTAGCAGGCTTTTTATAAATTCTATTCCCCTCTCGCTGATGTTGAATGCACGTAAAGTCCCCGTTGAAAGATTGGCATTAGTTCCATAGCAAAAATCAAAAAAAGCCTTGTTATCGAACTCGAATTCAGTGCTAGAAATTGGAACAACTCCTGATATGGTGCTATCATAAGTCCGTGATGAGTCTACTGTCGTAAATGGTAGCTTTAATCTCAAAACTTCGTGTAGCAGACACCCAAGCGACCAAAGATCAAATGAACTTTCGTACTCTCCGTTTAACTTTAGAAGGTTTAAAGGAAGACTCCTATTCACTTCAGGTGCGAGATAGTTACGAGTGCCGATCTGAGTAACTAATCGTGTATCTGCTGTACTCTTCGAAATTCCGAAGTCCGCAAGTTTTATGTGAATCGGAGAGAGTGAAGACAAAAGGATATTCTAATATACCGCTCAGTATTATGTGACTGGTTAATAACAGCACATCACAAGGGAGTAAACCTCAGGTTTCAAATCGCGATAACAAATGCTCCGTCCATGCAAAATCACAAGTCCTTCGAGAACTTGCATTGCAATCTCTTTGGCACTTTCTTCCGACTGCTTCCCAGACCTTTTGAGAAATCCTCTCAAGTCGCCATGCTCAACATACTCCATAGCAAGTAAAATACAACCCTTCTCCATGTACCAACCGCGGAATTGCACAAATAAATCCCTATGCTAGTAATATATACTCTTCTTTTAGCTGTCTTAGTTCTTGCCATATCTGCAAGTTTAAGAGTGGCAAAGATATGTAATATTACTCACGTCTTTCAGTGAGACCAAGATACTCAACTCACGTTTATGATCCATCTCCGAACCCATGCCTGCATGTAGTTTCTTGACCGCCCTCAATTCGTTTGTGTTTTCTTCTTTTCGAGATGAACAACTCCAAATCCACCTCGCCCGAGCTCTTTCACATACACCCATTTCACCTGTTTTCTCGCTCCCACCAACTTGTCTGACTCTTTGGATGACGTACAGAGTCCTCGCGGACTATGGTTTGTAGTTGCTCAGGGAGTTCATCGAGGCTCGGGGTTGAGGACGCCGTACTAGTCCGACTAGGCCTGGAACCTTCCTGTCATTGTGGTTAGATTAGATCAATGATTTGGCATCGGAACCCCACATACCTGTGTTCCATTCTGGTTCCAGATATTACTATAAAGTCTCCGCATACTCAAAATCGAGAGAGAAAAAATAGAACGCTGTGTTACTGAGAATTTAACACCTACACTGGAGCGGGGAGGATTGAGTTTGGTGCTAGCTCCAAACATCGTCAGCCTCATAAGAGCTGGCCTATGGCATGCCAACCGCATATTTGAGGTTACACTGAGGTCTTGACCCGACTTAGCAAAGTTGCACCAATTAAAACAGCTCTTGACAAGGCTATTTTGAGCCTACGTTCTGGATAAACCTACCGATAAGCCTTATAATTCTATGCGGTTCGATGGTAAGATTGTATCTTTCTATACCGAAGATTGCATGGTATATATCTGGGAACAATTGCAAGCTAGAGAAGTTGTCTACGTTGGAGAGTATTATGGCTCGAGAAGCTATGGTGGGTAGGTGTGTAAACTTCGGCGTTTGCAGCCAATCAATCTATAGGAATTGAGAGATCTACTCCCATAATGGTACTAGCGCCTAGCCTGACGGTGGAATTTTCTCTAATTCCCATACAAAAAAAGTTCCTCTGAAGTTGACACACCCACCCCCTATGCCTTCTCGCGCCATAGTCTGTCCAAACCTTATCTCACATAACCCGGCTCGTTAAACGTCATAAGAAGTCCAGGGACGAGGCGAATGGGGCTCTTTCTGGTCCTTGCGATACCAGTATATATGTGGCGTACTGAACTTTATTCTTTCGTTCGGAACTATGCGGTAAAGGGTACATATAGGTACATAATAAATGTACTCGTAAACGAGTACTCTATGTACTCTAGGTAGAGTATGGTGCTTATATCGTCCGAATTAGCCAGAAAGAAAAGAAAGAAAAGAAAAAGAAAAAGAAAAAGAAAAGAGAAAAGAGAAAAAGAGAAAAGAGAAAAAAGAAAAGAGAAAAAAGAAAAGAGAAAAAGAGAAAAAAGAGGAGGAGGAGGAAGAGGAAGAAATCAGATATACCTACAGTCACTCACGGGGTGAAGGCGGATCCTGTCTGATGGCGGTCAGGGACTTGAGGCCAATAAAAGAGTTAGGTTTTGGACGCCAAGGGCAAATTACTGCAAACAGAACCATCAGACAGGATCCGCCGTCAGTAGGTGAACGACTGTACATGTAGTAGCCAGATAGATTTGACGGTTTTGATGGTTTTGGCAAGCGGGGAGATGCCAGTTTGATTATTATTGATAACCTTTTCTCTCCCGGCCCGTCAAGAATTACTGTAGGTTTTTATCTTTATATACTATGCTCTAAAGATGAGCCCCATATATAATTAGTTCATAAGAAAATGCGGCTCATTCCCAAGAAAATTTAAGATAATTATATGCTCATATCGAATGTATGTAGAAAACATTTTACTAATTCAACTTTCGATCATCCCTCTCCGGGCAGTCTGTCCTGACGACCCTCCACACACCTAAACCCCTCCTACCCACCACTCGCTCAATCGTTGGGAGGAACCCATCATCAGCAAAATCCATATCATCCATGTTAAAATGGTTTCGGTACTCCCACTCCTTCTTGAGCCAAAAGGGCAGACTTTTATTCGTCCCTAGAGCAAACACGTCTAAATCGATAGCAGACAACGGAGCAACAAGATAGTTGTTTGCCTGTTGCTCACCCGTATCACACTGAGCCAGTGGCTGAAGGGTATTGACCAGAACAGAGATTTTGGCACCCATGAGATCTGTAGTAAGGAGTTGGGGAATGTTGCCGTTCTTTGATGGCTCACCGAGAAGCCATGTTGGAGGCTGGTAGGTTTTCCACCAGACCGCATTTGCTGCATTTGTTACATTTCCCATATGGAGCTGGACAGGTACCACCCCGCCTTGGTGGAAAATACCCATAAGGGCTCCATATACCACATTAAACATCACCCAAATGACTATCCAGAGTCTTTGCAAGATGATATTTTTTGGCAACGAAATGCTTGACAGCAACAAAGGTACAAGAGGTACCAAGAACCTAGCCTCTTGGTGCTGGAATATACTCAGTACCGCGATTCCAGAGACTGCTGAGAGAAGTGGAAGCTGGAGAGGCCACGTCCATGAGGTGAAGAGCGAAATCAGTGCAGGGCCTAGAAGCTGAGGTAGATTGATGAGTATATGGGTATATCGCGGATGGAGGCCATGGAGAGAGAGATTCGAGGATTTGGAGTTATAGAGTAGGTTATTAAGGGGTGTGATCACGAGCGGATGAGAGAGCGGATGAGAGAAGAGGGCGTATAATGATGGTGCCAAAGACGAGGAGTAATACACAGTGTCCAGGTAAATTGCTAGCCCTGTTGCTCCCAGACCAAAAACGACAAGTGGAATTACAGTGGTTGGATGCCGGAGGAAGTGGGGTATTAGCGTGAGCCCTGGAAGTAGTAGAAAGGCCGGGAATGTAATGCGGTTGAAGATGGAAAATATAACTGTAAATCCTAGTGCCGCACTCGACAGCCATGCAGCATCCTATTGAAAGAGTGAATCAGCCCTATACGCTTTTAGGAAATCTATATATTCTATCTGAGTCAAATGTACTTTTGAGGATGAAATTCTCCGAATCAGGACCAATGACCATGCCACTCCGATAGTTTCGATCGAGTTGGAGAAGGTATGGGTTTGATATGTCCATGTTACGTAGCTGCTGGCCAGTAATAAAAGGCTGATGCGTCGACCTCTCGGCGATGCGATGAGCTCTTGGATAGCCCAGTCCTCTTCTTAGTGTCAGTTCATATTCATATTTCTTCGACACCTCCAACCCACCCACCACCAACTATCAATCGCTCTTTCTCTCCATAATAAATATGAAATAACGCCCATACCTAAAACGAACGATATCAAGAAGAATAAAATGCGCAAGCTGTAGAAAACAAGCATTGGACTGGGCGATTCAGCTCCGGGCATTATCCAGCGCACCAAGTGCATAGGGATACCATATGCTGCCCATAATGGAAAGACGCTTCGTATGGGAGCTGCGGAAGTAAACTCCCAGGTTTTAGTGATGCGCCAGTCGAATATATCGCCTGCAGTGCGCAGTAAGTTAGTTTCAAAGGTTGAGGATGCGGCGCGGCACAGCGCGGCGCGATATAAAGGGTCCGAAAACATACCAGCTATTACTTCAGGCCCCTGGAAGTGCTCGTCGGGATGAATATAGGACGGCGAAAGGGCAAAGTAAAGTCTTACGAGCGCGAGAAAAAGGTAGACGCGCCTCCACATCCTGGGCGATTATGATGCTGTCGCCGGAGGAGGAAGACAGGGAGAAGTGAAAAAAGAGTTGAATGAGGGGCAAGAGAGAAAGTGCAAAGAACGGATGGGAAAACCCCCGAATGAGTAAAATTTCCTCGTTATTAATGGCTACCCACATAAAATAGATACATCTAGCTACTATCGATAGACAGCTGATACACCGGTAGGCAGATCTAAAGACTTCTGTGACCCAATATTGTCTGTGCAACCACAAGCAATTTGGTGACAACTGATCATGGGGGGCGCTCATAATAAATACATGAGGTTAAAGCAACACTTCAAGTCTCCAACGAAGAATATGGGTCTATATGTAAATGTACATGAAGCCTACGTACATGTAGTAATGTATGATACATTTTTGGGTGAGCCGTCCGGTTTACAGGGTCACATACGCCTAAATTAGATGTGCGCCCAACGAAGCTCTCAGAGCTCTGGAAGCTTAGGCTTGGCACCAAAGATGATAGAATTGGGTTAAGAAGCCTCAAAAACTCAAAAAAAATATGTATGAGCTAGCTTGATGGCCTCAAGGACACTTGTTGAAGGGATTGAGCGAAGCGTAGAATATTGAAACCAGGTAATCCGGTCAGTATTTACGGCGAAGAGGATGATGGAGGAGTCATCCATTCTAAACCTATCTTGGCGTCTCTTGAGGCTAAGCCCTCATAAATGTGTAAGGTAGCGGTAACCCCCCTCCTCCTCTCCATCCCCCCACCACCACTTCTTCTCCATCTATCTCTTCTTAACGAACAACCACAGCACTCCAACCTCCTTCCCATCAATAACAACTCCTCACAACTTCCTACCTAAATCTTTCACGACATTAACAACAAGCATGTCTGAAATTAAGCTTCTCAGCTCAGATCAAGCGACAATCACCGTCCGTAAGTTTTAATCATTTCTATCAACGCCATCCTGCTTTACTCTGCTAATACCCGTTACTTCGTGATAAATAGAGAAGGAGGTCGCCGAGCGCTCCATCCTTATCAAAAACATGCTTGAGGATGTCGGTGAAGTCACCGAGGCCATTCCCATTCCTAATGTATTTTTCACTTTCTGGCTTCCGGCTTTTATTATAATACCCTCGTCATCGGTTTACTAATATTGAAAAGGTGAATGAATCTGTCCTCAAAAAGGTTATTGAGTGGTGCGAGCACCACAAGGGCGACCCGCCTGCGCAAGCCGATGATGACTCCGACAGTCGGAAGAAATCCACAGACATCGACGAGTGGGACCAAAAGTTCATGCAAGTCGACCAAGAAATGCTCTTTGAGATCATTCTGGTAAGTTGCGCTTCCATATTTTGCTTATATACCGTGCTCGCTTAATGTTTCATTTATGTTAACATTGTCTTACAGGCTGCAAATTACCTTGACATCAAGCCACTTCTTGACGTCGGCTGCAAGACCGTCGCCAACATGATTAAGGGAAAGTCCCCTGACGAGATCAGAAAGACCTTCAACATTCAAAACGATTTCACCCCTGAGGAGGAGGAGCAGATCAGGCGTGAGAACGAATGGGCCGAGGAGTAAGTTACCCCCATCCTATTACCAATGCCAAGTCATTTCCTCTTGATCAGTGATATTGACAAAGTTTGTTTGTAGCCGCTAAATGCCGAACTAAATGCCAAATCCGAATTCAACCTCCAACAAACATCATCATAGAAGCCATGTTACACTTTCAATGGAGAGGTGGAAGGTTGTTATATGAATAGCGGGGTAATTCTTTTCTTGGTAGCAGGACGGCTATTTGTTTAGTAAAGACACGTCGTAAAGGGCCATGGAGTTCACGACGATTACGATTCTTTCTGGTTCTGCCTTTTGTATTTTTCTTTGGTGGGATGCGCACGTACCCATGTTTCTTTTCCTAGGATTCTTTGCTTTAAATATGACGGCGTTGTGAATCATTATTCTGGGTTGCCACTGGTCAACTAGTATTGCTCACTCCTCATGCCGTGAGGGTGGTTTTTTGCTGGAAGATACAATGATTCAACCGGTATTTTAGATCTGGAAACGCGTAGTTTTTAATATGAGCAAAGACTTATCAACCCTCCACGATTCTTTAGCTCTTTCAGAATTTTGTAGAATGAACATGTAGGTACACTTTTCAGCTTCATGAGGTAACGTTTTACCCTATCAATATACATTGAGCCTCCCAACCATCCCATGAAATAATTAAAAATAAACGTCATAGTTAGGCTTTTATCATTGATAGATTACTAATGTGGTATAAAACCGATGTAAGCGCCAATACAAACCACGTAGATTACAGGATTTGAACTCGCCACCTACAGCTTGCGGTAAGATTATTGTAGAAATATGGGAACAATAATTTTACCTCTCGCTGTACTAAGTAGATATTTGAACTTCTTTCTCCTTCTTTGCATTTAGAGCTCATTCGATAATACTATCCTGGAATAGAGCTAGGTTCGAATAATATAGTATGCTGCTGATACTGATGTTTTATACATAGTGCACAATACTCTGGGAATGATCTGTGAATTATTGGGTTGAGTCAAAAGGACGGTGATTGCTATTAGCATTTGGTTATTTGCAAAATCGCGTTATTTCTACATAGATGAGCGGGTCCGCGGATTATAGGGGACTATCTTGGTAATACAAATCCCCAGCTACGTGTAGCTGAACCATGACCTAACGAATAGATTCTAAGTAGAGCTAGAGGTACATGGGTATATTATATATAGGCAGCAAAAATCACGCACATGTAGTTAGTAAAAAGCCTGGATATAAAATCATTGATAACAGTTGAGAGGGAATCGACGCATTCAAATTGATCTTGAAATAGACCTTTAATGGAAAGCAATCCTATGCTGGGTGGCCCATGATATTAAACCAAAGCTACTACTCCGCCAGCTTACTCGCCCGCTCGGTATTTTCTAGCCCTCTTTTAAGGGCAGGTGTTAATCGGTATAATCATATAAACCAGGCACTATACTCTTAATTTTGCCTTCAAGGAGTGAATAGATACTAGATTTACCACTAGTAGGATGCAGAATCTAGACAAATTAGTACTCCAGGGGTGCTCCGAGTGTATGGGTTTCTTAGTTGGGCTTTGGGAGGTATTTATTAATAGAGATGTGTATTGGGCTATCTTTATCGGGATTGGTAGATATATAGTTATCCCCAAGTTAATCAATTACTTGCGATCATTACTCGGTCGTTAATTAAAAGGTCGGAAATTTTAGTAAGCATTTGGTTGCAACGATATCCGACCATTTAATTAACGCGCGAGTAGTCTAGAGATAAACACTGATTCCCATGATAGATGTCATCCACAGATATATGATATTTAGCAGCATTACGTATATATATACACACACACAAAAAAAAAAAGAGAGTACAGACTTCTCCAACGACCTCAGCTCCACCGTCATCTCTCGTGTAGATATAAAAAAAAGTAAACCAAGGCATCAGCTACCGTCGAAGCCTCTCATGGTGCGAGCGTATATCGATTACCCTACGGCACCTCGTGACGGCTCAGCAATATCTTCCGCACGCCATAACGCATTACACCATAGCTACTACAAAGGCACAGCTGGTGTTAAGATACAAACAATAAAACTATGGCTGTCTCTTCGAGGATTGTGCCGGATGTGAGATCATAATACTAGATACCCAACTATATTTGGTCCTAACTGTTCGTAGTTGTGATACCAACTCCCACCCAACAGTCTATCAATCAATTCAGACGCATATCTAGTGGTAGTCAAACCGTCGATATTAGTATATATATAAAAATCCACAGCTTGAGAAAAGAACATACGTATAGGCCTCCAACCCAAAGCTATGTTCAGCGCAAAAGTCCCTTCACACTATAACAGATTGGTAAAGCATCCGAACTAATCCACACAAACAGATCCCGACCCTTCTTTCTTAGGAGCATCAGCTTGGGCGGTTCTTTCTCCGCAAGTCAAGAGGCGGTCGTTAGACGGTGCTGCTTTTTTTTTTTTTTTTTTGCAGGTATAAAATGTTGAGCCATGGCCGGGGTAAGTAAATTCACGTTTGTAATGCCTAGCAGTATCATCGGATGTGGAAGTTTAAAGTTTGCGATGCGCTGCGGGAGTAGCAGGCCTAGGTGTATGGCACCTACCAGCCGGCACTGACATTGAACGTTATGAAAGAATCCGATACCGCTTATGCCTGGCTGTCTGGGTTAACTCTCACTTGCCCGGTCGCTCAGGAGGAAGTGGCCTCTCAGGACGCGACGGGTTTACAGCTGTTGTCATGATATTAGGCCCAGCTGAACGACTTGACACATACAACGATTCTTGCAAAGTTTAAACATGATTACTTCATTAGGAAACTCGAGATACCCGTTTAAGTATTTGAATTTAAACTTTCGGTCGGGCTCCCTAATGAAGCTATGGGAATTACTCAGAGAGGTAATTGACGACGTTCGCCTGGGCCTAATATTATGACAACAGCTGTAATCACACCTAGTCCCATAGCCATCCACCTCCCCTACATGTATGGCGCAAGAAGGCCTAGAGGGCGGGTGTGCCAACTTCAGAGGAATTTCGTTTGTATGGGAATCTGAGAAAATGCCAGGGTTAGTCTAGGCGCTAGTACCATTATAGCCAATTTCTATAAGTTTGATTGGCTGATTCTTTAAAAAAACGCCGAAGTTTACACACCTACCCCCCATAGCTTCTCGAGCCACTGTAGTTGGTTCGCAGTCCGGAGGCTGGGAATGAACTTGTGCATAACTGTATGTAGCTATAACTACATGTAGTGCATGTACGCTGCAACGGCGAAAATCAAATCTTCTGCCCTTACCAGAGGCAGAGTTTAAAGTTTCCCGGACACGCACAGACAAATAACACCTGGCTTACTCCACCGCCGAATTGACGCGCTAGGCCTCTCCTCCCCTTGCACGGGAAACACCCTCGATAGGAAAGGGGTCACTGACACCGATAATACTCTGACTTCTTTCTCAGCCTAGCCTCCCAAGAGTTGAATCACATGGTATCACTCGACCGGCTCTATCACACTTATAAAAAAAAGAATATTAAGAAGACACGTTCAGAATCAATGAAGCCCTATCACCGCCATGCACTGGAGGCGGTGGTATAAAGACGACATGTACTCTTCTTTGCTCTGTATGTTTGGGAGGTGGGGGCCTGGCCTTCGAGATATGGATCTCACACAAGCTGATCCTAGACTTAAATCATGAATTGTCACTCACGAGGATGCTAACTGTGATATATACTCTAGAACCCACGCACAGCAGCTTTAAATCAAATCATGGAGTAGAGACTGGGGATTATCGAGCTGGTGGCATTTTTAAAACTGGACAAAAATTGTGCTAAATGTATTCTATAAAGTGTCGATTGTTTTGGAGAGTCTGTTTACCTGACTACTAGTTTCACTCACATATCTGGTGCATTTATAGGCCGGGTTTACTTACCTCAAAATATAGTATTTAGCTTCAGGAACAATTTCTAAATAATACTCTTGGGACGAGGCACTATGGATATATGCATATCAAGGTCTATCATCACTCTTGCATGTAGCTCATATTTGACAGTTTAGGCGTATAAAGATCGGCGTTTAGAGATCCATCCAGTGACATAGCCCATCCCTTGATACTGGGGTTTCAATATTCCATAATTCCCATGGGATCCACAACAGCATAGAGAAAAGGGGGATGATATTCGTTTTTCCAGAATTTCCTGATTTCAAAAGCCCGATACTCCAGACCGACCCAATTCCCTAAAGAAAGAACAAAAAAAAAGATATCCCAAACTTTTAAATTGGAGGACCACGAAGTTGTTATATTTAATTGTTTTTTATTTTTCCACCACACACAGACCAAATTAGATAGACGCTATCTAATCCCTTCTTGGAGGGCGGTCACCACGGAACCTCCTGGTGTCCTGGGGCTGCTGCTGGGAAACGGCAACGACGGTGACGGGGATGGAGTCGAACTGTTTGCATAAAAAGTAACCTTGTCAGCATCTCCAAACTCCCCATTTCGGCAAAGCAAAATATATAAGGAGGGAAAAACTTACGCCCAAGTTCTTCAACAAGTCCTTGGTGTCGGCATCGACTTCAAGGCCGTTCTCGGCGGTGTCGAGAGCGGAGACCTCGGGGACATACTGGTCCTTCCTCTCACGCTCCTCCTCCTGGAGCTTGAAAGAGATACCACGGACGGGTCCACGCTGAATACGCTTCATCAAGTGGGTGGTGTACCCAGCGATCTAATACGTCGGTCAGAATACATTCTTCCTGGGAGGTCTTGACGCAAAAAAAAAAACTGACCTTGTTCCTCAGCCTCTTGGAGGCGATGATGGCGATCTCATCGCAAATCCTCTTGTTGGTCTCGAAGTCGAGAGTGAGCTTGGGGTAGTACCTCTCAATGATGACCTTGGAGGACTTCTTGACGGTCTTGGTGCGAACTATACATTCGATTGATCAGTTTTAACCCTACTTTGGCCTACAACCCGGTTAAGGGGAGACCAGGGTTTTGGAGAAGGGGGAGGTTTTAATCCCCCCCGCCCCATGGTGTGGACTGAACGTACCGCGACCCATTTTTGATGATGTTTATTTAGTTGAAAGGGGGTGGTTTTCGGTAAGTGGTGGTGGTGAGGTTGAGGATTGTCGTCGTCGTCGGCCTTTTCGTCGTCGTAAATGTCGTGGTGGTCTCGAATTTGCGGATTGGAGTTAAGGTGTGTGGGCGGGTGAGGGTTTAGCCCTGGGACTGCCGTGATAGAATGTCTTGGCTGTCCTAGAATGGAAACTATCAACGTCTCTCTCCTCTAGATCCTCAGTAACAATATGTAGGTTTTATTTGCCTGCAATACGGGAAAATGCGATGTAGTCCGCACCGTTAGTGATGCAGTATTGTGTGAGAATACGGAATAAACCCCGCATACTGCCAGAAATATCGTAAAAGAGTTACTACCACTGCAATTTAACCAACCTTTCCGGCACTAGTACACTCCATGCGAATATTGTGAACCCCGAGCAAAGTACAGGTAGGCATATGGATGTGGGTGCTTAAGTAATCCGACTGCGAGTGATCTTTCATGAACTGCCACATTGAAACAACTCTCAAAATATACCTACCTGTCTGTCATCTGTCCCGATGGATCATATATAACCATGTAGAGATTGACACACCTTACCTTTCACGGAGATTATGAGATAGTGCAGTCGTGCCATCACACCGGAGCTCGAGGTCTTGCGTCAATTGCGAACCCCTCCTCAAGACGACAGGATATAACGCATTCAAGGTTATATATATATTCAATAGCTGCATGCCATAATGAGAGTAATTTACGTTCTCGTCATTGCACTATATATACGTATTTACACCCTTCCCCTAGTCCAGGGCCACCGATATATCTACTTTTTTAGTATACTGACTTATATCCTTAAAGTTGTAACTGCGCTCATAACCCCTTCAACCGCATTACCGGACCTTTTCGCACGCCGCTCCATATACCATGGCCCCCTCAGAACGTGCTATGAGACCGTCCAAGCTGACAAGAACTGGTTCGCCATTGCCTGGAAGTCGGGCAACGAGAAGGACAAAACCACATGCAAGAGTCTGAAGTCACTCATAGGTAAACAGGTTAAGCTGAAGGGGTTCAATTGTTTTTGGTATTGGAGTGACAGGGGGGAGGAAGGAATTACGAAGGCAACGGGGTACTTAGAGAGAAAAGAGGGCATGGCACGGAATGCTTTGACAGGGCCAGTCGAGTCGCTTTGGGGAGAGGGAGCAGTGAAACATTGTACGTTTGAGTAAGTTTTAATTAGGTGCATGTATGTGTAAAGGTCATAGGTGCTTGCTATGAACCTGGCGGTTTCCGTTCAATGGCTATGCCGCTTAGGCTGATTTAGTTGATATTGTACATTATATAAACGTGCACCTGTCTTTCGTTTATCCTGGAGTTCTTGGTCCATTCAAAAATAACGCAATTAGATAACGCAATTAGGTTGGAACGCTAGTGGTGATAGTAGCTCCGGTTCCCAAAATTTAGTATTTGATGAAAGAAGAGAAGCACAAGGTGCTAGGTATTAAAAAAAAAGACTCACGATACATATGAGAGTGAAAAGAGACCCTGTGATAGAAAAGATAAAAAAGAACCCGTACAAGGATATGGATGATTATAACATCCAGTGAACACAGGAAACACCTAAACAAAAGTTTGCATAGTACGCCAGTAACCCCTCCAGACCGACCGCCAATATGTGACCACGCACCAAAACAAAAACAAATTAAACAGGTAAGTACGTGACTGGAATGACAATTGCAGAACGCAAGTGGTAACTTGAACAAAACCAATGAAGACACTAAAAACATTTACGCCAGATAATAAAACACCATAGCCCCCGTCCTATAGTTATAGATGAAACAGCTTTTTTCGCCCTCCGTAGCCAGATTTTCTAGCATTTCATGAAGCTGCTGCACATATCGCCTGTCTGCTGCAGGTGCATTCTGTATAACCTTCTTCCAGACCTCGCCATTCATCGTTGTGAATTTGATCGCTTCTAGAAGATCATCGCGGATGTCAACGGCCGCGATAGGAGCTGAGCGGAACCCTTTGACTTGTTCTTGTGCTGCGTTTTGGGCTCCATCAATAATTGTATTTCGAGTGATCTTGCGCCCTTTCCTATCACGGGGAAGGATGCGAACATCCATGTCAACATCGTCTACTCCACTGCTGCGAGGGACTTCATTTGTACTGTTATGGCGAGGTAGACGAGAGTTGGCGTTGCTGCGTTCTTTACGATCACGTTCCGCGAGCTCGCTCTTAAGATATGTGATGAGGTCTGTGGTGCGAAGCTCTATATCCTCTTTTCTAAAGAGATTTCTAACCTTGAGATTTCTTTCGCCAGGACCAACAAGGCCTTGCTTGATGATAATGATGTATGAGATTCCATCGCCACGATGCATATTGACAAGTTTTTCGTGCGAGGTTGCATCACCTGCTAATTCGGCATTGATACCATTCGACCACAGCTCCTGGAGCAGAGCTGTTCCTTGGGTCCTGAGTGTAGTGCTGTCAAAGGATGCAACCAGAACATCGCATCTTCGAGTAGCCCAGGTACCAATATTCTCATCCTCGCCTTTCTTACTCTGAGATTTTGAAAATGAGCGCTGGTATCGAGACATAGATATAGTAAGCTTCTCCCATCCAAGGTTGAATCCCACCGCATGAGTTTCCTCTCCAAGTCCTCTCATTTTCGGACGAAGGCTCTGAATCAGGCTATCATACCTCCCACCTGCTGCGAAGACATCTCGTTTCTTCGAGTCCACAATGCATTGGAATACAATCCCACCACGGTAAAATTTGTCGTTCCAAGTTCCAAGAGGGTTGACATAGATTTTGCGGCTGATGCCGAAGCGTTTCATATAATGAATAACAGAGTTTATGTGCGTAAACACAGCCTTTGCTTTATTCCCTAAGTGAGACTCTTCGAATAGCACTTGCAACCGTTGAAACGCCTTTTCCGACTCGTCTCTCCAGTCGAATCTTGCAAGATCATCAAGACTTGTGGGTAAAATCCCTAGCTTTGATGTAATGAGTTCACTTCGAATGCGTGGCCATTGCCATTGTCCCGTATTGAGTTTACTCAATATCTCCTTAGCAACAGGTCTGTGAACAGGGTTGATTCGGCAAAAATCCATTACCAAGTCGAGAAGGTCTGCGTGATTGATATGATAGCACATTTGTGCCGATTTTAGGCTCGGAAACGCATCAATGATCTCGTCAATCACCTTCAACACCTCTGCCTCCTTAAGAGCCAAATCCAAAGAGTCATACGAGACAATATCAAAGTCTAGCTCTCCATGGCTCTTCGGCTGTCCGCCTGCAATATTTTCTCTATATACTGTCCCAAAAGTGAATGTCTTTGGGCTTGGCGCTTCCTGCCTTGCGAGTGACCGTGCATGCGGCAGTGTAAAATCATAAGGTAACTGCACCAATGCCCCACTAGAATCAAGGAGTTGGACAACTTCGTGATTGTAGAACTTACTCCTCGGAAGAAGCAATGGTCGAGTAGTCTCAACAGCGCCATGATGTCGAAAAATCGTTCGCAAGCGCTCTTTGACCATACTCTGAAGCAATAAGTCTTGAGCAGTGAGATTGCTCTTTCCTGGGTCGTATGTATGGTCTTTATACTCCTTTGTGCTTTGTGAAAAAAGTGCAGACATGACTTGTTGGTGATAAGGTGTACCAGGATCCGAAAGACTTTGTAACGCCAATCGGATGGTCTCGTCTTCAACCTTCAGTGGCAACTTCCCTGAATTGAGAAGTTCTGTACTGGATGGACGCTCAGCAGGATCATGATTCAATAGCGATTTTATGATCAACCCTTGTACTGATCTCTTCTCCGTCCAGAATTCTGCTGGAAACTCGATTTCTTTTTCACGTAACTTGCGGACCACAGCATCGCGCTCCATGCCAGTCCTGAGAGGATAGCACATCTCGAAAAATATAACGCCTAGGGAATACATATCTACCTTTTCGTTATACTTCCCCGCTTTCTCCCTCAATTCTGGCGCAGTGTACAATGCTGTTCCGACATTCGTCGTCAAGTCTTCCGAATCCATATTGTCCGGTGATCCATTACCAGTACCATGTTTACTTGTGACCTGCCCAGTTGTAGCAAGCCCAAAGTCACCAATTTGGGGGTCTCCTGCAAGATCAATGAATATATTTTCCGGTTTTAGGTCCCGGTGGATTATCCCAAGCCCATGGATATGAGCCAGTCCTTCTAGGACTTGGCGGAGTAACCTCCACGCCTCATCAACCTCTAGACCATGACGGATACGATCACGTAGAGTCTAGGAGAGAAATTAGATAAACCGCTAGGTGTATGAAAGAGCTTTATGAACATACCTGGCGTTCAGCGAGAGACATCTGAATATACAACGTAATATTGCACCTTCTGCTCTTATCACTACTCATCCTCCTCTGGACAACCCGATGTTTAGGGCTCCTAGTTCCGGATCCACTACTGCTTTTCGCATCCCCTCCCGGCGGGGTCCCTTCTTCCGAGCTCTCGGATTCTTCCGTTTCATCACTGTCATCATACCCAAACTGAACCTTTGGGTATCCGCCGCTAGAAATGAAATCTAACCCACCAGTACTACTCGCAATAAACTCTACCCCACCATCGCTAGCATGACTACTCTTTCCTTGCCTTTCGGCCGCATCAGAACTCTCCCCGAAGCTGATAGCTTGGCTATTGCTATCATCATCGTCATCCTCACTGTCATCCTCACTATCGTCTTCACTATCGTCTTCACTGTCGTCCTCCTCTTCTTCCTCTGTGCCCTTCATCCCACGTCCACTTTTCCCTGTGCCTTGATACTCCTCCTCGAGCCATGCCGTAAAGTAGCGAACAACATATTTATGATTCAACCGACTTAACAACATCACCTCGTGTAGGATATGAGTCAACATCGTCCCACTTTTTTGTGTGATTTTTTTGATCGCATAGACCCCTCCATCTAGCCTATTCCTAGCCTTCACGACCTTTCCAAATCCTCCCTTTCCAAGACTTCCGAGTTCGGTGAAATCGTTCTCGTATCTACTTGATCCGCCCACTGGACCGCTAATAGAATCACGGCGGTGTTTACTGGTATTCTTGGAACCGGAGCCAGAATTTGACCATGAGATGCGTGCACGCGAAGTCATAGGCGAAGGTGGGGCCTCTGGAGGGTATATAGGGTCATCATTACGGAGAAACTCGGATGGTAAGAGCTCAAATGCGGTAGGACGCTTCTTGGGGTCGTGCTTGAAAATACGTTCGAGAAAATCTGAGAGTGAATCCGACACTTCGACAGACTCTAATAAGGCCCCAGGAGAATTGTACTTTTGGACAATGTTCAAGCCAAAAATCATTTGTAGGAATACGACACCAAGATTCCATATATCGGTCTTACGGTTTGGGCGAGAGTTCTTTTCGTGTGATAGTTCCGGGGGAAACCAGAATGCTGATTTGGGGGAGGATAGAGAGGATGCAGTAGGGGATACATCGTCAATACGGTCGATTATGTGAAGAAGCGACGCAGTATAACCTATATCTGTGAATTTAGGGATAGTTGAATTTCCAATGCTTTGACGGAAGAGTAGAATATTTCCGGCATGTACTGCTCTATGGACTGCATTCCTATTGTGAATATAATCGAGCGCTTCTAGGAGAGAAATTGTCCAGGATCGGGCTGTAGCAACATTGACAGTATCCACGGTTTCCAGCAGGTCGTGAAGGCTTCCTCTATTTGAATATTCCATCAAGACAGAAATCCTCCATCCTGCTTCTGGTTCTGTGGTGCGGGAGACTTTACTCTCGTATAGTTCGACTACACTACTGTGTTTTAGGGACTTTAGGGCTTCCAGCTCAACCTCTAGTTTTGTGATCTCTTTCTTGCCATCTACACCTGTTATATAGCGGTCGGGTATATCTACCTCTTTGAGAACAAGTGGAAGATCGTTTACTTCGCTTGATTGGAGAACAGGCCGGACTGTGTATACGGACATGGTGGGCCCTGTAGCTATCTTCACCATTCCGCAGACTTTGCGGAAAATATATGAAGTACCCGAAACTCCCCGCTTGATCTCGACCTTACGGTCGAACAGAATATAGTCCTCGGTTGTATCGGCATCTTCGTACTCGAGATCTAATGGCTTATGTTTCTCATGAGACTCTCGAGCTTGTTCCCTCTGTCGTCTGAGCTCCTCGGCGATCTGTCTTTCGAGTTGGCGTTGCTTTTCTAATTCTTCCTTTTCTTTCAATTTTCGTTTCCTTTCCTCTTCTTGCTGTGCCTGTAGCTGCGCTGCTTTTGCTTTTTGTGTCCGCTCTTCATCTAGGGAAGGTTTCTCTTGAGATGCTATTCTTGATCTAACGATATCCTCAAGTGCATCCTCAATTGCTACGGCAATAGCATGTATCATTTCTTCACCGAGTAATGTTTTGGGGGTCTCCTTGATGATTGACTCGAGCGCCCCGAGCTGGTATGGGCGGATGGATTTATACTCAGTCAGGCGTAAATTGGGGACTAATGTATATCGTAAGCATGCAAGGCCCCACTATAGTTAATTCCACAGCAATATCACTCACCAGTCTTGGGATACGTAGCGGTCAAGGTAGCAGAGAGCACACAGGAGACTTCTTTATCTGATGGAGCTTTTATGCGGATTTTAAAGGAGATATTCGATATCTATATCGAGTACAGAAACGTCGTATTAGATTGATATGTTTATTTAAAGCAAAATTCTGGCTGGCTCACATTCCAGGCACTCGCCGTCTCTACGTGCTCATAGTCATCCCCAAAGATTGCCTTAAGCGCCTCCACCTCATCCCGTTGGATCTTATCATAGTCAAGGCCAGTAGCGGCAGCGGGGGTAGCAGTAGGTGCCATTGGTTGAAGCTGCGGTTTAGGGATATTCACAGAGCTCCGTTTTGCAGTATTGTTTTTCAGCGGTGTCGCTGCTGCGGACGGAGTACGGTTGTGACCACCGTTGTTTTGAGACGCCTTCTTAGTGGCGGTAGTGGGGTTAGTTTTGTTTGTTTGTGGAGTTCGTGGTAATTTGTTTTGAGCCGGCATGCTGTGATATAGTTCTGGATAAATCCCGGAGGGGGAGTTAGTGTTCACACACAGTTATTGTTATACTTTTCTCTTTGCTTCTTCTAGCTTTCTTCCTCTCTCCTTGATTGGTGGGTCGGTTATGTTCTTTTTATTCGATCGATCGAAGTACGTATCATTCAAGAGAGGCGAAGTGAGATAGATAGGTAGGAGGATTTTTCTTCTTCCTCTTCTGAGATATCACAATAGCTTCTAAGCCGTGGGCTCTAGAAGCAGCGAGAAGCCATGGACGTTATTGAAAAGGGGCGGGTATTGATTTTTGTGTTGTATCTGGGATTGATGTTTATTGCAAGAGGGGTGAGAGAGATTTATATGCACATGCGATACGAAACGCTGGCTCGCCGGGGTAGTGAGTTGTTGATCCTATGATAGGGAAAGGTTAGTTTCTTGCCAAGACTCAGGCAAACAACTGCTCGACTCTACTCCATGTAGGAAACGGGGAGGGGTTATCATCATGTAGCTACTCTCTGACACCTTAAACCGTTGGGTGACCCGTCACTTTGGATGCCTCCAACCTCAGTTTCGGGTGACTATCAGCTGACCCTGCATGATCGTATGTAATCTCATCGCGTTGTTATAGCAACGCGCGTTCGCGTCTGGATGAGCTTAATACATGTTGTAATATGCCGGGGCTCTTTTTTTCTTTGTTCCTTCTTTTCTGCTTCTCCCATAAACACCAACACGCATACACAGGCACGGCAGTGCGTTCCTGTGACACTAGCACCCCTAGTTTTGCCCGACCCGCTGCCACCCCCACCACATACCTGCCCAAATTCCCGGAGACTCCATCCTAGTAATAGCTGGTAGTCATTCAAACAATTCCATTACATTCGCAAAGGTAGTGGAATTCCACAACATCCAGCAATTTTCCCCTGTCTGGCTACATCTAGGACCCATTCGCAATTACACTACTATGCTCAGTTGGCTCAAAGGCGGTCCAGCTGCCTCTGCTTCACACGACGCGAACATGTTCGGTTCTACCAACCACCAAGACCTCCGAAACAGAAACTTGGCTACCCCGCAGGACGAGGATGCCTATACAGACATGTCTTCAGAAGACGATGAAGGTCGTAACCATTTGTTCTTTGTCATGACTTTCGGGAGGCGAAGAGTAAATCCTGACAGGCCGCGCAGATGTTACTATCGATGACATACAACCGCAGCAAACCCCAGCGCCCATGTTTGCCTTGAAGGCACTCCGAACGGTAGTATGGGGTACACCAGCCCCACCAAAGCCTCGAGAGCGTCCCGCCCGAAGGAAAAAGGCATCGCCAAGGTCTAAAAGATATGCAATTGCAGCAAAGGAGGAACGTGGGAAAAAAAAGGAACCATCGCCTGCTGAGCAAAAGGATATCTTTGCATCAACTAGGCCTTTGAGGAATTCTAAGAGCCTGGATCCAATTCCATTCAGAATCTCCCCGAAACTCAATCTCTTCGATCCATCGTCGTCGTCATCAAACACACACTTTCCGCCAATATTTGATGTGCCCACTCCTGCTCAGCCTTCCTCGCCCTCGAAGGGCATTTTGATGACCCCCGGTACTGCATTGGCAAGGAAGAAAGCCGTGTCTTTTCATCCTTCAATTGGTGAAACCACACCTCCACCGAAGAATTATATCCAGTCTGGACTTCCGGAGGAATTCCCGGGGAAGTTTCCAAGCCCCTGGATTAAAAAAAACACTCCACAGCACAGACGATCTATGTCGATTCCTGGGCCTGGAAGCCCGACTCGCACTCTTACATTTGAAGAGGGGCCATTGAATTTGGATAAGGGAAAATCAAAAGGCAAGAAGCCGGAGAGATCCACTGCCTCAAATCCAACTGGCTATTACGAGGTCGGGGAGGATAGTCGTATCGCAGACTACCTAGAAGACTCAGATGATGAGAGAGCCGCCCAGCAATTACAAATGGAAACATCGATGCACGAGGTTAATAAAAATATCAACACTGATATGGGTGGTCCTCGGTCCAGTTCTGCGCAATTTTGGAAAGAGCGTACACAGAAAGTCGAGGCTGCTGCCTTAGAGAAGGTCGACAAACTTAAGGCCCGTTGCAAGATCGCCACCGGGTACGCCAAGAAGAAGGATGAACTTTGCGTCGATCTCGCTGAAAAAATGCGAGAGGTCATGGAGAAGAACAAAAGATTGAAGGCGGAGCTTAAACGAATTAGTGCACAATCTGGTAGCACTGCAGGTAATTATGCCTCCAGCGGAACCACTTCTTCTAGGGCTACCGGTCATAGTCATGCGCTTGAGGAGGCCATGAATACTATAGAAGAGAAAGACGCACAAATTGCCTCCGACATGGCCGAGAAGGCGCACATGGAGAACGTTATCCAAAAATATAAGGAGAGGTTGGAGGCCTTTGAGGAGATGCTAGATAACAGGGAGAATAAGATTACGGAACTGTCTATGAGCATGTACACTGGTCACGAGGATGAAGATTTAGGTCAGGTCGTAATAGACTTGAAAAAGAAGCTTCGGGCTGCGAAGCAGGAGGTCAAAGAGCTAGGCATAGTAAAGCAAGAAGCACGTAACCTGAGGGGCAGGGTCGATAGCCTAGAACGTGGTTTCATGAATGCTACAGAGGAGAAAAAGGACATGGAACAAGAATTAGAACGGCTTAGGGTAGAGGCAGGTGAGATGGGTGCAATCAAACGCTCACAATCTGAAAATCGCCTAAGGCAGCAAATTGAGATTCTGGAAAAAGCCAAGAGGGACTTGAGGGCGGAGATGAGGGAAAAGACTCTTGCTGATGCCAAAGACAGGAGGGAGTCTGAGAGACAACTAAAGGCAGAGTTGGCAGAATTGAGAGCAAAGGTTGGGAGCGGGTGGAGTGTGGAGAAGCTAGAATTTGAGGCGAATGACTTGAAGGAATACGCGACAAGGTTAGAGAGAGAGTTAGAAACCATAAAGAAGGAGAACAGCGAGTTGAAGAAAAGGCTCTTCAGTGATACCCCTGCCAAGGATGATGGTGCGAGAGAATGGCAAATTAAACAGAGGTCAACACTGCAAGAGCTAAGAAGAGCAAAGGAAGAAGCTTCAACACTCAGGACTCAGAAAGCGCAGGTGGAAGAACGGTTGAAGGATGCGAAAATAGAGATAGAGACCCTCGAAGAAGCTAGGGTGGAAACTAGGCCCGGCCTATCCTTGAAGTCAACCTCAACCCCGGCAGAGACCAAGGGAATTGAAAACACAAGCGATAACAGTGCAGTTGATGGTAGTTTCGATCGCTGGGCAAAAGCGGGCGCGGATTCCATCGCAGATGTTTCCAGTTTTACTCCCAGAGCTAAGAGCCATCTTACGGAAGCCTCAACATTTAATTTCAACTCGCCTCCAATTCCGGCTCTCGCAAACCGCCAGAAAAGATCGTACTCTGACGAAATTTCTCAGAAAGAAAACACTGACATCATGGCAACACCACCAGATCTCTCTAGCTTTATGCAAACTCCCAAAGCATCCGAGAACACTGTAGACGAGTTCTACTCGCACCGCCGCCAGAAAGAGAGTCCTAGGCCTAAGATTGTTCACATGCCGATGTCTCCTCCAGCTCCTGCACCCACGCGAAAGGTTTCTGGTGTTGGAAAAGTTGTCTCGAGAAGGGGTGCGAGTGGTGGTGCTTCTTCCAGACTGAGCATGGATCCTGCACGAAAAGCGGCAGCGGAGCAAAGACTTGCAGATAGAAAGAGGGCCAAGTTGACTTCAAAGAACACTTGATCCAACGATTTTTTTCTTTTTTTTAATAGGCTATTAGACTAAATACCCCGCATCTTGTTTCATAAAAGCCGTTCTTCATTTTGGGTTTCCAAGCTCTTATATCCATATTTGATCTCATCCCCATCTTTGCTTTTTCTTTCTTCCTTGCTTTGTGCGCCTCTTCTGAATTGTCCGGGTATCTTGTGCTTAACTTTCCTTGGTAACAGGAGAAATATGGTGTTTTTCCCTTTTTCCTTCCTAATTTCGTCACGTTTTTCAATAATGTTGTGAGGATGCTGTAATTATAGTGAAGAGTGAACGAATAGTTACTTGTTTATTCTAAAAATGAAGTTCTACTCTTGATTGCATGTATGTACGGAAATCTATTGCCCACCCTTCTCCTATATATACCCTCTCATCGACCGAACTCGCGAGGAGTGTGTTGCGGTAGTAAGTATTTGGGGGCATGGGTGGAAGAGGTACAAAGTGCTAGTGATGTGATGGCCACCTAATACCCCAACACATTAGACAAGGTGGAAGACGGAGAGGTCCAAGACCACATATCCATTGAAAAAATCTTGATAGTAGCGCACCACTCTACGAAAAAAGACTTGGTACCTACGAAAAGTCAGCCAATTTTGCTAGAGGGCATTAGGAATTATGTGTAAAACGTCCACCACCCTTATATTAAACCACGAACACATCTAAAAACAATTGTTCATGACATTACACCATGCATACAGACAAACCGTGTTCTTAGCAAATTTTATGCTCTACCAATCAACCCTTCAATTGCCTCAGTGCTTGAAATGTCGCAAGGGACCTACGAGACAGGCCCCCAAAGTAAACACGATTATGACCCGATGATTTTTGGTTGAGGTAAAAAGACAAAGTGGGCTTGCCTTGAATACGCGAGTATGCTCAACTTCTACCCATAAATTCAAATGTGTGTGTTTGCATATAATTAATGAATTATCAATCTGCATGCAATTAATGAATTAAACAAAAAAAAAAAAAAAATGAATTATCAATCAATCAATAATACCTACGTGGAGTGCATCTGTTTCCTTAGTCATCACCCGAGTGAGAACTCATGATTCGAATACTTGTCCCTTAGAGCCACTTGGCTCCGAGCCAACCACCCACACTGGAACTGTTTCGAGAGTTGCGCATATATATCAGAGAAGCCTACAATCTCATCATCTACGTCAACTCCCCCGCATTATTCAGACTAATTGTTTACTTCATGAACTATCACTCGATAGATATTAACTTTTCGGCGACACAGCACCTGCAGCATCCCTGCTCCGTCGCCGCCGCCGCCACATTTTGAAATTTAAATTAATCCTATACCCATACTAGTATACTACCGTGGGAAGCTTATCCCACCTAGTAGGTATATGTACGCCCCGAATTAAATACACCTCCAGATTACACCCTCGTAAAGTTGTGGTAGCCCGCATCGCGCTAGCCTTATTTCGTAGCCTTGCTGCTTGCGCATAAACAAAGTCATGAAACGTCACAACCAGGCAAACACGACATGTTTAACCACTACTCAAGTTTGACAAATCCAAGGTCAACGAAATAGGCTCACAGGACTTGAGACCTAATTTATACAATCTTTGGTACCACTTGCTTTGAGTGAATATTGTCAAATCCCAAGTTTACGCCCAGTGCTTGCGTTCCCCTACTTGTAGTGATTTTTAAGTTATTTTATTGAAGTCACGCATGCACACCACAGCCCAACGCATCTTCCTAAAAGTGCAAACTATTTGCTTGTCACACAAAAATTCTCTTATTACTACTAGTTATAACGTTGTTCTGAACTTTAAACTAACAAGACCTCTTATTCTCACAATCTCACAATTTTATATAAAAACCATAAATAAATGAAGACTTGATAACCAGAAGTGTTTAATCAAAGCCGGCCCCAAATGAAATGAAAGAAACAAGTGTGATTGGGAGATTGAAGTCAACCATACATTGTATAATGTATGTAAATCCCCCTGAATAAAGAAAGCCCTAGATTAGAAGAAAGCTGAATATGCAAAGTTGTAGTGGGGGAAAGAAGTATTACGACCAGTGTAAAAAAAGAAGACATAAGAAACTTGAAAATCCGTCATCCACATAAACATTCCTCTCCCGTAAAGATCCCTATGCAATTGCCTTCAAGAAATTTCGCAGAAAAAGATTGCCGAGCTTAAATACTCACAAATCAAGCGAAAGAAAAGAAAGAAAGAAAAAACGCCACCGGTAAGAGAAAAATATAAAAGCAGCAAAAATGACAATACCACCCTGTTATTTCTCAATCAACGAAACAACCTCACTTGTTTCATTTTTTGATGTGCTTGTTAGCACCCGCCTGCATCCTTCTCAATGCCTCCCTGTGAAGCTCGAGCATATCTTTCTGCCTCATCCTCTCATCAGTCGTATCATCAATGATGGTCTCCTTCTTTCTCTCCGCCGCCACTGCCAACACATGTTGTTGACGTTCACTCGGGATCTCGCCCCTTCCTCCTGAGGCCACGCGTATGGTGTTATTAGGGATGCTCGAATCGGTCTTAAGATTGTCCCTCCAGGTCTGGAACATTGTTTCACGCTTATCTGCTGGCTTCTGCACAGGCGAGAAAGCTCGACGCCCTTGACTGGGCGCATTATGAGAGCCCGAATTGATGAGCTCGTTGCGACGGTCTCTAAGAGACATGTCATCATTGAGAACGGCAGCCCGGTACTGGTGACTTGGAGAATTTGCATTGTCGGCAGTGGGAAGCATTGCCGGATGAGGCGTGGATGTACGCTGGTTCATGAAAGGATGGTTTATGAGACCTGGTGTTTTCACCCTGAAGCCATCTTGGTTCTCTGATGTATAGGGAGAACTATACTCCGGGTATTCCGGAAGAGGAGTAAAGTTTTGGCGACTACGGACCATACTCTCTCGTTTCCCTATAAGGGTATGCTGCGGTAGCGGCGAAGGTGTTTGTCGACCTGGCGGTGAGATGCAGCGTTCGACGGGCGAGATGCACCGCTCAGCAGGAGAAAGTGTGTATGACCTTTCGTCCTGTGGCAACTCCGACGTGGAGGATAAACGTTGAGTACGAACGATTGGAGGAGTTGCTGTCGAAGGAAAGCTATTTGACGACGCCAAAGTCGGAACAAATTGCTCTGCCAACGACATCCTTGACGGAGCTCTCGAGGTTGGCAGAGATGGAATATCAGATGTCTCCTGGAGCTCTCTCATATGAACTGGGGCCGAAACCTCAATCTTGATATCATTGGTATCATCCTGAACTGGCTCTGCTAACTCATCCAAATCTGGCTTTTCGGCGTCGCCCAAATGCTTTGCCCATTCATTTGTACGGTAGTTTTTTACAACCCTAGAACACTTTGCAGGTAGTTGGGGAACACCAACTGTCGATGATTCCGGTTCATCTTCTTTAGGAGACGACGCAGGTGCCAAGTTGACCGAAATTTTTTGAACCTTCAAAGATGTATCCGCGACTGATGGAGGCGATGTAACAGTAGGTGTGGTCGGATGAGTCGAGTTCGCTTTCGAGTGATCACCTGTGAATATACCCTTATCCCACGAACTTACGATCGAGTCTTTGCCACTCTCAAAGGTCTTCAGTCCAAGAAGCGGGAGATACTGTGGGTCTTCCCTCTTGGGGATCGTATCCGGAGTTGTCGCTGGGGTTATCTCCAGACTATTCAGATTAGTCACGAAATTGGCTGATGTGATGGTAGGACTTGTATCATCATCAACTGACAATGAAAATGCTACATCTTCTGCCTCGTTGAGACTAGGTAGGTCTACTCGGGAAGCCATTGCATCGTCCTCTTCGTCTAAAGTTGCAGCCAGACTAGAAGCTCTATCCTCCTCTTCTTCTTGCTCTCGCTTGAGAAACCTGGGTGTGGTGATGATGTCTACAAGTATTTGATCTTCCTGCATATCGCTCCTATTAGACTCTCCTGCCCATGTAGCAAGTGAAGAGACATCGTCTCCATCCTTTTCATCGTCTTCCATAGGTATCGGGATTGGTAGGGGTATGACTTCGGGTGTTGGTGTGATAACTCTCCTGTCGGTGGGAGTTTCCGGTGCTAGAGACGCGGGCTGGGATGAGACTCTCTGAGATTGACTCGACCTACGCATTTTGATTTCCTCGGAATAGCGTGCAACTTCGTTGGTAGACTCGTCTGTGCCTACCGGTATGGGCATGATCCTATCTTGCTCTTCTTGTCCGGCTTGTTGGCCTGGAACCTCAGCCGACTGGTTTCCATTCTCCATTGCCATATGTTCCTCTCGTTCTCTTCTCATTTCCTCAGTCTCTACGAACTCCTCTGTTTCTCCGTTCTTGGCTTCCCCGCTCTTCTTTCTGAGATCATCGTCTCCAATTCCAGAATCTGTGCGGCTCATCTTACCGGTGTTCGGCCTCTCGTTCACAGTGACTTCCTCTGATGATTTTCCGCCATAAACCATTTCCCATTGTGCACGTTCCTCTCTATTACCCTCTTCCACTCTTCGGCCAACATCCTCGTCAAGTGCTTCAAGGTCGGCTACTTGTTGACGTTTCTCAGCGTCTTTAGCTTCACGGCGCTCTTTGAGGATTTTCCAGAGTTTAACCTGGGACATAATTCCAAATGCGGTTATGAGAATTATTACGGCAATCTCAACACGGATACCACGTGTGTGGGGGTACGTGTTAGTCTCAAGAGGGAATATATTATCATTGAGATCTATCCACGCAAGTGTTAGCCAAACAAATAACACATTACCAACCTCCGCGTTATTGTTGGGAATAAGCATTACCCCAGATATATATCCAAAACTCTTTCAACCCAGCCGTAGAAAAGCAATCAATCCCCAGCACGATTGCCGTAGCCCCGAGAACGAGAGCGAAAATATCAACGCATATGGCCTAGTAACCCGATGAAACGCTAGCGAGAATGTCAGGAAACAAAACACCGCAACAATCACCAGCTTTCCATAAATCGAGTCTACAAGCCCACCCGGCTTGAGCACAAGAACTATATGCATGCAGCAACTACCCGTTAGCTTGTCTCATGCGGTGACCTCTTGGGCCTATCGGCGAGATATGACTGGACATACACCACATGGAAACACAGAAACCACCAAGAAGACAACCCAGTGCCTCTGTAACCTCTGGAAACACAACAGCGAGGCCGCCCGTTAGGATCCCTGTTATAATAACTGCAGTGACGTATGCGCCCTGAATTGCATCTATGACTGGTGGGTTCATAACGTAGACGATTAAGACCGTGACGCCGAGTCCAGATAGGAAAAACGTCGATAAGAATATTTGTAGACTATGTTTTTCCTCTTTGTTAGCGCAACCATATATTCTCTTTCTTTCTCTTTTGGAAAAACATACAATTTTATCTTTATGCCAATTAGGCAATAGGGAACTCCAGTGAGCAGTAGGGCAACGCCTGCAACGGCCATTCCTGGGGTGACTTTAGGCTTGATGGGAAGCCCACCCTTGTAGACCTCATCTTCAGGATTTACTACTATACAATATGCCGTCAGCTCTCTAAACTCCTCATAAATACAACAAAACAAATGTCCAAGCACGCACTATTTGGAGAACCAAAATTACTCGCAACAGTCGTCCCTTCAGGTGTATTTGAAACTGTCGCAGAAGCTGTCTGCTTCACACTGCTAGATGTTGAAGAAATCTCATTCTCGCCCGTACTCGAGGACGCGACAGAGGAAGATGTTGGGGAAGGTCCATTATTCTCGGAAGAAGTGCTAGCAGAAACACTATTCTGTTCCTGTCGACGCACGACTCCTACTCCCCTCGAGGACACGAGCCCATTGAGTTCCAGGAGTGATAGCGCAACAATTGCGAACAGGACAAACAGACGGCCAAAACGCATGGCCGCGGCGGATATATAACAACGCTACAGGGAAAGGGACAAATATTATATTATAAAGGGAGTGGAGGGGGCAGGGAGATCAAGTTGATCTCTAGATAGGTAACTTTGATGTCGAGAGACGACTAAAACATGTGTGGAAGTGGCCGTACGCTCGCTCCGCGGTGAGATGGGATTGTAAAAGAAAAGAAAAAGGAAGAAGAGGGTGGGCGAGTGAATGAGTGTAATGTGTAGTAAACAGAACAGTCGAAAAAGACAACAAATGAATGGATTACGGTGAATTAGTGGTTGGTTGAGCGAGTTGAGTGACGGGAACGGATCGAGATGGGGCAGAAAAGAGCGTGCGAGGTACTGTGCTTCAATGCAGTGACGTGACAATAGTAGGAACGAACGAGAGGAATTACCTAGAACACTACCCGGTCCACAGTTGATCATGCAGGATGAACAACAGTCTGCGGAGGAAGAGAGAAAAGGGAAAGAGAAAAAAGAAGCAATGGTGGAAGGAACAGGCACTCCAGGACCCTACATACAGAGACAGAGCTAGATCACCCTCTCCTTCAACCCAATTGTAACGGCAACACAGGTGCATAAAAGGGTTATTTGGATTTGGTTACAGAATTACTTACATGATTGTGGGTGGACAAAACAATTTTTAGAAGGCCTATCAGATCATTGTTTTCATCTGCTTTTAGAGTACATGTAGTTAAGGTAACTCTACCCAACAGTATTGATCAATGGGTCCCCCGCCTCGTATGGGTGGAACCCAATCGTGAAGCGTAATACTTGCTGAAACCAGTCTGCAGTACAGTATTAGCACTCCACAATAGAGCAGAGCACGCTAGTATTCTCACCCTTCCCTTCATTCCTTCCTTCCCCCGGTTGAAGCGACACGATATGCAGCATCGAGCTCTTCACCATCCTCCCCTCCTCCTCCTCGCTGTCCGAACCAACAGACGTCGCAAGTCAAGATATCCTTCCGCTACAACCCACCCACCCTCCCCTCTGATTTCTGCACAGACATCATCATCATCAATCAACCAAGTTTCAGGAACAGGGGCATCCACTAACGAACGCCAGCCAATGCAACCCCCGCCATTTTCTCCACCCCCGGGGGGGCGAAAGGGGAAATTACTATGATTTCCAGCGCCGCCAGCCTAGGATTTGTATTCAAGAAGCCTTTCGCTCGTTCGCTTGATCCCGCCGCAATGTTACACAGCTCGAGATCGCTGGGCCCTAATCCGGGCTGCAGTAGTGTAGGAGTGGGTATAGCTTGCGGTAGAAATATGGGAGGAGTCCTATTGGCTTGCCCAGCCACAGAAACCCTGTTTTTAGACCCCTGTTTCTACCTCTCGCTGTACATGTAAGTAAATTGAATGCCAAGGCTTTACTAATCTCAGGCACCAGAATCATTTAGTAAGTAACTGTGCCTGTCACTCAGGAACCCACGCAATTGGGTGATGGACTCGACTCGCTGGAACAATCACTGCAGCCAACAATTAATAGCTCCAGGCACATACATACATACTCGTGTTTTCACAAACGCTATGAATAGACGAGTACATAAATACCCGTAGCTTCATAGCGTTTCCGAACACGACCAATATTGCATGGCATACAAAAAGGTGGATTTGGCGCTTTTTTGTATGGTATGCAATAGCAGTCGTGTTCGGAAACGTCATGAATCTACGAGTACATACTCGCGTGTAGGGGAAAGAACCAGAAAATGCAAATCCGTATTTTGTATGGCAGATCAGCGCCACTCCATACAAATAATCCCTGTTTCGTCACTTGGTTCTTTATGCTGTACGCGAGTACTCTAGGTACAGTGCCTGATTGTCAGCTACGGTAGAATACTACATATAGCTACGTAAGTATGATCATTCACCTAGTACTCTCCACTGCTTCCCACTCGTTAGATTGACCAAAAGCCGCTCGGCAAGGGTGATGCCTGCCTCCACCTCTTCTAGCCTGCCTGGGAGTGAGTTGTTCATCTTCTCTTCCTACTTCCAGGAATTTTACTTTATTTTACTTTTTTAATCTACGTGGGAATCTACATACAGCGGCACGAAACCTAAATTCCTCGCTGGGGGTAGCTGAGGTATAAGGGGAGAGAGAAAACAGCTAGAGAGGAAAAAAAGAAACGAAACAACTCATGATTGACCTGCTGGTTGTCCACCCCCTTCTGTGCAACTGCCGTGCTGCTCCGTTCAGGCGCAGGCATGCGATGTCAAAAGACCAAAGGGGATCAATCTGCTTCCCGTTTTTTTTTGCCCTTTGAGGTCGAGGCTGCTGAAGAGTCGAAAGAAGTGCGATCTCGCACCCCAAAAGGAAAAAAGCTCTCCTGGCGCCACGGGTTCGGAGCATTGATCAAAAGAAATAAAAATTAAAGACCACTACATGTTACTTACCCATAGGCCTACCGGTGACCTATTTACCATGACATCTTACATTACTCTATTCTTCTATATGTGCTCTACTCTACTTGGTCTGAAGTAGAGTGGCTACTACAGTCGTATGACTGTAGGTGTCTGTCCCTGGAATGAAGAGCCGAAAATAGCGCGTCACGCCTTTGCGTAATGATTGTCTCTCGATAATTTCCTTTGGCGAGTGTTTATTACAAGCGAATCGCCATGTGGCTGTCCAGATTGGAGGGAACCGGGGATAACCCCCCGTCTGAAGATTAGGCTATCGCGAAAACCCTCCGGAAGGCCCGGGGACCAACTTGTTTGAACGACATCGACAAATTGACAAAAAAAAACGCGTCTAACTAGACTGTGTGAGGTTGGCTATCGATGTAGGTTACACACGAGGACAGTCGTGGTCGTGATACAGTAGACTCGTGTACCTAGGTACATAATGTATCTGCTCTACTGTTTCAGCGCCCTACCCGGCGCCGGTGTATGTACACCTGCGCTGCTACTCTCTTTCTTCGGTACCTGTGTTATTTTCTTCTGGACTGCCCTTCAGCGCGAGGGGGAGACGGGTCTTTGGTACATACTCTATCTAGCTCAGTAGCTCTGTCTAAGCCAGCCGGCCAGCCTACCTGCTAGCCTGCCTGCACGCACAGATTGAGTTGAAGTGCAGATACTCTATGTAGGTACGTACTTTACTCTACGAGAGCAGAGCACCCGGTACACCCCCTCTAAGTAGACGGCGTCCTACCTATGGAGCACATGTCCTTGCTGTTGACGTGACCCGGCCGAGCCGAGTGCGCGTCCGTCCGGCCAACAGAAATCGAGTGACACTGCATGAAGATGAGTTATGTATCATCTCCGGCGCGGCGCGCACCACTACTCTATGTACCCTCACAGCAACAACTGATCTGTCTTGATATACGAGCGCTGAAAAGCACATAAGGTACCCCATTTATGCAGGCGTAAGTACCCTACATAACTGCTCCAACAGCATGTCCTATCACCGCACCTGTTCTCACGTCCTGCTATGGGCTGAAAATGTGTCTCAGGAGGATCCCCATGGTGCCGCGAAGCTTCTTCAATGGGGGAGGAGCTATCCCTTGCATAAAGAAAGAAGAAAGCCTTGCCGGCGCGCGCGCTCCATCGTATACTCTACCGCAGTGCTCTATGTTTTTTTTTTTAACCTCTAGCTCTCCCTTTACTTTGCTTTGGTTTGCCCAGGCCTACGCTGCCCTGCGTCGAATGGCTCGGGAGAGGGGAATAATCGAAAACTCTAACCAGAGTAATAGTGTCTCAGCGAAATGGCTACCGATTGGTACAGTGCAGCGGGTTGAGTGGTTGGTTTGGATACACCTGCTTGAAGCGGGTCGGTTTCTCTGTCAGTCGGTCGGTCGGCGCGGATGGTGAAACGTTGATGCGGTGGATGTATAAACATGTTTCTTGCAGCTGTCGCTCGCTCGTTCGCTCGTTTGCTCGTCCGTTCAGCCAGTGCAGCGAGCGCAGCCATGGATAGGCCCTTTGAGATTCTGGTTCTGGATCATTGGATGCGTTCGGTTGGGGTGCAAGTGTGGGTTGGATGGCTGTTGTGCCCGTCGCATGAAATGTTTATTGTTAGATTGTACCTACTTCCTAAATGACTTACAGCTGTAACAGTTACGTTGCTGCAGGTGCTGGTTTGATGCTGGTTTGATGATCTGGATATATACTCTACATACAGCACGGAGACGGCGGTTATGGGGAGTGCAGCGCCAGATCTCTAGTTTCTGGGGCACTCGTTTCTCAGCGTGCATTGATTCGTCTGGAAATTGTCCGGGCATTGATCATAGAGTAGCATGCAAGACAAATCGATACTGCACACTTATTTAGAAGTGTCTAGAGTGCCTACATACATGGTGTAGTTAGAAAATATTTACATACGTTGATTAGAATATGGCGTAGAGTATTATATCGATATGGAGTAGGTTATCGGCATGCCGATCTAGAGTATCTGGCTGCCATCTCCGAACCAAGCAAAACACAGCAGGAGAGCAGCAGAAAAAGCAAGAGCAGCACCAGGGCAACAACAAGTATGTACATGTACCTACTCGCGGCAGGTAACAAGTACGAGTACAGTCGCCCACCGTTGTAGCGAACGCTTGTATACCGAATATTTTCTGTACCGAACCACTTGGGCTGGCTTTTTTTTCTCCCGGCAAAGGGTTTGGTCTGCTGTACCGAATAATCTGCTATACTGAGCGGAAAGTTGCTCAATATGCACGTTCGTTATAGCGGCGACTGTACCCGAAAATGCACGCCCTAATCTGCAATTTCCATTGGAGTAGAAGTCAAAAATACACCAAAACCTTGCAGCTGCATTTTTGGGTACTTCATGCTTGTCGCGAGTACTCGCGCGGCCGAGTTTCGACTTACTCACGTGACGCTATTTAACAGGTTTTTTGCGTTACCCATAGGTCATGTGATTAAGTTGAAACTCGGCCGCGCGAGTACAGCAACAACAGCTGAGATCTCGTCCATCCCATTTCATCCAGCCAAGCCTCTCTTATCCCATCCTGGCAACAGTAGTACTACTACTAGCGCTATCCATTTTTTTTTTCTTCGCCCGCAAACCAACAACCTCACTCCAACGGCAACCACAACCCCACCAAACCCCTCCACCCTCCCCGCCCAAAACACACAACCTACCACAACCACCCCTCCTCCCAACCAACCAAAATACCCACATCTGCATACGCATACGCATACGCATCTCCATTAACAATGCTTTCCCTCCTCCGCACCAACACCTTCGCCGCGGCCGCTGCGCGCCGCACATTCTCAACGTCCCAGGCGCGCGCAGACGTTGCCCGCATCACGCTCGTCGGCCGCCTCGCTACCGAGCCCGAGATTGCACAGCTGTCCGACGGCAGAGAGGTCATGCGCTATGTTATCGGCGTGTCCAAGGGCACAAAGGGTGTGTCGTGGTTCAGGGTTGCGAATTTCGATCTGGAGGGCCGCGGAGGGAAGGAGTATTTGGCGTCTATGCCAAAGGGGTGAGGGCTTTCTTTATTTTTTGCAATTGGGTTGTGGATTGGATTGGGGGATGGTGGGGATAGTGGGCTAATCTTTATTTGTGCGGGGGTGTAGAACTCAGGTTTTCTTTGAGGGCGATATTAACTTGTCTGTTCGCGAGCTTGAGGACGGGAAGAAGTTCACGGAGCACAATATCTACCAGCGTAGGCATCCCCCCCCCCCCCCTTCCAGTAAACCTGCATCGGGGATCTAGACGCTGGCCGGAGAAACTAACGATGTATATGTAGACTCCATCAAGGCCCTCAGGCGACCAAAGGAGCGCACCGCCGAGGAGGCGGCGGAGGAGTAGACTACTACCTGCTAAATAGCCAGCTAAAGCTGTGTAATTAGTTGGGGCCGCCGACGATGTCTATGGGGACGCGTGAGCTTTTCCTTATTTTTTTCTTTCGGTTTTTTTTTCTTCTTTTTCTTCTTTCTTTTCAAGCTGCTTTTGATAGCCCATTATGTACAGTATTTCCTTCACCATCATCAACACCTCCTCTCATCCCTCTTACCCTATTAGCAGATTGTTGTGGTTGGGAGAAAAAAAACTAAGGAGTTTATTTCGGGCTTGCGTGCCGGTGCCATGACGGTCCCAATTGAATCTATTGTGTACTCTAGTTGGGTAGCCTGAGTAGTTTAGTTATGTAGCTTTGCATGATTGATGGATTGAGGTATTGTCCGTCCGTTCAGTTCAGCTGGTGGGGTAGAATCCCAATTGAGAAACACCGCGCTTGATCCCGCTTTGGGAAATACATCCGAGTGCAGTGCTTCCCCACACCGGAGCATCATCGTCATTGTTTTTTAATTATTTTTGTTGTTTCTGTTTCTAAGCCGGACCGGAGTGTTGTCTAGTCCCGGTCCCAGTGGACGGGGTGTGGGTTTTTTTCTTTTTCTTTTTGTTTAATTCGGGGTGTGGGGTTGGGAGTACGTGTAATCAGCATCAGTAAACAAACAAGAGCCGGAGTTGTTTTTTTGTTATTGTTATTGTTGTGGTTGTGGTTGTTATGAATGTAGGTGTTGGATGGGTCTGGAACTGTGGCGGCTATCTAGGTGGGTTGGGGATGTTGACATGTTTGCTGTGGTGGTTTGGTGTTTTGGTCATGGAGTATCACTCGGTTATATACACCGGGAGGGGGAATATCCGACCGCAGCCAAAACTCCTCCGGCTCGGTGGTGCGGTGATCTTACGCTTACGAGTGTCCGTTTTCAGCGGGGGGTGGTTGTAGAACGGTCTGCGGAGCGGGCCCGGGCCCTGGTTGTGGTAGAGCTGGTAATCACTGCTTGACCCGGATTCGGAGGATTGCGCTTCTCTCTCGTGAAATCTTAGACGAGAAGCGTAACTAATTTGGCATCGCAGTTATTAAAAACTTTGAATGGATAGGTAGCTATAGCCATGGGTGAATATTGAAGTAAAACCCGTAGGGAGGGTTGTGGGTCTTCGTCATGGGTTATCACTCGCATGAATTACCGGTTTTTTAGGCTAATAGTCATAACAGAAATCCGTCCTATAATTGACTCCTATTATAGTGATAGTACATATATTAGTACCTAGTTATAAGAATAGCAACCAGCGGTCCCAAAATGCTGTTTTACCTATCCCTCCTGACTGCTTATAGTGATCTCGCCTTATAAGGATACAGATTTTCGGTTCCGACCGTACCCCCACACCGAGAGTGGACTGTACCTGCATGTAACCTAAAGCTCATGGCGGCGCACTGCGTATTATCTGCGGCTTCTGGGATTGTTTGTTTGTTTGCGTTCAACTGCTACACCGGTCCCTGCGCGGGGATAGTGGGGTTTTGGGGGGCTCGCCGCTCGTAAGACAGAAGTTAAAAAATGCGTAGAAAGTATACGAAGTAAAGATAGAGAGAGACTCTGGTTTGGTTTGGTATGGATTTGACTTTTTATTATTGTGCCAAGTGCATTTGAGTTTTTGGTTTGATGTCCGTACTCTAAGAAATTAGCTGGGTACTCAAACATACATGTATCATGGATCAAAAACCGGGGAAACTATAACAGAAACCAGAGCAGATATTGTAAATATGAGGCCAAAATGAGCGACCTATTAGTAAGAGACTTTCAGGTACGTCCTTCTTTTGTTGTAAGGTACTACTATTTCTATTTGAAATCATTTTTGAGTTAGTCGGATCCGTTACTTTCTCCCTCTTATGTATAATTACATAGAGGAATCAAACTACCAACACGACGTTATTAGAACATTTACTAAAGTATCCGACCTCCTGCCTATACACAAGTATTCAACAGCTGGTCTTTAAATCTGGGGCGAGAGTATAAGCCGGTTAATATCTGAGTACCTTGAAAAAGTATGTATCCGTGTGTGCTGTTGAGTTTTGGAACGTGTTGATAAGAGTTTAGCCAATTGGTAGGTATGTACGCTTAAGATCATTAGTTTGTGGTTGTATTCAGTTTGGTTCGGTATACCTGTTATAAGAAATAATATGTATCTATGATTATTGTAACGCCTGTCCCCTAGCGCCCTTCGGTTTCCACGACATGAGTTGCATATTGTAAACTAAATATTTCTTAGAATACTCGCGCGTTAATTAAATGGTCGGATATCGCTGCAACCAAATGTTTACTAAAATTTCCGACCTTTTAATTAACGACTGAGTACTCCGCTACATTATATTATTCACATCTTCGAAAGTCCTGTAGAGCTAAAGAACTAACATTGAAACCCAAGTACTATCCCTATTAATAAAAAAATACAATCCTAGTCTAGATTATCCTAAAGAATACTTTCACAAACATGTCCAACCTAGCTAACGACACCCTAAAGGGTATTATGTCAAAAAAAGTCCATTATAATAAGGGAAACCCCACGGATCGGATTTCTACATCAAAAAATCCTCCCATCGTCCTCAATAATCACATTTAAACCCCTCTCAACCCATATTCCTTCCTGGTTGTGTCTCTTCACGATGCCAACAGAGGCTGTAGACCCAATATGGGTAGGTTCAGCCGTGATAACGGAGGTCATCTCAGGATAACTAAAAGAATCGCGGTTTCTCGAGGCGTTGCTGTCGGTGGTTGAGTTTGTGACTCTCGATCTGGAAAAAACGCGAGTGGTCAGTACGTAAGGAAGGGGTATAGCCAGGAGAGTACTCACGAGGCAGAAGAAAACATCTTCCCTGAAATCCAACTGCTCATAGAAGAACTACCTTCAGCCTTCTTCGGCGCCATTTTCTTCAGGAGTGTAAACTGCGCCCCGAGCCCGAAAAACTCGAACCATTCCTTGCATATTTGTGATGCCTCCCGCCCCGTTCCAAAGAAGATGAAGCACACGATCCCAGCGAGAACGGGGATCCAATGATCAAATTGGATAGATGTGCCTTTTACATAAGGGACATAGTCCCACCCAAATGTGCTGTGTACAAGTTTCCATGAATAGGGCACCATTGGATACTGTAGGTTGTGGTAGAAGATATAGAGGACGATTGGAAAATTGATGCTAACCATGAAAGTGCTGATTACGAAAAGACGCATGAATCGTGACTTTGTCGAGTCGGAGAGAGTGCTATTGACATTCTCTGAATACTGTCTCTGGTACCTGCGGAGAAGATAAATGACGCGGCCTGGCAATTGTTAGTGGACTCATGAGATCGAGTGAGCGGGAAAGAAAAGAAAACAGGGAAAGGATTGGGGCACTACCTGCGTAGTATGCTGCCACAAAACCAATTATCGGAGGCCATATGTAAATCAGCGGTATAGTTGGCCAGGAGTTATCCACGCTCGGTGTACATCCAACGTAACGAACGATGTAATATCGATTGGGTTGCACGATGTAATGGGCAGACATCAACCAAATCGGCGGCCCAAAACAGATGAGTAAATCCTGGATCAACTCGACCCTCCGCATGGCCTTGGTCTTGTGTGCAGGACCAACTTGCTCCATGACTCTGGCCAGGTTGCGTGAAATCGCTGCTGTGGCTGTCATCATTCCTGCTGAGGCGGCAATGATGAACTTGATCTCGATATCACAGAAAACGGCTCCATTCCAGGCGATTTCGAATTCATCTTCGGAGCCACCCCATATGAGTGCGTTTACGAAGCTTATCATATTGAAGATGGTAATCCAGCATATCAGACAGACTGCAGGAACATTTCTGAGTTTTATGTGCCATGTAAGAGGTATTGGTGTAAGGATGATCGCTATAAAGCAGACGATCAGGAAGAATATTTTGACTGACATCTCCTCCCTGTAGCGTCCGACCAGGGGATATTCCTAAGGTATGTGGTTGTACGGCGTAGATATTGAAGAAAAAGTGTTGGAAGTATATGGTATAGGCTGATTAGCATGCGGGAAAGGGCAATATATCCTGCACATGAAATATCGAGAGGACGATGGTTTATGAGTAGAGGCCTTGTAAGAACACTGGATTTTTCTTTAGGAATATACAAGTCTCATACTTATGTGATTCAAACATAGCGAGTTGTAAAGGGAATCCGAAGCTCACGGATGATCAGTAGAGGCCAAAGGCACCAAGCATTCTCTCATGCCATTCTGATTGCTCTATACTTAAAAGTGTATGTGTGGAAGCTTGCATTTTCTATTTACAGCATATTGTTAGACAAAGTGTGGTGCAAGTGCAGTTCATAGTACAGTGGTTTGTTGCTGGCACTGGGTGGGATTGGTGGTATAACATTAAATGATCTACGCCCCAAATACTATCCAGAAATGAATCTCAACTATTGTAGACCAATTAGATATTGCCTGAAGTCGCACTGGAAGAACTGAAGATGCTGTTCAAAGGAATATGTTTGGTTGTGATGCTGCGTTATATGCTGCAACGGGCTCTCAATAGGATATTACCTACCCTTTCGGGCCCTCAATAAAGGTCTCAATTCATAACGTGTAACCACCCTACAAAGACAGGATGTCATGACTCTCTACAGACCGGGACAGAAATTAGAGATATGAGACTGAAATTTATAGAATCGGCATGCTTGCCGGTCCCCTAGGTATAACACATGCCAAGCATTGCGCGCTGTAAATGAATTGTTGGAGATGCCTCTTCAAAATTGAACTATCGTGTGGTACCAAAAACGTAAAGATACAGAGACACGTATGATAAAATCCTGCTGTATCCACCACAATGGGTTTAATGTTCTTGCGTGGGGGAGTTTTATCAGCGCCAGGCGTGGAGGCCTTCAATTGTAAAATCCTGCGACCTGTGTGAAGTCGGTGACTTTGGGGACCGGCGTCACCAAAGTCAAAAGCTTAATCGTATTGTGTCCACTTAGGGCATGGGATGTCGTCCTGCCGTTTGCCAAGCCGGGGATTCGACGAAGGGTACCGAGTTGCACCACTCCTGCACCGTGACGTCAAGCAAACACTGACTACCAACACCATCTAAGTGAAATTTCAACGTCAGTTCTTTAAATTCCGATTTTAGAACACGTATTTTACTCCTATATCCACACCTCCTCCATTCCATAGACTAAAACCGCCACTCGCCACTATCCAAGCTACATAACTCACACGAAGTCAGGAAAAAAATATCGGCTTATAAAGATGCTCTGTTCAGAACTCCAGGAGTCGGATTTACTTAAGTACTAATAGAAGGATCATATAATTCACGAGTTCCCCTTCCAGAAACAAGGCATGCTTGAGCTGACAATCGGGGAATTTTGAGGGCAGCAACTTATCCAAACGCGGTTTAGGTAACCATTACCCGGGTTCCATCTACTCATAAATATCAAACGGAATACTTCTACAATACTTGGTCGAATTGATACATTAAGGGAAAGAGGAAGAAGCTCAATTTGAATTTCTATAGCATTTGGAAGCTTTTTATAGCTAGTTCAAAGTCTCATCAATACGGAAGTTCAATGAAAAACGTGCAGTTTAATCCTCAACTCACAAGGCGGATGATAAATCAACGAGAAGCACGCGTGCCGATTCATCGTTGATTTTGGATAAGAGCCTGGGTGTAGTGTTTATCCTGTTAAACTGGTAGCGGTTTCCTCTAACACAGTGGGAATACCGGCGTTTATAACGCACACTCTCAATGAGCGTATCGGATTTTTAAGCAGCACGATCCACCTTCACTTACACTTAACCGCCACAAGTGTAGCTACTTCAATTTCTACCGTTCAGTTTGGAAGGTCATAACTGAGTCTAAAGAAGACTAGTTCTCAATATCTGTTTGAGATTCTGTGCAGATCAATCGTTACTCGCCGCAGGTTCAACGGTTATCCACGAAGCTTCCTTTTTGACAACTTCAACGCATATCTGCCGTGGATGTTAAGCACGGCCGTTGTGATGACTAGCATTCTTCCCAGTATATCAGTGCATAACCAAGCTTTGCTGTCAAACTTTAACGGTTTCAAAGCGTTACCCCGGCCTCTGACCGCCAGTTGATCGTGGTGGCGGCAATGCATAATTACGATAGTCTAGATTTTACTCCGCGCGGTTGTGCTTCCGGTTTCATTCCCTAAGAAAACGCGCCGAATAAATCCTCTCTGTTTGGATTGGTTTTAAGTGTCCGGAACAAACCGGCGGTACAGGTGCACTTGTTTCATAGTTGATATCACTCGACATATAGCTTTCGGGCTTGTTCGCGAGAACTATAGACAAGGATGATAGTTTGGAGACTCATCGAGAATGAGTCCGACCAATGGTTTCCAATCCTACAGGAAATGGTGGAAGATCAGTAGTCAACGATGACGAATATGAGAGTGTACAATTAATTGAGGTACCAAACAGGACGAGCCATAATGCACTCACGCAAACTGTTTTAACTGATTGCCCCGATTATAGCCCACATGTTTGGAAAGTTCAATGGCACTACATCAACAGCCATAGTGATTCGGGAAGCGCACAGTAATAAATTATTGGAAAGTCGATAACCAAGGACTAGATTGGGCTTAGGATAACACTCTATTGATTGCACCAGTGGACAATATGCTCACCCGCAGTACTAAAAATATCGACTTGTAAGAGATATAATCTTGATCCAATGGATATGGATTTGGAATGGAGAAACAAGCTACTGGTAAGCCCCGTGAGATTTTCGAATTGAGAGGATCTCTGCAGGCTAAATTAGATAGACTAGTGGGTGACTTTTGGAACACCCCCTGAATTTTTACCTGCCTTCTTAATACATCACGAGGTCAGTCAAAAGCCACACAAAGGCATGCATGTACAGAAACCTATTGTTACCAACTAACCCTCATACTACCATTCTATCCAACCCCACCTTTATTGCTATCACACTTATCAGTCTGCGTTTTCGAATCACCGGCTGTCTCAAGTTTACAACCGTCTTCTGGAACCGCTAGGCGATTGAAGGATTTAAGGTTAGGGTGATTGACGTGCTTGACAGGATCCCCAGGTTCTTGGTTGAAACGCTCGTTTGAGATATCTGATGCTAAGCGATACCAATCATCGGATGGAGGGATGCAACCGCGAATATTAGCTTGATGGAATGGATGAAACGCGATGAGCAATCGACAGACTACCTCACTGGCCCAAGCGAGGCTGTATGTATTGGTGCGGTCGGTTTATCCGTGTTTCTCATGTTGTACATGGAGTTGGAAAGCAGCCAAATACCAACACGGTATGAACTTGAGGTCTCAAACTCTGGAACTTGAGCTCACAGCTTTGTTAGTTTTTTTTCTGTGCTGCCTAGTACAAGAACTACACGGACTACAAATCGATGAAAGTAGACGACTATTAGTACCAATGTGTCTATTTTGTCTCATGCCTTTGAGCCTACTTCCCCCGGAAATATTACTCTTTTTTGTGTCGTCCATTGGGACAGACCAAAAGAGCACAATCACCAATCTCTAATACCTCGGCTTCTGTACGATTCTCGCTAAAAGTCAAAGAATAGGTTCATGTTCAATATGTATGTGCGCGAAGAGTGGTTTATCACCACTGGTTTCTCCGCAATATGATTTCCACTTGAAAGAGATGCAGGACCTACAACGCTGCGCCTCACTCGCTTGACTCTCATCGCGACCAACTAATATTCCTTTACCCGGCTACAGGATTGGAAACAATCGCCTCTTAGTGGTACGTTGGAGGTCTTCTCTGAAGCGGAAAAAGAAGTCGCAGTGACATATGCAGGTCCCTCTTTCAACAGGCTAGGGTTTGCAGTAACATCAACGGCAGCGGATGGGGGACACGAAGAGTGGGCTCGCACAAATCATCCAGTTTCGTCTACATCGCCGTTAGTATTGTGATGACGGGAAAACGATCCATGCTGCAGAAGAGGGCTGCATATGTAATGTACGTGGGGTAGCTCCACTTAAGGGGACAAGGGAGAGTATAAGAAATTAGATGCTCACTGCAAAAAGGGGCGAAGTTTTCATCATCGAGAATACTGACTAATGAATGACTACCATCGAAGCTCTGGATAACATCGCTAGACATTTGGTGGTGGTGGTCCATATGTCGTGGAAGGCAGATCCCCTGTTCGATTGCTTCACAACCAGTACTTAGGCATGGGATTCTAATTCTGAAACACAGCACACGGAGTTGAGAAAGGGAAAACAGAGTTTGAGGATCGATAGTACCGTGAAAGGAAGTATCTTATTATTTACGTCCAAAAAGGGGATGAATAATCTTAGGAAGAAACTAGATGGCGAGCCTGATAGTCAAGTTCAGGGAACAAAGAAAAATAATTAATAGCAGCAACATACAATACCGTATCTAGACATATGGGTCAGAATATTCGCTTCTTTTTTATTTATGGGCATTTCTATGTCTTATTTATGATGATTCATTTTCGCCGGATTAGTGACTTTTTGGCGCCCATTACTTATTATTGGGGTCCAGAATAATCTTCAGCTGGTTGGCTGGCTATTATTGTTAAGGTGCCTAAATAGTTCCTTTTTGGTACGCGTCTAAACCCCTGGTGACCCGAGTATTGTTAAATTATGCTGGGAGATCGACGGTTGGCTGATAATAATAATATCGGCGAAGAGGATCACGATTCACCGCTAGACGGATTAGAAATAGTATACTCTCCAAACAACTCAAAGAAATTCCTCTGCTGGTACGAAATAGCTGTTGGCCAATGTGTTGCTGTTGGTAACTATCGGGAAACACCGTAAACTGGGCATGGCGGCAGCAGGATTTCAGGAACAGGAGTTACAGGGACAGCAAGACAATTCGAAACGAACAGAACCGGAAAAACTCCGAGAGGCTGCCGTTCGGAGAATTATCTTGCGTTATACCAGGCGTTTATATCTACAGTCTTTTACCGTCTCTTGACGAATACTGCCAGTTGACAAACAGGGGACTTTGGGCCAATAGAAATTAAAAGGACCGGAGATCTCGTAGCTTGGCTGTTGCTTGACTGTTTCTTTCCCTGTTCGTCAAGTGGCAGTATTCGTCAAGAGACGGTAAAAGACTGTAGATACATGGAGTACCTACTCTACTCGGGGCAGGCAAAAAGTACCGGACAATGCAAGTTTTGTCTCTGGGCTTTTTTTGCAGTAGTTCACGCCTAGCACGCGCGCCCATTGGTGAACGAAAACCTGCATTGTCCAGTACTTTTTACCTGCCCTGAGTATGTGCCTCCAACTGAGCGGGTCCAAATATGTATTCCTTCTCTAACCGGTTTAGGCCAGTTGGTTCTGTAAGCTTTTTAAACCATAAGCCTTTTATAGGCATGGAGTAATCCGGACAAAGCGCTCCTGCTCTTTGGTCTGTAAAGTCCCTTTACAGGTATGAGTTCAAGCATCACGACGTTTTGATCCCAATTAGTCCATGAGATTCATTGGGCCATTGATTGGAATGAACAAGGTCTTAAGAAAAAGAGGAGCCTACCCACTCCCAATTTCTCAACCGCCGGGTGGCAATTAAATAATCATCCATGTGTGCTCACTCTAAATATCCTCGTGCAGTTGACATAAAAATAAAATAAAAAATTGGGATTTTTACTTTATATAAATCGTTGGCGCTTTCAGCGTTGCTAAAGCTGCGCAAGAATCAAGAAAGAGTTACTGCTGGTGTTGAGCCATGATCCGACAGCTTCTGTCGTTCTTGGCCTCACGCGAAATGATGGAGACAGTTGATGGAGCGACGTCAGGAACAGGTTTAGTGCCTATTTCCACTTCCTGCAAGCCACCGAGTTTAGGCCCGGACGTTTGTCGTTCGCGTATTCGTTCGTTAGTAAGGATCGTCCGGTTGACCAATAAAAATGGAGAGTCCCAAGGGGGTAAGTAAAAAAAGCCGAACCAAGACAACACATCCACGAGATTACGCTCAGGCGGTCACACGTCGATGTTCTAATTGGTTCCAATAGGGCCTCTTTACGAGAATAATTTTTGTCATTCACAGCCCGGTCTCGTGTATTGGATTACAAAAGCTCCGAATGCGCTGAGTGGCCACTGTTCATTCTCTACGTATTTTGCATTGCAGCGGAGGGGATGGAGTGTGTGGACGGTAAAAGAAAGGGAAAATTACAGTGAAAGAAAACAAAAAAAACAACCTGGACGTTGGACGTCCAGATGGATAGGAATTGGGTGGGTGATGTCGAGGGGTCGCAAGCGCGTGTTTCAGGTTTCGAAAAAGTAGGTACCGAATCAGCAGCCAGGACAGGCATTACTGTGCGTTGAACAGGAACAGGCATCTCCATCGGACAAGGCACAGCCAGGAAGCAGCGGCAGACTTTTTTGGAGAAGGCAGAGAAGCAAAAGAGAGGTGGGTGGTGGGTAGGTGGGTATGTCGACGGGGGGTGTAATAATTTAATAGAGAAGAGGTAGAGATGGAAAGAGGTAGCAAGCAAGCACCAAAGAACCGTGACCGTTGGGCAAAGAACAATGTATACTGGGAATACCCCTTTTCTGATACACCACCCACTTGCATTTTTCGTTTCCTTGGGCGGGGAAGGGATCAAGTGGCCATTGTCCGGGATCACACAAAACGGTGCTCTGATCCAGTGAGGGCAAGATAATAAACCTAGACCAGAGCAGTGGGGGAAGCGCGAGAGATATACCTTGGGAATAGAGACTCAGGGAAGAGGCCATAGAGGACAACTAGGGTATTTGAATGTTAGGATTAATTACAGAGTGGGAATATCTACTACAACGAAGATAACCAACCCCAGACGAGAGATCCAACCAAAGTCACTGTGGGGAGAAAGAAGAAATAGAAGCAGACGAAGAGTGGGAGAAAGAAGAAACACACAGAAATCATCCACGAATCCATGAACAAGCAGGTCCAGCTCCACCCGCCAACCAACGACAACAACTGCAGAGGGTTGTTAAAAAAACCTCCTCGTACCTAGAGGGGCAGGGCTCCCATTTTTGACCAGCATCCAGATCCACCAAAGACGAGGATCACCTCCGTATCCATATCCACATCCATATCGAAATTCTCAACCCATATCCATATCCATCCACCCGTTTTTCCCAAGTCAGCCAGCAGCCCGCTTGCTTTCCCGCCCTCACTGCTTGCCTCTCTCTCTTCCCCCTCAAGGTCCAACGCCCCTCCACAGTAAAAAAAAGTGAACCAGGGCGCACTCCACTCAGTCCCCCCCCTTAGGCGCCCTACCCAACTCCACCCCCTTCCCACCACAAACATCCCTTCATATACACCGTGCATCATCTCCCTTCTCCCCCGTTCTCCCCTCTCTTCCCCCTCGTCGTCCCAGATTTTCTTCTCTCTCTCCTTCGCCGCTTCTCTCTTCTTACCCTACCTCCCCCTCCTCCTCCTACTTACCTTCCCCTCTTCCCAAAAAAGGCTCTTGAAGTTCCTGTGCTTCATACGCTTTCTTTGTTTTTTATTTTTTTATTTCAACGTTCACGCGTCTAAAGACTGGCCTTTCTTTACGCAGGACTACAGAGGCAGGACCCTCAACCCCATCGTTCATTCAAATCCTTCCTCACTCTCGCTCTGTCCCCCACCTACAACCTGTGTCTTTTCCATTTCTAAAAAGGAATCATACACGCGCAACCGCGGCTTGAGAAGATCATTCTGAGAACGTTTAACATTGCCCTAAACCCACCTTATTTGCTGGTCACCTCCTAGCACACAGCGACCCCACGACAGTTCTGCACGCAGAATTCGCTTAACCCCCATTCGCCCTTTTCCCCCAATCAATAAAGTGCCGGTCGCTTCATAGCGCGACTATCGCAGCCATGGCCCACCTAATGTACAGCCAGCATCAACTTGTGAACCAAAAGCCCGAAACATTTATGCTTTCAACAGAAGCCCAGCAATCGCTACCTCAGGAAGTCCAGGTTGCTCTTCAACAAGTCGATAACTGTAAGCGCCTTCTTTGGATATATATATATATATATATATATAAATCATATATATATTTTATATATAAATATCTCTTTACGTGATTCGATCAAAGAAATATCGCGAACTTCGTGAACTTTCGGAAGATCGGGCTACAGCGTTGAATTACATTGTGCTAACGGTTTGGTACAGTAAAATACTTTCTCATCTCTGCCCCAGTCGACTGGGCCCCGGAACAATACATTAGAAGATTTTTATTACCAACCGGCGAATATGTATCATGTGTTCTATGGTAAGAGGCTCTGATTGTGTGAAGAAAAAAAAGAAAATCCCGAAGATTTTTTGTAATTCTCGCTAACGAAAATACCTTGCAGGAATAACCTTTTCCATATTTCTGGTACAGACATCGTAAGATGCCTGTCTTTCCGCTTCCAGGCGTTCGGACGACCGGTGAAAAATTCCAAGAAATTTGAGGAGGGTATATTTTCCGACCTAAGAAATCTGAAGTCTGGTACGGATGCGTCGCTTGAGGAGCCCAAGAGCCCATTTCTTGATTTTCTCTACAAGAACAACTGCATTAGAACCCAGAAGAAGCAGAAGGTATTCTACTGGTATAGCGTTCCCCATGATCGCCTTTTCCTGGACGCTCTGGAGCGTGACCTGAAGAGAGAGAAGATGGGTCAAGAAGCGACAACTGTTGCCGTTAGCGAGCCGGCACTTTCTTTCGAATTCGACTCATCCCAGTCGCTATTCGAGCAGCTCACCAAGGCGCAGCAGGCAAATTCGTCATCATTTTCTGCACATGCTTCTTACTCATCCTCCACTTCACCCGTAATGCGCGCGATGGATTCGATGCCACCACCCCAAATAATTCCCCACTCCATGCCCGTTGTGCCCGAAGATATGCACCCAATGTCGTATGGCCCGATGCAGATGACCCCTGCTCCAGTAAAACAGGAGCAAGATTATGGTATGGCGCCATACTACCCTGAGAGAAACGGCTTGCCGCTCTCAAGGCCGATGCACCAACACCAGAGGACTATCTCTATGCCCAGCTACCTCGAGTATTCACCAGCTCCTTCTTTTGCGCCATCTGAGGATTACAGTGCACGAGGAATTTCCTACGAGCCAGTAACCCCTCCTCAACAGATGCTTCAGATCTCTGAGCCCCACTACTTGGCAAATGATGGCTACGACACCATGTCTGGTCATGCTGGGCATTCCATTAATAGCATGATCCTCCCGCTGCCACCTGTGAGCAACGCTCCTCCGTTCTCATCCACCCACGCGCATACACCAACAACGTCTACTCCGTCATTGAAGGATCTCCGACCTACAAACAGCGTCGTAGAAGATCATCAATCACGCCTGGTATCAGCGCTTTGGCCAATGCCACTAACGCTGCCGCTGGCCATGTTAGACGAACAAGCGAACAGCTTAGGCGCTCAACCACCGCGTCGGGTATTGACCACAGCGATTCGGAGTCTCCCCCAATCAATATGGGGCACATGCAGCCCCGCGAAATTGTGGATCTATCGCGACATGGAACACCACTATCGCTGGCTGAAGACAATAGCCCTGCACCACACCAGTCGATGATGCACCATGAAGAGGGTTCATTGCCCCCTATGTCAAATTGCGACCAGTCAGATTATGGTGTTGGATCCGAGGTTAAGCGCCCGACCGCAATTAGACGTGCCAAGAGCGCAACTGTCATGGAAGTCAGCCCCTACCCCCAGAAGTCGCACTCATGCCCCATCCCGTCTTGTGGGCGGCTATTTAAGAGATTAGAACATCTAAAGAGGTATGTGTTCCCCATCCGCTCATTGGCTCGTTTTCTTGATGCTAATAAAAACTCTTTAGACACGTGCGCACCCATACTCAAGAGCGACCGTATATTTGCAATCACTGCAATAAGGCCTTCTCTCGTTCTGATAACCTTGCTCAACACAAGCGTACTCATGAGCGTGATGGCACTGCCGGCCCAAATGAGAACTACAACAGCTACAGTGAGGAGGATAACGAGGACGACCAGCTCCAGACAATTGAAGATGTCTCAGAAACATCAGACCATGGCGGTTATCATCATCAGATGCCCATGAGTATGCCCAGTAGCTTGATGCACAGCACCATGATGCAACAACTGAGCTAAAGGACGAGCTGGATGAGTCTTAAATTACGTTATCTTGCGAATATATCTGATTTTGCGAGAATGTTTTTATTTTCAGGGGTTTTGGGTTATTGGGCCGATTTGGGTTTACGTAGGCGTCTTTCATATTTCGAGGAAAGATCTTACGTGCTTTCATTGTTTTTACTTCCGTTTCTTTTGGATGTTGGTGCACAGTGGGTTACATGTTGGGAAAGGGAAAGGGGAAGATATTCCTTGTGTCAGGGACGGGCGGGCTTTTTTTTTTCAACCTCCTTTTAAATATTGTTTGTATACCCATCATCAATCGTCTCTTTTGTCTGATACCTCTTGTTTCTTTTTCTTTTATGTTCATGTGCTATTTTTATCATACCCTCTTCCTTTTACTCGTTTTTTTTGGGCTATGGGGGCGAAATTCGGCGCATGCTGTTTCTCTGATTGACCCACTAGCAGGGATGGACAAGGGAATAGGTTTGTACGATTGCTTTTAGTTCATTTGGGTTATTTATAACCCCCATTTCTATTTCTTTTCTTTGACCAACTGAGCTCAGTTCGTCGGCCGGTCTTCATATACTTCTCTCTTCCAGTCTTGGGAACTTCCTTTGTCTTTCCTAGTTCGATTATTCACTGATATGCTTGCTTGCTTGTTTGGTTGTCATGTGGTACGCATGTCGTTGTAGCGATGGCATCGTCTCACTTGGTTTATTAATGATACAGCGCTGCACGGGAATAAGATGATAAAAAGAACATTTGGCCGGTCGATTTCACTACTAACTATACTAGTGGTTAATGATATCTTTTGCTGCGATATACCCGTTTTTAGTTTTCTAGTTATTCTATTCTTACTATTCACCTCTCTTTATGTTTCCTATGTTTTATTATTTATTCCCTTTTTTATGCTGTAGGGTGTTCTATCTTTCTATCGTTACTTTTTTCTTATGTCATATGGCTACATAGATTTGGCTTTTTGGTTTGGTTATGGATTCTCTGGTGCACGCGGGGTTGGTGCAATGGGAACAAGGAAGGGGCAAAACGGCGGGGAGAAAGAAATACAATTTTCAACTACTATCACTCTTCTCATTATCGCTATTCCTTTCTTTCTGTGTCTGGTCACACTACTGCTACTGCTGCTGCTGCTACTATTACTACTACTAGTCTACTACTAGTAATAGTAGTACCACCGCCAGTGCTACTATTACTCATTACTACTAAAGTATGGGATTGAGAGTTATAAGGCGGGCTCTATTATTCCAATATTACCAGCTATTATTAGGGCCAAATCCCGAGAGAGCCCAAGAACTTCCCCGCTCCCACATAATCCCTTCACTTCATCCCCCCCCCTTCTTTTTCTTTTCTTTTCTTTTCCTTCTTTTCTTTTGTAATTAATTGGACGTGAGCACGCATGCAACAAAATTCACACCTTACAAGATCAAACATTCCAGCTGCGCACGTCTCAAGGGGTCAAATTCCATGTTTTGGCCTGACGTCCCTGCCTGCCGCTGCTGTGCATATCTCGTCAATTGACAAATCAAAGACAAAAATTGAGCAGCTATGACGTTCCGATTTATGATCGCTCGGTCGACCTGGTAGGTGGGAGGAAAAAAAAAAACTTCATATCCTGTGCCTGAGAATGCTTTTCTTATCAACCGTCTCTGATTCGTGGCTGGGGTTTTTTTTCTCTTTCGGCCCCAGAGCTGAATACGAATGTATTGCAATGCCCTCCAGGGAAAAAGGAAGCATTCCGGGCTTGCAGAGACAGACAGACTGACTGCCGGATGATCTATTGGGGTATTTCCGATCAGCGTATAAAAGTCTACAACTACATTAATATGTATGTATAATGTATGTATACTCTACAGCCGTACAGAGAGCACAGAGTATTAATCAATACGTGCGTACAAGTCTTAGCGGAGAGTACCTACTCTACCTAGCGTGTACGTGCTCTACATATCATGTAATATGCAATAGCCACGATATTATATGCCGGTGTAGATAGGACTTCAACGCGGGATCATCCAATAGATCCATGGTTACCCCTGGTACGGCTACACGTGTTTCCCACGCTCACTCACACTCCCTGCCCTCCAAAGGGTTTTTGTGGGAAGCCCGGCTAGGGAGAAATCATGACTTGAAACCTCGGTGTCAAAACCGTGGTTCGAACGTTCACAGTCCACCATACATGGAGTTGATGCTGTCGAGAAAAAAAGCAGTTATACTTACACGATCAAGTTGCGGAGAAACTAAGCGCGACCTGAGGATGAGTATAAAATGGCGTCTAACTACCGGGTCTCATGCACATGTTATATGCGTCAATGATGACTGACTAGGTTCTCTAGAGTATGTAGCTCTAGCAATCATTGCCGCCCCCGGCCTACCTAGCTCGAGGTGACGATACTCTACACTTTTCGGACCAGTTCCGAACCATACACATATGCAAATCCTCGAGGTGCTCTCTCGTGGTATACATAGATACCCACCACTACCATTGCTTCGGTAAAATAGAGTAGTCTCGACTCTCGACCTTCTGGATTCTCGTGGAAGCCACCTTTCTTTTCGTCCGAGCTTGACGCTAGATCTGTGACGGGGATCCGAGAAGAATGAAGAAAAAGCAAGTGGGTTAGGGTCGATGATCAGAGAATAGACCCTGCATGCATATCTATTTGAGTATCTCTGCGCGGTAGAGTACTTATTCTACTCTAACTAGGTAGGTGTTACATTCGCATCCCGATTTTCAAAGCACTACATGTCCTTAATTCTGCGAGCTCAATCGCAGCTAGATCTCCAATTCCACCACCACCCAAGAATTTTTTTTCCGGGGGACCCTTTATACAGAATTAAAATAACAAACACATCACGATAGTACCTACAGTCGTTAGTGACGTCTGCACAACCTTTTTTTTTTTTTTTTTTTCCCACACCTCATGTGTTTCCTCTGCATTGGTTGCTCATCTCATATATCAGATTTTTTTAATCGGCCAATTGCAAAAGCTGGTACGTGCTGCACGTCAACGGTATATGTGTATTGAAAACCTAACTTGACTTAAATGTCAAAGGATGTTGTTGTCTGTGCTCTACTGTTGTTTGATAGGTGGACGACTGGATTGAAATTTGGGGGTCACTATTTGTATGACTTTGTGCTACGCTTGGATTATTCGGGAACGATACTGCCGGATTAGTTTGATCCAGAGCCTACCCGTGTTTATGCCTCGGGCTGAACCGGGATGGAGGTGGAGGGGTTAGGGAGGTTCAATACAAAGACAGCAGAATGGAAATGATTATCATGCCATGAACTGACCCCACGGACATATGTGTAACATTGCGAGAAGCTTTGTGAATGCTGTCTCATTGGGCCCTAGGATTGCAATTTCATTTTCTCGATTGATTATATTTTGTAGATCTCTGGTTTCCTTATCCAGTTGTTCCTCAACAGCCCTGTGGGCTTGGATTACTAACGGCCGATCGAAATTTATAGATATCGAATAGGGATGGGCCACCAAATGAAGCTACACGTACGAAAGGGGAAACGCCAACGACCAGATATCTCAAGGCGTTCTTCTACTTTGATCCTTGATAAACCCGTTCTGGTTACAGCTTGAGACCGTAAAGGCCTGCGCAGCTGCCGTGGAAAACTGCGTCTAATGATAGGTGATAGTATTGTGTCTTTCGATGATCTACATAATCGTCTACTGACAGTAGGGGAGTACATAACTTTGATAACACGGTTCCGCAGACGGGAACAGCATCCTGTGGTTATACATACATATACATGTACCTACATGAATAATGCTGTCCCTGCAAACAACGATTCAAAGAGGTAGTCGGAGCCAGATCTCAGGCAGAGGTCACAGATCGTGGGCAGATTAAACCTCTGCCCTTCGGAGATTTCGCTAACATGTAGCTAGGTACTACATGAGCGCACAAGCAAGCTGACTACACCGTAGTTAATCATTACCCCCCTAATTAAATTTCCCCTATTCCCAATCCATCGTTTTTCAAATGACAAATCAAAGCTCATGCTGGAAAAGTAAGAAAACCCACGTGGGGTCTACGCCCAGACTAACCCACCAAAAGCCGTATCATTTATTATTACCCGTAGCACCCTAATAGTAGTAAGTAATCCCCGAAAACCAGAGCTTGGCTTCAAGGCCCTAAGTAATTACCGGCCGGCGGCGAGGGAAAAAGGAAAGGAGGAGGGCAACAAAAACACAATCCCGTGAGAGCGCCCCTTGCGCGGATCCCACGAAGCCCGAGGAGATTAGCACCAAGGCTCCCAAATAAAGTCCCCCCCCCAGTCCCAAAATAAGCAGTGGATGAATGGGTAATTGGAATGAGCCAAGCCAATTCGCACGTGCAATTCACAAGCCTAGGCAGGGTGTGAGAGGCGCGACAACATACGACAAACGTCATAACCTTATCCGTGCGCCTGCCTCTTTTCACTCTTAGTACAAACCATCGATGAGCTTCATTCATTACCAATCCATCTACCGCCCACCCACGAACCAGTTCGACTCGACGGTGCGCATCAGACATCTCACGATCCAGACATATCTCCCCGCGATGGCCAGCTACATGCGATCCGCCGTCTCCTACATGGGTGCGCAGTTTGATAGCAAAGTCGCGGATCAAGATGCCCGAGAGAGGTTTTATCGGAATGCGGTGGTCTTTTCAAGACATCAGCCTTTCCTTGCTGTACGTGGCCATCGTCGTTATCGTCGTTATTCTTGTTGTTGTTGCTGCCTGCAGTAGTTGAGTGGTATTGGATATTGGTCTAATGTGTAGAAATGATATATATATATGCAAATAGTCGTTCATCGCGATCCAGCTGCTATTCGGTATCCTTCCGGTGTTGGGGTTGCTAGGCTTCGCACTAGGCGTCATCGGTGTTGCAGTAGGCTTCATAGCGTTCTGGGTCGGGGTTGGATGTATGTCCTTGTTTTTTTCTTACCCCACAACCCTTATCAGGCTGTAGATAGCAGCGATAGCTGGAGTAACATGACCTCTGACATAGTTCTGCAGTATGCATAATGCTCTCAGCACTCGCCTTTACTGCCACGATCGCAACCTGCATCTGGGCATCCCTCATCACCACCCTCCTCTTCTTCCGCTGGGGCATCAACACCTTCCTGTCGACGCCCGCCAGCACTAGTCCCAGCACCCCGCAGAAGAAGAAGCAAGAGGAGACCAGCCAAAAGCGTGTGGAGGCTGAGAGAAACGGCACCTACGACCAGAAGGAGAACAGAAGCCCCTCAGAAGTGCCAATCAAGACTGAAGAGCCCGAAGACGACGGAAACCAGAAAGTGTATGGTGGGCTTGCTGACACGAGCAGTGAGGAGGATGGGGACAGTACAGCGCCGCTGGCGTCATATGATGCGAATGGGCTGAGCCAGTCTACGAACTGCGTCAAGAGCGAGGACCTGAAGGCGGCGTATACGCCTGAGGTCATGTCGGATGCGGAGAAGATGAGGAGGGATATTGAGCGTAGCTTGAAATGAGCGGAGGTGGATAGGCAGGTTCTTGGAGGAGATTGACTAGACTGTGGTGGAGCTTAAATACATAAATCCTGGTTGATTGATTGATACACGAGGATGTGGGACTCAAAATAAATTGAATGCATTTTTTATGGGCAGCTTATCTTTGCACTGATATCTCTACATGCAGTTGGGACTTTAGAGGTCTCGACAACTAGAGGTAAGGGTACTACTACGGTGCTGTTACTAGAAAATTTGGGAATGCTTGTCTCAGGGCTGCAATTGTCTTGGTTGATCAATTGAACTTAAGCACAAACATTATTACCACTGACTGACCAAACTATCATTACCCTAAAGATTGGTTCTCCCACCAATTGCAAGCGGCCCTTCTAATAACTACCATCTCCATATAAAGAAATATAGGGCAAATGAGCAATCATAAAAAAGTCATCACCATACCTGCACCCAACCTCCTCAAGCTACAATATCTACAGGCCCATCCTAGAACAGATCCTCTGCATCCTGTGAAGGCGAATAAACAGAAGTAAAAGGTCATATACCTAAGACTGCAGCTTTCACGGGCCTGCATACTGTAAGATAGTCTTAGCAACGGTGTCCGAAGTTTAGCTTAACTAGACGTGTCACTTTTTTATGTATAAGTAGATGGCTTCCATCCTGCTTCGTAACAGAACTACACGTATCCATCGTGTTACCTATTGAATCTTCCTACATATATACCTTATGGTATGGCCATCAATGGCAGCACATCAGCTACGTCCATTCCATCATTACAGACCAGCTCTCCACGGGAGAAGCTTAGTTGGCCCTTCTTTCTTATGGGCCAATCTCTATCAAACGGTGGCAAGCATCTGCAATCATCATGAGAATCGGTATCCGGGGTCAAACAAAGACACTCAGGCCCGGTGAATAGCTGGCAGTGAGTCTCGGGTGTAGAGGCACCACTAAGAAATTAAAGGCTGGTTAGGGGTTTGTGGTTTGTGGTTCGTACTATTTATTGGAGGTCTACAGGACTAACATGTATATACATAGTCGCTCTCTATAGTATATAGTAGTAGGCTGAGTCGACCAATTGCAAGTCCTGAGTTTGTGGACCAAGGCCGCAGTTGGAGGGGTACCCTTGGCCTCATCATAGCCTATCACCCGTACCATGGTAATGATCATCTCAACACCAAACCAAACCATAACCACAATTAACCCCAAAGAACTCAAACTTTTTTCTACCACAGATATCTACACCACACCCACAGCAGAACAAACACATTCCTTCCCCACATTAGCCCCTCTGCTGGGGGTGTGATTGCTAGAACACGAGCACACATAAGAAAGGAAAAAAAAGCCCCCATAGAGGACTACAAAGGGCAAAAAAAAAGAAGAGAACAAAAAAATATAAAATCCACAACTACAACTACAACTACACGCAAATTACCTCCTCGACCCGCCAGCAGCCCGTCTCCGCGGCGCACTGGGGAACTCGAGTGGGATCTTGAGGACGGCGCGCTTGTGCTGTGTGGCTTCGGCCTTGGTCATCTTCATGTCGAGGTACTGAGTTTTTGAGTACTCCTTGACGCTGCACCCAACTTCTTTGAACGCCGCCGTTATTCTGCCGTTTGTTAGTAGAGTGCCAGGACAAATGGGGAGGGGGAGGCTTACTCTCGCATCTGCATCCCCAAGTCAATCTTCAGCTCATACAAATCCACCTCCCAAAAGTCTGCCATCAAGCACAGCACCGCCAGATAGTACAGCAGCTTATTCGACAACGACGGACTCACTGCCCATCTCGCCTCACCGCCCTCGCCCGACATTGTCGTCTCCGCGAACCTTCTATACAGCCCCTCCACCAGCACCTGATCCAGTCCCAGCGCTTTCTTCGTCTTCGCCATGCTCGGCAGCCGCCCCTGCTCTGCACCTGGAATAAGTAGAACTCAATCATGTACCCAATGTACTTCAGTAGCTTTAAGCTGCGCGTCAATGCCGCACCTCCACTTCTCCCCGTCGCCGCTGCGGCGGCGAGGAGCTTTGCAACGCGCGTGGCCACGAAGCGCGACTTTGTGCTACTCTTTACATCCTCGTTGCTGCCGGCGCCCTTCTCCCACTCGCGCACCCATAGGACACTCCATTCGTCCTTGGGGATGATGTCGTCGAGGTTGTAGACGTCCTCTGGGCGGGTTGCGTCCTTGTTTGCGGGCGGGATGGGCCGTAGGTCGAGTTGTTGCGTGCCAAGCTGCGCAGAAGTGGGCATGTCTTTGGTGTTTTCCTCGACCTGCGAGATGATGGAGGTGGTCACGCTCCTGTCCATGTCGCTGATATCGATCTTGTTCAACTCGCGGGATAACAGGGCCTTTTGCGCCTTCTTGGTACCGAATTGGCGGCCGAGGGCGGCGCGGGAGTCTTGATTCTACATTGCGCCATATATATCAGTACTAGCCTGGCATTGAGTATGGGTATGGGGGGGCATACGTTCAGCACAATGCCCTTCCCGTCAATCTCGCGGTCGCGCTCGGCGTGCGCCTTGATTGTGCGCGAGAAGTGGAGTTTGGGCGCGGCATGCAGCTCAACGGTGTTTGTGGCGGGGTCGAAGATGCCGACGTAGTAGCGGTGGTAGTCGGAGTCTTCTGGGAGCTCGCGGCCCTCGTAGTCGATTCGCTGGGTGGAGCCGTGGAGGAGGTGCTCGGACTTGCGCGACTTTTTGGTGCTGGTTGTGGTGGTGCGGGTGTAGGGAGTTAATGGGAGAGTTGGGGGGAGGGTGATGCCATGAGAGGTGGCTGTGAGAGGGGCGGGTTAGCTATTGGCGGAATTGGGGGGGAGTGGTGGGATTTACCAACGATGGGGGGGGTGTCGGTGGTGGGTGCGGTGGTGATCTTGATATCGGGGAGAACGGTGGAGGACCGTTTGCGCTTTTTGTCTGAGGACATTGTGGTGGTGATGTGTGGGTGGTGGTATCAGAGGAAGACTCGCAGTGTGGTGTTGAGGTTTTCGAGGATGGCTTTTTTTTGTTGCTTGTGGGGGAAAAATTTACCTACCCTTGCAGATGCACTTGAGCCGCATAGTGGTGGGGGGGAGGCACACGGATGTCCTAAAACCTTGGCTCTGGAATCCCCGGTACTAGAGACTGTAGTAACTAAGAGTGTCAGAATCGAGGTCTAAGGGCATTGATAAACCTCAATCGGCCACTGGATTGTTATTATGGATCGGTATGGTTGTGTTTCTTGTTTCTGGTGGTTTTGTCGGATCACAGGACATCACTCAGATGTATTCACTATCATAGCCCGTATGCCCGTATGTCTAACACTGGGGTTTGAGAGTTGATAGAAACAAAGTTGCTTGGCAGGCTCGGGGTCTCGCTAGTGAGCTGTGTGCCAGTCAGAGCCAGACAGTGACCACATGGCACGTCATTTGGGGAGCATCTACTCTACTAATCAGTGCCAAACATGGTGTAAAAAATCATTGATACCACAGCAACAGTAGTAGAACACTAGCACTAGGTATCGTATCCTTAACAACACTGCAAACCATAGTAATTCCCAAAGAGTAATATCCCCAATTCAGCAGCACCATAAAAACCTCGCAACACAATACACCTGCCTACATGTTCCCATTACATATCTACAAAAAAAAAACCACAGCGAAAAAGTATGTATCAAAGAGCAGCGATCAAAAAAAATACAGCAGCAGTAATAATATTTACAACCCCCCCCCCCCCCCGGCCCCCAACCAATCAATCGACTAACCAGCCGGGGAACCAGGAATAGCAGAACCTACTTCATCCTGATATACCCCTTCCAGGCATTCAACTTCGTCTCCCACCACGACCTCCCGGGCGCCTGCTCAAGCTCCTTCATCAGATTCTCATAATAATGCGGGTTCCCCCTCGGCTTCAAGATCCTATCCGACACCGGATACTGTCCCCCCCCGCCCCACACACCCTTATTAGCCCTCTCCCCCCCTCTCCCCCCCTCCAAGCAAAAAGAAAACACATACCCTCTTCCGATACCGGTCCTCCAACAAGCTCCCCAGCGCATTGATCTCCCGCATCGCCCTGCTCTCGTCAAACTTGACGACCGGCCGCCCATCCTCTGCACCGCTGCTCCCGGTCGTTGCGGGGCCCGGGTGGTTCTGGGTGGGGATGGCTTTGTCGCCTTCGACGGTCTGCACGAACTGGCGCGCGATGCGCTGCTGCAGGAGGGTTTGGAGGGTGAGGTTGGGGCGTAGGGGGTCTGTTGGCCAGAGCTCGGCGAGGGTGCGGTATTGTTTGTGCAGGAGGGTTTTCTGGTGCTGTTAGTATGTGCTTGGTGTAGTGGATGGGGGGAAGGGGGGGGCGTACGGCGGACATAGTAGTGGCAGAGGTAGGTTAGTTGATGTGGTCAATTTGAGGGTCGTGAATTGAGTGAAATGCTGGGGAATTGAATTGGGCGGGCGTGCGAGTGGGTGGGTGGGTGAGTTTAATGAAGCGGCGGTAGCGGGTGGATGGATGGATGGATGGTGGGGTGGACCAAAGGTCGGTATGATCTCATTACTCGTGGGGCGCGCGGAAATTTTGCCCATGTGACCTGACCCGCAGTTGGAACCCTAACCCTGGATGGTTGTGGGTTCATGGGGTGTCACTCGGTTTTGGTGGGGCGGGTGAGGGGGTGGGTTTTTGTTTGTTTGTTTGTTTGGCTTGGGAGAGAGGAGGTGGGGAGATATGGGAGGATGGGATGGGGTAAGTGGGATTGACTGGCTTTTCTGGGGGTATGTTGTATGTGTTTGTGGGTTCTTGGAGTGGTTGGGCTCGAGTGATGGTTTGTGAATGTGGTTGGTTTGTGGGGATATGGGGACGTGGTTGAGGCTGGATGGTAGCATTGGATAGGTAGTACCATTATTACTATTGTGTGGTGATCTAACTTTAGAATTTTAGGAGACGGGTCTGGGTGAGCTCTTGGTGTGTTTCCTTAACTACTATAATTATCTAGTCTTTTTTTGCCCAGGTCACGGAAAGGCATTCATGTAGGTACAGGTAATTATATTGATTAAAACACAATTTCTCCGAATCACGAAAACTTTTAAGAGTGACTGGCTAGCTGGATATCCACATGCAGATATGTAGGTAGAAGAATTCCCCAAACCCAATCAAACCCCCAACCAACCCCGCTATCCCGCAGTTAAGTAACAACACCCCCCCTCCCCCTACTCCGCCTTCCACCGATGCCCCCCCCCTTCTGCCACAACCACAACGCATCCGTCGCATACGCCTTGACACTCAAATGGCCGCCCATCCTCCCCGCGGCGGCCTCCTCCAACCCGGCAATGACCCTCCCCTCCTCCATGCACCTCCACAGCCCCTGCGTGATCTCCTCCACGCCATACACGCCCTTGCCCAGCTTATACAAGATCCTGCCGAGCATCTGCATCGCCATGCACCGCTGCGTCGGGAACGCGCTCCGTGCCAGCCTTGCCAGCTCGGGAACCGTGTACCCCGCGGCATTTGGCGCGTCTGCGTGGTGGTGTAGTCCGAGGTTGGACGGCAGCTCGCGCGATGTGCGCGGCGGGAGGAGGTCGCCGCGGAAGTCGAAGCGCAGCGCGGACACGGGGAGGGAGGGCTGCGAGGGGTGGTAGGAGAGGTCTTCGGAGGGCGTGGGGGCGTGCATCCAGGCGAGCTTGGAGGGGTCCGGGGGCAGGGTGGGGAAGTATTTGGTGTGCAGGTGGGTGAAGAAGTCTGGGTCGCTGGGGTCGAGGTCGTCGGTGGGGTGGGGGGGGACGGGGGAAGTGCACGTGGGTGGGGGGGGGAGGGCGTCGTCGGTGGTGTCTGTGACGGTGGGCGTGGGGTCGAAGCTGACCTTCTTGGATGTGGGTGGGGGGGGGGGAGCAGCGGGTTTGGGGGTCTCGGGTTGCGGGTGGGGTTCATGTGTCGTCTCTGTTTCGTCGTCGGCGCCCTTGAAGGAGCCGTGCACGGCGCCGTGGTCCAGCGCCGACTTCTTCAGCAGGCGCTCGATCAGCGCCGGCGAGAGCGCCTTGAGGAGCTCCTGCCGCTCATCGTCAATCTCCTCGGCGCTCATGGCTGCAATGCGTTGGTCGTTCTCGTCGCTGATGCGTTGCCGCTCTGTCCGCGTCGGCCCACCATCCTCCTGCGACGCAGATGCAGGTGGTGGTGGTGGCGGTGGTGGCGGAGGAGGGGCTGCTGCTTGTCGCCGCCGCTGTGCTTCGAGGTCCTGCTGGGCGCGCTGACGGAACTTTGATGGGCCGCCACGCTTCTTGTGTGCTGGGAAGCCGGTGGATGTGGCGTTTGGCGGCAGGACGGGGGCGGTGGGGGCCGACGAGATGGGCTTCTCGATGATGTCGCGGATGAAGCCGAGGTGGGCGTTGAGTTGTGGTGGAGGCCCGCGCGGTGGTGCTCCTCCCTTTCGTTGTCGGAGTCGGAGTCGCTGTCGAGCGGGAGGGTGAACTTTTCGCCGGGGATGTTCATTGTTTCAGCCGGTGTTTTGGGTGTGTGTGTGTGTGTGTGTGTGTGTGTGTGTGTGTGTGTATATGTGTGTATGTATGTGGGGGATGCGGGAGGGTTTGGGAGGGGGGTTTCATCGAGGGACGGGATGGGAGCCGCATGTCACGTCACGTGAGGTTGGTAGCTAGCTAGTGGACGAGTGAGATCTTGTGTTACGGACTTGACTGACTGGCTGGCTGACTGACTGGCTGACTGCGGCTGGCCTGTGCATAGATAGACATTGAGCGTGAAACAAGACATCTGGTCTGAGATATCTCCATTCGTGAGTGGTGCTTTTGAAGAGTTTTTCTTTGTGTCCCTCCCCGATGACCGCCACAGCGTGGGAAAATGACAGACAGCCAAAGGCGTCTTCTAGTGCTTTACCTACCCAGGACCCCAGAGCCGAGGACTTGGTGGGCCCCTTTGCGAGTATCAAAGATGATGCCATTGACTCTGGCACCATCGCCTCCCTGGTGGCCACAATGGCTGACGGAACGAGCTCCGGTTAGCCCCCGCTGATCCTCCCCTTATGCACAGCTATCACATTTCTACTCTACCCCATACATACATACATACATACATACATACGCTCTAACTACCCCCCTACAGTGCTCCACCTCCTCTCCGGCACCGACACCCTCATCGGCCGCCACCCCCACTGCACCTTCCAGCTCCCCCACCCCTCCTGCTCAAACACCCACCTGCGCCTCTACTCGGTCGTCTTCGAGGCGCGCTGCACGCCCCTGATCTACTGCGAGGACCTCTCGCTCAACGGCACCTTCCACAACGGCCGTCGCATCGGCCGTGGCACCAGCGTCCTCCTGAGCTCCGGCGACAGGATCGACATCCGTAACGCTGCCTGCTTCAGCTTCAGCCAGGTTGCAGAGGAGCAGGAGCAGGAGCAGGAGGGAGAGGAGGAGGGGAGGCGCGCGTTTGCGGGCGAGTATGAGCTCTCGCGGAGGATCCTGGGCGCGGGAGGCTATGGGCGCGTGTATATGGCGTGGGAGGTCGGGACGCGCAGACAGGTTGCGTGTAAGGTTATGGAGCTGCGGCCCGATGCGAAGGGGAAGGGCGGGAAGAGGAAGAATTGGGCGAGGTTGAGGGAGATGTACATGAGGGAGATTGAGGTCTTGAGGAGCTTGAGCCATGTGAGTTTTCTGATTTCAATTAAGCTTTTTTTTCTGTCTCTCTCTCATCGGTATGTGCTGACTGTGACTGGGGGGTTTTTTTTAGCCCAATATCATGAGCATCCATAAGGCGTTCTCGACGAGCTCTAGGATCTACATCTTTGAGGAGCTGATTACGGGTGGGGATCTGTTCTCGCATCTGGGGCAGAAGCTCTGCTTTGACGAGATTGAGGCCATGCCTGTTGTGTGGCAGATTCTGAAGGCGCTGGAATATCTGCACTCGAAGGGAATTGTCCACAGAGATCTCAAGGTACACCCCCACCCCCACGCTCTAGGATCATGGTTTATCACTCACACGCCAAACCAAAAAAAAAGCCCGACAACATCCTCTGCACCAGCAACGTAGCCGGCTCCCGAGTCGTCCTGACCGACTTTGGCTCCGCCCGCTTCTTCACCCCCGCTACGAGAATGACCAGCGCAGTCGGCACGCTCGAGTATCTCGCCCCGTCAGTCCCCCCCCCCCCCCTCTCCTCCTCCCACCAGTACTGAACAACCCCCCACCCAACCAGTGAAGTCATCCCGCCCACCCGCACCACACCCACCAGCGGCTACTCGCACGCCGTCGACCTCTGGTCCCTCGGCATCGTCGTCTACGTCCTCCTCTCCGGCTACTCGCCCTTTGGCGCCGAGAGCGGCCCGACGCCCCCGCCCGATGCGGTCCTGGCCAAGGCGCGCGCGGGGGATCTTCGGCGGCTGGATACGGGCGTGGAGTGGCGGGGTGTTAGTGTCGAGGCGAAGGACTTTATTAGGGCGCTTGTGTGTGTGGATCCGAGGAGGAGGATGACGCTGGAGGGGGCGAAGAGGCATGGGTGGTTGGGGAGGCATGTGCTGGAGCTGGAAGAGGTGTATGCGCGTGCGGTGGATGGGTGGAGGAGGGAAAGGCGCTCTGCTGGGCCTGTGGTAGAGGAGGAGGGGGGTACTCGTGGCTCGGTGCAGCAGCAGGGCGGCGGTCATGCGAGGGCTGCGAGGGGGGGAGTAGTTTTACGCCGAGCCTGTTTGGGTTTGAGCCTGGGAGCTCGCTTGCGAGGCTTGAAAGATCGGGGGCGGGGGCGGGTAGCGGTGGAGTAGCTGTAGAAGAAGAAGGAGAAGAGGAGGAGGAGGAGGAGGAGGAGATGTCGGATGTGCCAGAGCTCCTATTCGACCAGTTCGCGCCCAGTAGCCCACCGGCGCAGCAGCTTGATACGGGATTCGAGACCGAGGGGGAGGAGTGGCGCGGTGGGGCGCTGTATACGGAGGAGGAGGACGCGCTGCATGATGCGGCGGCGGGCGACGGGAGGTTGAGGAGTGCTATGGAGCTGGCGAGGGAGGTGGAGGCGAGGAGGGGGGAGAGGGGGAGGGGGTTGAGGCAGGGGGGTGAGGGGTGTGGTGGGGAGGGGGGTGTTAGGAGTAGGTTCTTTTGTTGAGTTTGGGTGGGGTTGAGGCGGTGAATTTGGGGGAGTGGGGTATGTGGTGTTGCTGGTTGGTGGGGGCGAGTGATTTTTAGTGATTGGCTGTGCTGTGGGGGTTGCGGCAGCAGCGCTGGGAAGCGGACAGTTATTGGGGTATTGAGATGTGGTAATCTATGATGCTCAAGTAAATGAAACAAAAATAAAAGAAAACTGGTAGACGTCTTCTCTACCCGATTCTTAGTCTCGAATAAACTTAGATGCTTTCCCGGATTCTTGGCCCTACACCACATACATATAAATACGCGAATTTACCTAATTACGCAAATCACTTGTATTTTTAATTCAATTGTAGTATAAACTAAATCTGGGACTTATTTGGGTGCCGTGTTTTATGGCAATTAATTGGGTGGTGGTCGGTTTTGGGCCGTTTAGTGTGAAATTAACCAAAAATGCAAGGTTTTTGTAATTGTATGCGTACATGTATCCTTATACAAAGTACATGTAGTGTCTTGGTATTAAATTTTTTCTTCAAACGCTAGAGTCACAAAGACTTTTACTAAAAGGTTTGGAACCCGCAATGTGGACTTTCTATAATGATAATTGGTTACAGTCGACTCTCGCTATAAGGGTACCTTCTATAAGAATATTCGCCCTATAAGAATACAACTTGATCTCGGTCCTTATTGGGCCTTTTGAGTACAAATTAACCCGTGCCATAAGGGTATATGCCATAAGGGTGCCGATTTCTGGTCTATATAGCGCGTACCCTTATATCGAGAGAGTCGACTGTATAAGGATACACATTTCCGGCCCCAGCCCTATCCTTATAGCGAGAGACTGCTGTGGTGCTAGTCCTTGATTGTGGTATCTTTGATCAGTCATTACCGCATATCCATTACATGCAGAGGGTTGCGGGCCAATCATTGTACGTGGGGGATACTTGTAAACTCTGTAGATCTGGCTGACATTGCGCAATTACAATATATACATCTACACACGAGTCCTAGGGTGCTCAATTGACCTCTACAGGGTAGCCTGGTACTCTGGCGCGAGACTACCCAATTGCAGTTCCTGCAGCGCAGTGTCCCACAGAATCGTTTGCTGGATCTCTCACAGTTACGTACTGCAGGGCCTAGGCATCAAATTGACCATCCCCAGCCAATTGCGGCGATTATCTTATCGGATAGTAGGCTTCGTCTCTGACGTAGAGTGCTATCGGTCACGTGGCTGGAGGATATACGGAAAGACATGTGGCTATGGAAACGTGACAGAGAACAACATGGCAGGGGGGGGGGGTGTCCGTGTTTATAGTGAGAGAGTGGGCGGTCACTTGGATAGAATCATCAGCACCCTCTCGAAGAATTCGGGCCGCAGTACATGTATGTGCAGCACTGCAGTCTCCGCAAATTTTTGGTACCCCCAGACGTATGAACTGTCTCGAAGCTCATGGGTTTAAGTTGTGATATTAACGATATCAACAGCCGGATAAGAAACAACTACAAAGAGGAATTTATATGATATTCTGCTGCGGCACATTATAACGCTTTGTATGACCACCTTCTGAGGAGGAGGACCAAAATACTTTGCTTGTTGTACTAATCGCGGATACTGTACAGGCCAGTGGGGTTGAGAAAAACCCGAGTCATTCCGAGACTTTTTATATTGCGTATCGGCACTACTACATGGGCGAATCTAACAAAATATATTGGTACAAAGCCCTATATGGCACTCATTAATTGGCACATTTGTTATTATGGGCCTGCCTCTGTCGACATGACCGCAAACCAGATAAAGTAATCAAGATACTGAAGGAAAAAAAAACATCTTTAGTTGGTTATTTGAGGAATTTTTTTTCAATTTTCCAGTACACTTGGTACAGCCGGCAACACTTCAGACAGTTCCGTCATTGGTACAAGATGCTAAAAGTGCCTCACGAAAGCCAAAGCTTTTCGTACAAAATATCCCTCTGACACCTGACGTCTCAACCTCACTGACCGGTACAGTACATAATATGCTATATAGGGTGCCAAAACTTTGCGGACACGGGCTGTACGTACTCTACCGGACTGCTCTGCACCCCCCCCCCCCCCCCCCTGCGCGTAGCAGCCGTCACCTCGCTCCCCCGCCCATCCAGTATCGGCGAAAAAAAACCACGGCCCAGGGCGGTTAGGGCAAGCCCTGCTCCACCAACCCCACTCTGTGTGTGCGCGGGAGAGCTTGGCAGAGCGAACGCAGCACAAAGCAGAGAAAAGTATTTAGGTGCTGCCTACTCCTCCCCTCCCTTTTCCCCACCAACCTCTCAGGAAAATCGAAACCCCCCCCTCCCACCACCACACCTTCGACGACATGAGAGCTAAGTGGAGGAAGAAGAGAGTCAGGAGACTCAAGCGAAAGAGAAGAAAGACTAGAGCGAGAAGGTGAGTTTTATCAAGAAACAATTAATTCCCCCGTCATCATCAATTTTTCGGTTCTTCTGTTCTTCGCTCTGAGTTCGTCATAACTAACGTCATTGGTGAAATAGCAAATAAATGACTCGCTCTCACTCCGATCCGGCATCGGTCTGACCTTGGCCCTTCAAGCGGTTTTCTCCCTCACGATTTTGCACGCCGATGAAACAAACACCATTTAACAACGCTGTCGATAACTCCTCGCCAATTGGGGCTGGAGGTTTGATGGAAAGTGGTTGGACAACTCTTTTTTTGGTGGGGCGATAGGATGGAGGAAAGCGGGGGGTGTTGGGGAAAGATTGGTGCTTTTACTTTTTTTTACGTCGGGGAAAAAGTCTGTCATCACAATATAAGTTTTTTTTTTGCAACTTTTGTTCTGTGTTCTGTGTTCTGTGCTCTGGTGATTTCTGCTCTCTTCTGTGATCTCCAATTTCTCGCCATTCCCAAAAAAACCGTAAATCTTGAAAATTGGCCTAATAATTGCAAAGTGTGGGGTAATGTCGTGTGACGTCTTTGCACTTGGCCAATCGCCTGGAAACACACAACTTCACCTCACACCTTGCACCTCGCATCTCTTGGAGATTCATAGGGCGTGCGTTGAGGTGAGCATAGGCTGCCTGGGCTGGGCTGGGCGCGGTCCTTGATATCTTGGATCCCCTGGCTAGCTGTTTGGACTCTAGAGTCGATCTAGAATGGAGTATCTAGTGGTTAAGCTATGAATAGAAACATCGTAGGTTTGCCAATTTTAGAAACATGCGTAGAGTAGCAGTATTGTGCAGCGCTTCGGCCATAATTGAAGCCTGAGATAACCTTAATTGCATGCCCGTAACAAATACTCCATGAACCAATAGCTACAGTCTCTACTCTAGAGTATCTACCCAGAGCTCAATTGAATCCCCCCCCATCATGCAGCTACGTGTAGCTATCGTCCCTAACGCTTTGCCTTTTGTTAGCTACGATGCCCTCGAAATCCGAGGCGTTCGAGGCCGTTGATAGATGTAGATGGAGTGTGCACCCCACCTTGATACCATCTATAGGAGCCAGCTCTAGGATATGTGATACATACATCTCTTTACATAATGGCAGCAGGGCCGTTACAGAAACCTGAGCATACATACATGTACCCACCTCGACCCTCGTGCTTTGGGGTATGTATGTACCTCGCACGAGTACGTGTCTAGGATTGGGGGGGGGGGGGGGGGGCTAGCTGAGATAACAAGATATCGAGCAAGCGAATCACATAGAGCTCAATTGATCGATGCTTGTCCCGCGCGCATCTTCCCATAGATGACTGAAACATCCAATATTATCGCAAGGCATTGATTTAAATCCCTTGCCTGATACCAAAGCTGCCTTGCCTGGCTCATTATTAACTCTCCGGCAAAGAGAGATGCCTTGGTACCTATATCGTTGCAATTGACCCCTCACTCCATCGGTATCTTAGTCAACCCCAGGCTGATAACGATTACTTTGCGGATAACAGGATATAATTTTCTCTACGTATTTTTTTTTTTTTTTTTTTTTTTTTTTTTTTTGCGCGGTAAGTATACATCTGTATCTTTGTTCCAGAATCACCGAATTGAAAAGAAAACGCCCTTTTTTATATCATTAGAAGTAAACACCCTTCCCCCCCCCCGTAAAAGTCTACTCAGGAAAAAAGCAGCAGCAGCACCTCTCACGTCGATATGATCAAGCCCACAAATACACAGTAAAGAGAAAAAAGAGAAAAAAGCACTCAAAAAAACAGCAGCCATAAAAAAAAGAATATTACAACCATCCCCCACACTCACTCCACCACCCTACTTCCTCCTCTCCAGCATCTCCCTCACCTCCTTCAACATATTACTCAACTCGGGGTCGCTCCCAAACTCCAACCCATACTCCAACCCATCCCTCGCCTCCTCCAGCCTGCCCATCTCCTTCAGACACTTACACTTCCTCCAATGCGCCTTCTGATTCCCGGCCTTCTTGAAATCAATACTGCAGCACGCATCCGCCAATCCCTCTGGCCAGCTGCTCATCCCAATATACGCCTGCGCGCGGTTCGAATACAGCTGCTGGAGCTCATCGCGGAGCAACGGAGCAGGCTCCCAGCCGGGGCGGGTGAGCGCCATGAGGATGGCGTGCGAGTACATGTCGATGGCGCCCTTGTAGTCCTGCTTGCGGAAGGCGGCGTTGCCGGTGTTGCGCATCTTCTCGATCATTGCCGTGCGCTGCGGGTGGACGGGCACGGGCGGCGGGGGCACGCCGTCGGTGATGCCGGGCTGCTTGAGGGCGCGGTGCAGCGCGTTGAGGGCTTCGAGCTCGCGATCGAGCGCGGGGTCCGAGTGCGTGTGGGCGGTGACGTCTTTGGTCTTTTCGTCCATGGTGATGGGGAGGAGGAGGAAGGTGCCGGGGGTTGTGGGGGCGGTGGCGGCCATGGTGGGTGCTTTGGGGGTATCTGTTTTAATGGGAGTGTGTATTTACTGACTTGAGGGTGCTGTAGGGCTTCTGAGTGTTTTGTAGAGTTCTGGGTGTTTGTAGAGTTCTGGGTGTTTGTAGATGCCCTGGGTGCTGTGGATGTTCTGGGTGAGAGCGATGTTCTGTCTGCGATCTCCTTCCTTGTGTCCTCGCAAAGACAGCTTGACAGTTGAGGACACTTGTGCAGCTCGCGGTGGCTGTGGCTGTGGCGCCTGCAGATTTGTCACCGATGCAGGGCCAGGGTTGGTTCAGCCTCTTCATCAACTCTCTGCAACTCTCTACTCTCATCACCATACACACAGACAGCTCTCCAAACACTCTCACAGCTCTCACAAATACACCCCCACAAATGGCCTCCAACTCGCAGGCCCTCACGCGCAAGGCCGACATGGAGCTCATGCCGCCCCCACCGCCCACAAAGCGGATCAAACGGCCGCCAAAGGTGCTTGACGAAGACACCTACACCGACGCCCTTGTACGTCCCCCCCCCCCCCCCCGCTCCCACCGCTCCCACCGCTCCAGCCCTTCTAGTACTCGTAGCTAATACCCCCCCCCCCCCTAGTCCGAGATCATCGCGCGCGACTTCTTCCCGGGCCTCCTCGAGGCCAAGCACCAACAAGAATACCTGTCCGCCCTGGCCTCCCACGACCCCTCCCGCATCGCCGAAGCCTCCCGGCGCCTGACAGAAGTCATGACGACCCCCCGCCTGCGCCGCGGCACCTCCTTCTCCACCCCACTACACACCCGCCCCTCCGACACGCCGCTCAAAAGCAACCCCATGGCCCCCGCCTCCTCCTCGACCACCACAACAACAGCCCCAGAACCATACGAAAAACACCTCTCCCTCGACGCCTTCCAGGCAAAATACACCTCCGAGGACAACGCCTCCTTCAACACCCTCCTCGACGCCCAAAACGAAAAGAAGCGCAACGCCTACGCCTTCCTCTGGGCCGGCAACCGCATCCCAGGCTTCCGCGCAACCGCAGAAGCAAAGCGCCTCAAAGCCCTCGCCGACACCGAGGCCGCAACCGGCGGGCCCCAAAAATCAATCGCATGGAAAGACGACCGCAAGGCAGTTCCAAACACGTGGAAAGCCGCGCCAAGAAACACACTCATGTTCGCCCCCGACGGGCCCGACTCCCCCCCTCCCCCTCCCACCGCTCAAACCAACGCAGAGGCAGCGCAGAAAGAACTACCCCCGAAAACGGTCGTCTATGCAAACACGCGCATGCCGCCGCCGCCGCTGCCAGCCCCGCCGCCGAGTCCGTCGTTCTCCGCCGTGCGCGACGCTATTGCGGGGCGGCCCCGGCCGCTGGCGTCAGAGAGCGGCTTTGGCGGCGCCGACACGCCCCGTGTGAATGGATATAGCTTCGTCAAGGACGCGCCGTCGCCGAGCCCCAGCGAGCTTGGTGCGCCGCCGCTGACGTGGGGGTCGATTGCCGCGATGACGGAGGGGGAAGGAGAGGGTGTGGGGAAGGGGGTGGCGCCGTTCAAGATTGCGCCGACGCCGAGGAGGGAGCTGCTGCATCATCGCATGGTGGATCGGGTGGCGAAGAATAAGAGGCCGGTGGGGAGGGCGGTGACGCCGCGGAGGGAGGGGGGTGCGGGGGGGAGGGAGACACCGGGGGCGGGGGCGGGGTTGACGCCGGCGGGGCAGAGGTTGTGGAGTAGTTTGGCTGGACGGGGGGAGGGGTGGGCGGGGACGCCGAGGGTGGGGAGGGGGGTGGCGACGCCGTTGGTGAAGCGGAAGTAGAGGAGAGGGGGGTGGGTTTTTCTTTTTATATTGTGTTTTTTGTATGTGGAGTTGGGGTGTGGGTTGGCTTTTTTTGATTTTTGATTTTTTTTTTTTTTTTTGTGTGTTTAGATAGTACTTTTTTAGTAGTGGGAAGTGTGGCTTCTCTTTTTTTTCTTCTCTTGCTCTTTGCTTCGTTTTTATACCTGCTTTTTATTCGCCTTCTATCCATATGGGTACATATATATTCATAACCCCCACCCCCCCCGCATCATTCCCCCTTGCGCAGCTGGCGGATAGATAGATAGATATCAACACTTACATGGCAGGTGGTCGCTCAGCTGTCAGTGGCCAGCATATAGTTAGAGTTAACACAATTACAACCGGGTTTATCGGTAGCTTTACACAATACTCACACATTTTTTACACAATTCCAACACAACATTTACACAACGATAATAGATGTAATTACCTACGTATTGATCGCTAACACAATACACATGTATAAGTCCCTACTGTGTTACTATGAGTTATCATTACATGCTATAGTGATGGGTCTACAACGGAATAAAATAGACGTAAATCTTTGTAGGTGTATTATCAATCAATAGATCGATGGATTAATCAATACATGGATATTGTGAGTTAGTGTGTTAGTGTGTGTATGTGTGTTTGAGTGTGACGAGTGATATATTGTGATTCAGCGTGTGGAGTGCATGGCCATGGAGTATATTACATACATAGCTAGTGGGGGTGCTCGTTTAGGATGCGCTGAGATGAGGTGAGTTGGGGAGAAGTGAAGCGAAGTGGGCTGTAGAAGATGTTTATGGGGTATTCCGATCGAACAGATCTGCAGAGTATACCATTCCCCTCATGCTCGGGCCTATAGCTATCGTTACAATGGATTCCTCTACTTACGTACTGGAACCTCCAGCATAACCCCAACTACCGGCCCTATAGCTAAGCTGTCACGAAATTAAAGCCGACCCTTTAATTCCGTGGGCCAGGTGCGTCAGTAGTGCCAGATCACTCCCTTAACCATTCGATCCTCATATATTAATAAATACGAGCCCCAGGCAAAATGGTCAGTCAGCATATTTCCAGTGCCTCAGGATGCCTACATGTAGGTCTACGGCTTTATAAGTCAAGCTCAATCGTACATACTCTACCAATTAATTAACCAAATAACTAATGCCTAGTTCAACACCGGCTATGGAGGCGCCTAGTTAAATTCCATATATTCAGTGATCTGGTTGGGAGCTTAGAAGCTACTATAGGGACAGCAGTAATCCACCCGCTATATACAGGAGTGATTGCGTCCACTGCAGGAGTTGGTTATTCAAGCTTACATGCCGAAGATACTCTTCGTATTGCCACTAGTTAGCTGAAATCTGTGACGTGTGTGCACCTTTTCAGGCTACCATTCCTTTACAATTTCCCAACTCACAGTGGGCTTTTTGCCTGGCAAGTGTATATTTACGCAGCTACCCTTTCGCATAGCAGGTGAAACATTTGTCTAAGGTCTGTGCTGTATCGCGATACTCCCGGGGGATTTGAGTGTTGCCAAGCATCATTTTCGCAGTACAATCACAATCCCTCACTCGCAGCCCACGCGCTGACTAACGCCCACAACCCAAACCCACCTCCAAACAAACCAAATCAACAAACCCCAACCCTCTCTACAACAACAACCACAACCACAACAACCCAAACCCACAACAGCAACAGCAACTGAGACACCAATGACCAATTGATAACAACTGCGGGGGCGTCTCCGGAAGTGCATTTTTCACCCGTTTTTTTTCTCTCGGTGGCAAGAGCTGATTCTCCACGCACTGGGTAAACAAGCGGTTGGTTTATGAAGATATGCAGGTGTGCACACTCATGAGGTGAAAGGTGGATCCTGTCCGGTGGTAGTCAAGGACCTGAGGCCAATTGTGTAGTTAATTTTGAGAAGCCAAGTCTAAACTACTGCAAACACAACCATCATACAGGATCCGTAGGTGAGCGAGTGTACTGTACATATGTACCTACATACGTTCGCAAAGTGCACAAACAGCCAGCTGAGCCGTGTACTTGTTTACCACGAAAAGAATCAGAAAATGCAGTTACTCAGGGCAAGGATTATTTGTATGGAGTGGCGGTGGTCTCTCATACAAACTATCCCTGTTTCCGTCACTTGCATTTTCTGGTTCTTTTCGTGGTAAACGAGTAGAGTAGAATGAGACCTGCAAAGTGTAGGGAAATTGAGGGGGCGGGAAAGTGGTTACAGGGTGCGGGGACGAACCCGAGGCTGGCTAGGTAGACCCGAGTAGAGCACCTTGGTGGTGGATATCGATGTAGGCTGAAGGATGGGGAGTGGTCCTTATTGATGGAGAGGTCGCAGCTCCCCGGGTGGTTAGAGGGCGGAACTGGAAGTACGGGCTGGGACGTAGTACAATATGTACAGTTACGTCCTGTCTACATTTCTCGCCCCAGTCGTAAACCCACTTGGTATCTGTTTGGTGGTGTTAGTGGTTGTGGTTATGGCGGCTGGATATTATTTTACCACAAATAATACTATACTTCAAAAGACCACACCAGAGACGTAATGGTATCGATGGGCACGAGACTATATCCCCCGATATCCATGGCTTGATGATCTCGATTTCTAGATGTATGCAGTTGATATATCTTTACTCGTAGTTTTCTAACGTTTGTAAACCAGGCCATTATTGCATACGATGCATGCAGCCCAGTCTAAAAAACGTCAGGAAAATAGAGAGCTTTAGCGGACAGGGTGGAGAAAACTTCAAGCTGTTTTAGAAAAAGGCTTGCAAGAATTCAGCCAATAAGAGGTGCAGGACTTTTTGTCCAAGTGCTCGACTTTCTGCTCAACTCGCGCAGCTAAAACTCTCTAATACGAGTAGGAAGTGCAGGGCGTATCGGTATACGTCGCCACAACTCCCTACATCCAGCGGTGTTCGTAGTTCGACTATTATATCTTTAGTGAGAGTGGAGGTTGAAATCACATCTCATTCTTTAGAGAGTATTCGTGTGCATTGGTGTTCGTAATTCGACCTAGATACCAAGTGTAAAATATCGTGGCGTTGTTACTATGTAAGGAAATATTAAGGGTAAAAAAGAAGAAGAGAGGATTTACCATATTTTGGTGGTATGCAGACCCAGTCTAGTCTGGAAACGCCAAAAAACTACGAATCGTACAGTGTCACATAGGGTTGTTAATGTCACGGCTCCCGGATGAACCGCCGATAGCTAGGCGCCAGCGCCTGCAGTGAAACCATCGAAAGGGCAGAACCAAATCTTCAAAAAAAAGGTTACTTGGACGTGTACAAGATCAAGATTAGAACATGTTATTCAGAGTGCAGTTTATAAGAGACTGGAGAGAATCGTATCGTATGATTGGCATTACAAGAGTCCATAGAAGGAACACGCTCATTTTATAGTGATAGGGACGTTGCAAAAAAAAAAAAAAAAAAAAAAAGAAGTGTTATTAACACGGTACCAAGAGAACAAGTAGCAAATATTCAACAGATCAGCCCCACAATCATCGTAGAAAACTCTCCCACCACCCTCCCGCCACCAACCTAATTGAAAGCTCACAAAAACAAAATATCTAGCCGTAAAACAATCACCCAAAAAATTCTCCAAAAAAAGAACAAAAAGTACATGGAACCTGCAACCTAACGGTATAATGCAAATCCGATCTCCCACACGGTGTGTCCCTAACCATTCGGCTCGTTATGTGCACTTATTTCTGGCTACTATAAATTCACTTCTGATTAGGGTATATGGTAGTCTTATGTAATAGATGGAAAATTATTATGATTCTTCTTGAGTTATCAACACTCTTGCTGAACGATTATGGAGTAACTGTAGCCCCACGGACAAAATAGATGATGAGCTCCGCCAGGAACCACCAAGCATAGATACTTTATGTGTCCATGACGGTGCATAGACTATGTACTGTACAGGGTGTTGAGGGTAAGTGATCAGAATCTGATAAGTGAATGTTGCGGTGAATACATGTATTTGTCTTATCAGATTCTGATCACTTTTCACTACACCCTAGTACATGTATATCCTCTGCAACAATCATGGAAGGGCACAAAATATCCCACTCTAGCCCACGATACATGCTTCACCAACGCCAGCCCATCCATCCACCATCCACCATCTCTCATCCTTTATCGCCCTCAGATACCCCAACTACAGCCCTCCCCCCACGACAACACCCCCCCCCCCCCCCAACTTCCACCTCCCAGGTTCGAAAGATACCTTCAACCCCGTATTTCCATCACGATGACCTTAACCTCGTCCACATAGTGATCTACAGTTGCGCCTCATTGGATTACACGTTCTCGGTCCACTACAGCCGGTCATGTGATAGAAGCTTATTTCTGGATACTCTGAACTAACGGCACTAGTACTACAGAACTACATGTATCCATAGCAGTTGGGGCTATTATGGTTGTCTTGGGAGGAAGCTTAGCTGCGTGTTAGTCTCACGTGTGTCTTCATGTATGTTTTGTTCCCCCATCGTGGTAACGAACGGCGCCCGGAAAACGACCTACGTATGTCTCTGATTAGGTTTATGATGGGCTATACAATGGTAAGTACAGTACTGTAGATAGATATTTATGCAGGTGGTTTCACAGCTGACATCTGGGGATTTTTGTTCCATGGAAATATAACGATCGCGGTCACAAACATATTTGGACCCCATTGGCGTAGTTTGGTGTGGTTAGTATATTATCCCATAATCCGGTGCTTAACAGCTGCAGATTAATGGATGTGTCATTGTATGTTAAGGGAACTCTATCGAGTAAATTGTTCAAAGCACGAAGATTAGAAAATGCGTATCTATCACCTACTTTCTGATCAATGGTATCCGAGGATCCTCCTCTTAAGGACAAGGTATACAGGACATGAGATAAACATCTCTTCAAAACTTTAACTGTCATAAACCCTTTGCTAGCAAGCTACAAATTTCCAGATTTGTGAACTTCGAATACCCTAAG